CCCTCTTGTGGGAGGAGGGTTGTCCCTCAAGAAGGCTGATCTGCTCCCGAAGGCGCACACACCTCAGTAGGCTCATTCACAAATATCCCTCCAGTGCCCCTGGGCAATGTGATCGAGACCTGGCTATACGGAATCTGGTCTGAGGGCCTGTCCCCTGGGCCCTGGAGATAAGTACCTGACCCTGCCAGGGAGAAGAGTGCTGGTCTTAAGTCACACACAGGATACTCAAGGTGGATTGATGTCTCTCTGCCTCAGGATTTGCCCCACTTTCCTGGAGTCACCAGGCCAGCAGCACCTCGGAGGGCCGGCGGGTGGGGAGCTCACAGTCTGAGTGCTCCTCAGTCCACTGTAGGGCCCCAAAATGAAAAGTCCTATTCCCTGCAGATGCCTCCAGGTGGTGGCTAAATTGTCTCTCTTGGCAGCTGCAGGTGAGGAAGGGGAAAGGGAGAGTGAAGCACTATGATGCCTGCCTGTTGGCTCGGGTCTGCAGGCTGGGAGGTGCCCCGAGGCAGCTGGGAGCCTGGTGCCCTGTCTGCAAGAGGCTCCCCACTCACTGGTGGCAGCAGTCTCTGGGCTGCTGTTAGCAGGTCTCTCCAACCACCTGGGGGCCCACCAGCAGCCTGAGATGCAACGGAGGGGAAATTTAACTACTCCACCTACCCTTGTTGCTAGTCTCCAAGCCTCTCAGAGGCCTTTCTCCTTCCAGTTCTCCTCCGCAACTTCTTCCTGTGGAGTCTCCTATAATCTCAGGCACCCTTCCGTTCAGTCCTCATCTGATCTACGTTTGTCTGCCTGTTTACTTTTTTTCACTTTCTACTAAAATCTTTCTTGCAGATACTCTGGCTGGCGGTTTTTCTCATCTGCCATCTTCAGGATCTCACTCTTGCTCAGGCTGGTCTCAAACCCCTGACCTCAAGAGATCTTCGCACCTTGGCCACCTTAAGTGCTAGGATTACAGGTGTGAGCCACCTTGCCTGGCCCCTAACATTCCCTTTAAACAGTATTTTTGACCTATCCGAGATGCGCAGGTATAATGCTTTATATATCAAGTTCCAGGCATCGTACTTGTGCTGGGATCCGTTGGGGAGCAAATTATACATGATCTTTGACCTCATGATTTTTAGAGTCTAATAGAGAGACTGATATCAAATGTTGGCATAAATTATCAACTGTGATTTGTTGTGAGTCAAAGCAGCACATAGTGATAACAGGAGCATATACTAGCTGTGGTGTTTTGCCCTTGGCAGAGGGTGGAGTTGAAGGTTTCACCTCACTGTTGAGGATGCAGACTTCACTTCATCTCCTGGTTCTCAGTGCTGGACCTCATCCTACTCTCCTCAGTGCCCAGTGTTCAGTGCCTCTTTTTTCTCTTTCTCCATAAAATAAACCTACAGGCCATGGTGGCTCATGCCTATAATCCTAGCATGATGGGAAGATTGCTTGAGGCCAGGAGTTTGAAACCAGCCTGGGCAACATGGTGGGACCCAGTCTCTACAAAAAGACTTAGAGATTAGCCTGGTGTGGTGCTGTATGCACATAGTTCCATCTACTCAGAAAGCTGAGGCTGGAGGATTGTTTGAGCCTAGGAAGTTGGAGGCTGCAGTGAGCTATGATCACGCCACTGCACTCTACCCCAGGCAACAGAGCGAGACCCCTCTCTCTTAAAAAACAAAATAAAAATAAAACTACAGTCAACTGTGTGTGGTGGTTGTGGGGGAACAGGATGTGGTCACCTCAATATGTGGAGTCCAGGTGGCCTGTGAGGTCTAACGGCTAAACAACCAGTTCCTACCTGGGCCTTCTGTTCTAAGCATTCCTGGAATTGTCTAACAATGACCGAGTTTGCTTTCTCAATTTTGGATTCTTCCAATAGAGGAGGTGGCAGTGGCAAAAACATCTTTATTTTATGATCTTGAAACCAGTGCCAATTTACTTATGTATCTTTCCCAATAGCCTGTGAAGTATGTGAGGGCAGCGGGTTATCTCAGTATCTCTAAATGAGCAAATGCCAGGCACATCTTTGGTGCTCACTAAATATTTATTCAATAACTAGTATTTGATTGATTGATTGATTGATTGAGACAGAGTCTCACTTTGTTGCCCAGGGTAGAGTGCTGTGGCATCAGCCTAGCTCACAGCAACCTCAAACTCCTGGGCTCAAGCAATTCTGCCTCAGCCTCCCAAGTAGCTGGGACTACAGGCATGTGCCACCATGCCCGGCTAATTTTTATTTTATATATATATAGATAGTTGGCCAATTAATTTCTATTTTCAGTAGAGATGGGGTCTCGTGCTTGCTCAGGCTGGTTTCGAACTCCTGACCTTGAGCGATCCTCCTGCCTCGGCCTCCCAGAGTGCTAGGATTATAGGTGTGAGCCACCGCGTCAGGCTGATAACTAATACTTTAAATGTGTAACTATTTTTGCACTCACTCACATTCATATGTACAAAGCCTCTATCAGGTAATCAGGGGGCAGGTGGTATTATCCTCAGTTTTCAAAGATTGTGACTGTTTTAAAACTTCTTAGTATCTATGACCAAATGAGTTTCTTTTCTGAAGGTTTGCATTTTCCATTAGTGATCATGAGAAAACACAGAGCATGGAGGCTCGTTACTCCTATCCCATTATTCTTTTCCTGAAACATTCTGTCCTTCCAGCCAACAAAAGGCACCTGTGGTGGCATCAGTAGCAAGACAGGTAGACTCGTGGGCAATAAAATGACATTTTGATTAAAAAATACTTTCATCTGTCTTCCTGGTCACACTCTCGTCTCCCTAAGTAGATACAGAAACCTCATTTTATGAATCTGAGACTTTCTCTACAAGAAGGTATTTTGCTTTGTAAGCCACTCTTGGCCAAAGTGCCAAAACAAAGCTGTTGGTGAGGGTGGGGAAGTGAAGTAGAGAAGTAGTGGATTAGGTGGTGTGTCTTATGAGTTCTTCCTTGGATCCCAAATTCCAGACGTAAATCCTATTTCCTTGTACAAACCTATTTATTAAGCACAACTGGGGCATTAATGGTATTGGATTTTATTCACTATTATAAAACCCAAATGGGTAAAGGTAACAATTCTCATCACATCAGGGGAAAAAGGCAAGGTAGGGGATAAAAATAAGTTGGGCACGTATGCTGTCCTCCCAAGAGGTACAGGGCTCGCTAAGAGATCTGAAATATCCAGCCTAAAAATAACTGCTATGCACGGCCACCTTCTCCCACTTCCCTCTGTTGATGGCAGAGCCCCAACAATGTCATTTTTAGGTAGGTTTATTTTTACTTTATAAAACTAAATATATGAATATTTTAAGAAACACTATTCTGAAACTGAGAAGTCAATGTAAAAGCTTATTTGATAGGCCTTACGGGAATATCCCTGTACTTTGGCTCTCATGAAAATGAAATAGAGTAGGTGGAAAATCAAGACTTCACAGCTACAAGATGTTACTAGTGTAAAATACAGTTCTGAAAGAGATCATCAGGGTAATGTGCCTGATGGCAGCTGATGTGCATCCTCTGAGACTAACGAGGAGATGCCCTATGACAATCAGTGGGACAGGATGGAGTCCACGAGCTCTCTGGGTGCCGGTTCCTGCTACACTTACTGGCAGGACGACCTCACCGCACCACCTCCTCTAAGAATTCTTCATATCCTTAATGCTTTCTCTTCACATTTTAATTTTTGCCCAATTTAGTGGCCTTCTTCAGACTATATGTTGTGTCCATATAAAACTGAATATTATTAATACATGGTTTGTCAAGCAAAAGTCTTGAGTGGGAAGAAGGAAGAATGAGAGAAAACAGTATTAAAAACTGTAATGTTAATATTTAATTTAATTCATTAAACATTAAGGGAATCTTTAATGAAATTATTTGATGCCTCTAAGTTTCTGGTTCTTTTTCATATAAACGAAAACATCCTAAAGAATGAAACTTTCTTCAGCATTACTTAAAAAAAGGGACTTTTTTTTGTGGTCTAAGTGAAAGACAAGACTCTATTAATAGCCAATTTAAAAGGGAGGGAAAATAATCATGAAATACTGGAAGCTCCTTACCAAAAAATCTCTTGGTAAAATAGGTCCAAATTTCAGCACTCTCCCAGGTGAGTTATTGAAACAGTAAATGGATCTCACTAAAAGGCTGTTGAGCGTCAGACTCTAAGGATAGTTACAAAGGAGGCAATTCCTTGTAGAAAAGGGAACCAGAGATATACTAAGCATCTAAAACTGAGCTCGTTTTTGGCACTTGTGTGGAAAACCCATTTGTTAATACAGCAGTGTTCAATTATAATGAGGTTAAGAATGGTTACTCTGTAGAAAATATTGTGTTACCATGATATGAAAGAGATGATGGAAGCAGAAGTCCCGACAGCACAGAACCTAGAAGAGAAAGTAACAGAGAACACTTCATCAGTGTCCACCCATATAAGGGTAAGAACTAATTCTGAGGACTAGGCACAGCGTCCCGAACAAAAAAGAGTCCCAGAAGCAGGGACTTACTATGTTTTAGCAGGACTTGAGAGAAATATGCTAGGGGACAGAATTTGTATCTTTTTGATTCCATGTTTATCATATAATTTTTAGAAAACTAGTCCTCCCAGTATTTGGAAATGTATTTTCTCGCAATGGAAGACCTATTTCTGGTAAATGACCAGATGCACTATTTATGTTAAAATAAGAGCTTTTTTTTAATTGGAAAAAGCATATGAAATTGGCATTTTAAGTTTTTAAAAAGTAATATTATAGTTTTTGCTTCCTAGCCTCAAGATTCATTATATTTAAATGAGAATGAACACTGAAGATCTACTAACAAGTACATTCTTAGAACTCTCTAAAGATGAGTGCTAAAATTTTCTTAGACTCTTTTTTTTTAAACCCTAAAATTTTGGCGAGGGAATTATAATACATCAATCAGGATATAAGAATAAACTTCATTAAAATTCAGAAAAGGATAGGGTCAGCTATAACCAATGTAAGCTTATAAGAAAGATGAAGTCACACTGCCATATTTCATATTTTATTCAATTTTAATATGGTTTCCATTATTAACTTTTAAAACAAAATGATTTCCAGTTTAAAAAACAATGCACTGACCACATAGTTCCTTTTTCATTTTATACAGTTATACAAATATTCTAAATACACGTTTTGTGTTCAAGATGATGGCAAATAAGATTAACTGTACAGTACATAAGGAAAGAAAATATTTTAAGCATATTTAGAAGCAATAGAAATGTCTATACAAAACAAGCAAAAATGGAATAAAATTTTTTATTTTTAAAGTATTGCAACAGGCCCACAGGTTTGTAACAAAAATGTCTTTGCACAGTTCCTCACAATGCCCCATTAATAGCTAAAGCAAGACAGCGGTTTTTAGAAAATAATGTTTCAAAATGCTACATACACATGGTACTATTGTTTGCACAGTTTGATCAAAATAAGGATCTACTCTGAGTCAAGCAAAACCTAGAGGAAATATACCAAACAACTTGAAAATCATTTGTATAAAATTCATTGCACATTATTTTACTCAGTTGTTTGAAAAGTAAAAAAGTGTATTTACAAAATATTTTGCAGTCAAAATTATAAAGTGAATGGATATCTCTAAGTAACACGTCCTGATACAGACAGTTCAAGGAAAACACACGAATGTTTTTTCTTTAAGAGGTTTTCAGTGCTCCTTCCACAGGGAAGTAAACATGATCTACTCAAATGGATTTACAAGATGGTACACATACTGGAGCAAATCCAACACCTGCATTATAAAACAATGTTAAAAAGGTGAAAGAATGAGGAATTTATACATTGTAGTAATAAGAAGTGAGCTATTCAGATCAACAAGTACAATTTTTACTTCAGTTGGCATAAAAGTCTTCATAGTCTTCAGATAATAGACAATGAACATCCTTGACTCGATGAAAGTTGAAAAAGCACCATGCACAACAGTTTAGTGGTGAACACTGAAAAAAATAGCACCTGGAATTCTGCGATATTGACGATTTAAAACTGGTCTAGTAACTGCCGGAGATATGGTGCCTTGGATAATTCTCTATTTACTCGGGAGAGTTTGAAAAGTACTGGGCAGTTCAGAGAAACACATGGGATATGTCGATCAAAGCAACCTGTACAGTTCTTGCATATCTGAAAGCATAAGAGACATATATAAAACAATAGGAAAGTTTTTATATATATGTATAAACAATAAATTTTTATAATCCCTCCTTTCTGACCTACCACACATTACCAACATTACAGAAAAGTTTCATTAATTTTCATCTCTTAGAAGCCTAGCCTACCCTATGTTGAGACATTTCTAAAGGATATTTCACAAAACAGAGTTCAAATTTTCCCAAGAATTCATTTCATTCCTAAGATCAGCTTTCATTTATGATAGAATCCTATTATATTAAAATCCACATAATAAACTATTCGATTACCAAAGGAATGTCTTTTCAATGAACTATAAACGGTATTTTTAAAATTAGATCATCTTTTTATATGCCAATCGTAAAAAAGTTATTCATTTTCTTATTTCAGAAGAGAAAATATCAGTATGAGAAAAATCAAATGATATGCATTTGGAAGTAGTGGTCTAGACCAGTAGTTCTCAACCCTGGTTAACAATGAGCTTAATAATAAACTAATGCCTGAGCCCCATCCCAGACGAATGAATCAGAATCTCTGTGGATGAGTTCTTATCACTGATCTGATAACAGGAGCACATCTGGATCAGAAGGTGACAGCCTCAGAGGAGCTTCCTAAAGGCAAATACCAGGTGCATCCACACAGAAAACAACTGGAATCTTTGAACATCTTGTTCAATAAGAACCCATATCCAACCCCAGCCTTCAGAAAGAGATGGCCTCAAAAATGGACATATATCTGACAGCACTGCAGGTTGGTTCAGGAACCACAGAGCAAAACTCAAGAAAGCAAAATGCAAGAACGTTCAGCAAAAACAAACTCTGCAGCAGCAGACACCTCAGGGTGGAGTCAAGCCCAGTCCCTGCCAGAGAAATACGGACACGCAACCCGGATCCCCCAACGACACCTATCCTGTAGCCCTTTATGCAGGTCACCAGGCACCCTTGTACCAACTCAGCTTATACCCAATGTTAAGGTCCCTACAGATGTCTTCCTTGGCCACAGAACAGCCCATTTTGGCTGCTGCCAAGATCCTGACATTAACTGCCTCTATCCCATTTTGGAATCCCAGGTTGGTTCTCCATGCTTCAGTTCTAATGTTTTTGGCTATTCACTTCTACAAAGCAGGGAGGGACACTAGATGTAAGCGGTCACATGTAATGATTTCCATTCAAGAGCATATTAGAGGTAGACACCACAACATAGACTGATTTCAGAAACATTATGTGGCGTAAAAGATATGAATTCCTAGAGCAGGGAAAACCCATCTGTTGTGGCAAAAAGATCAGTGGCTGTCTGTGTGGAAAGAATTAAATAGAAGCACAAAACAAATTTATTAGGGTGATGGAAATGTTTCATGTCTTAATTAGGGTGGGAGTTACCTGAGGGAATAAATTCATCAAAACACTGAGAACTGTACATCTAAAATTGACATTTTATTTTACATAAATAAAATGTAAAATAAACCTCAATAAAATAAACCTCAATAAAAAATATATAATGAGGGAAAAAAAAGAATCTCTGGGGATCAGAGCCTAAGAATCTGTATGTTTTAAGCTCCAAGGTGATTCTGATGTATAAGGTTTGATCTTAACCTCAAACTCGTGGGCTCAAGCAATCCTCCTGCCTCAGCCTCCTGAGTAGCTGGGATTACCAGCATGCACCACCATGCCCGGCTAATTATTTCTATATATTTTTAGTTGGCCAATTAATTTCTTTCTATTTTTAGTAGAGACAGGGTCTTGTGCTTGCTCAGGCTGGTTTCGAACTCCTGACCTTGAGCGATCCACCCGATTTGGCCTTCCAGAATGCTAGGATTACAGGCATGAGTCACCACGCCTGGCCCATAAGGCAATTTTTTTAAAAAGAAGCATTTTTATGTTTTACACAGTAATCAGATTTTAAACAATACTTAAAGGCTCAAGTCACATATACAATATAGTTTTAAAAAGATTATAAAACAAGAAAAACATTAAAAAGGGGATCCCAAATAGCAGCAACTACTCTAGATTACCTTGTAAGAGAAAAACGAAATATGCTCTAGTGAATTCTTTGATCTATCAAAGGGCTTCTGTTTTGAAGGTGGCTTACAGGCAGTGAATTTTTGTTCTTTGTCCCAGTATCTTCCAGCCAGCCAAGCGAAGGGCACATTTTTCTGAGTTACATTGGTTATTGTATCTAATATTATGATACTGCCACAAGCAAACTGCTTAGAAACCTGTGCTTCAGTATGTTCCATGAAGACTGAGAATACTGTTCTTCTATGAAGGCTTTGCTAATTATATCTCTGCCAAGAGACTCAAATGTATTCCCAAATATAGAATTTCTGTATTACAGCTCTATGAACTGCAGCTACATTAAGGTGCCAGGACAAACTGATAAATATTTAAGCACTCTGTGCTCGTCTCATAAATAAGCCTGGATGGAATTACTTGACTCACTAAATTTAACTCTATGTTTAGTTTCAAGATCCTTTACTGGTTATTTAAACCCTGTACATTATAGACCAATTCAGGCTTATATTTAAAACTTTAGCCACCATAACCTAGACCTACTTTTTAGCTCATAAGAAGACAGAGATTTAAAAAATATCTGCTTTAATCTTTATTGATTCCTTCTTTTTGCTATCCTTTGGCTTTCTTATTTTTTCAAAAAACTTCAGTCAGATGCCTAATTCATTTGTCTTCATTCTTTCATATTATTAAAAATGTTTAAGGTGATGAGTGTTTCTCTGAGATCTGCAATGGCCATCTAGAATTCCACATGTAATTGTTTTCATTTTGTTTAATACGGCATGTTAGAATTTCTAAGTGGAAAGACCATTTTTTTTCTCAGTTTATAATTACTAGCTTTTTTTATAGCATTGTATCAATCATGTCATTTGTAATATTCCTACTTTTTGAAATTTATTGAGGGTTTCTTTACGGACTAAGTTGTAGTCAATTTTTAAACATTCCATAACTGTTAAGCATTTATTCTTAAACAATTAACATTTAAATAATAAACATTAAACTATAGAAGTGTAATGGGTTACAGAGTTTGATATATAATCCTAATATCGACCTTATAATATTTAGATCTTCCATAATTGTACTTATTTCTGATCATTTAATTGGTCTTGGACTGAGAGAGACATTAAAATCTCTTGTTTTAATATGTTTCTCTTTCTCATTACATCTCCAGTACTTTCTGCTTTATGAAAATTTCTACAGATTACTAAGATCCAACAAAGGAATTTTCAAAGAGAGTTGGTTGCTGCCATTGGGACAACAGCCTATAAAATAAACAGAAGATGGGAGCACCCAGTGACGTCTGTGGTTATACTGACTGGAACCACAAAACTAGTACAAAATGGCTGAAAGCTGGTTGGTATTAATTTCAGTGATGTACTGCTTTTTTAATTATACATTAAGCAGGATTGTTAATTCATTAAAAAAATATTTACAGACCACCACTGTGGGCTGAACTCTATACTAGGCATGGCAGACTCAGTGGTGAAAGAAGGGCAGGGCCTATGCCCTCACCAGCCCACTTGTTGTTTAGTGGGGAAAACAGACACACACATAATCGCAGTAAAGCAGAGGAGGTTATGGCAGGAGCCCATTGCATGGGAGGCTTCACCTGGTCTAGGGGTTTAAGCTGATTCCTATGAGATGATTCCAGGGGTGGGTAGAGGGAAGCATTCCTGGCAGAGGAAGCAGGGTGTTTAAAGTCCAGGAGGTGGAAGAGATCAAGGGGCATTCATGGACCTAAAAGAAGGTTAGTATGGTACAGGTGGAGATAGAGTGTGACAGGGAGAAAGGCAAGGAATGGTGACGGACAGGTAGCAAGGTAGGGCCAAAAGGGAGAAGGACTTACAAACCCCATGCTAAAGAGTTTAATTTTTATCGGGGGCAGCGGGGAGAATTATTCTTTATGTATCATTCTTCAACTTACTTCAAGAGATGTTTGTTGTTTATTTCTGCTAGAATTCCCATACATCCTGCATTTTCTGTCTATATCCTAGCTCGGCCTCTTATCAGCAACATAACATGCAAATGACTTAGTCCGAACCTCTCTGTGTTAATTTACTCAACTGTATTCCAGAGACTGTTCTAGGTACTCTTACAGGTAAGACTCAGTTATGTTAACTATTAATTTTCTACCTGGACTCATAGAATTGCAAACCTTTCAAGTTTACTGCAATTCTCATAGACAGCTAGATTTTTTAAAGAATGGTAAGTATTGATAGAGAAATTAAGACTTTTCTTCTTCTTCTTCTTTTTTTTTTTTTTTTTGAGACAGAGTCTCACTTTGTTGTCCAGGCTAGAGTGAGTGCCGTGGTTGTCAGCCTAGCTCACAGCAACCTCAAACTCCTGGGCTCGAGTGATCCTTCTGCCTCAGCCTCCCGAGTAGCTGGGATTACAGGCATGCGCCACCATGCCCGGCTAATTTTTTATATATATATATCAGTTGGCCAATTAATTTCTTTCTATTTATAGTAGAGACGTGGTCTTGCTCTTGCTCAGGCTGGTTTTGAACTCCTGACCTTGAGCAATCCGCCTGCCTCGGCCTCCCAAGAGCTAGGATTACAGGCGTGAGCCACAGCGCCCGGCCTTTTCTTCTTTTTTAATACCACAGGTTGAATATCTCTTATCTGAAATGCTTGGGACCAGAAGTGTTTTGGATTTTGGGATATTTGCATTATACCTACAGGTTGAACATCCCTAATCTGAAATTCCAGAACATTTCAATGAGCATTTCCTTTGAGTATCATGTTGGCCTTCAAAAGTTTCAGATACTGGAGTTTTTTAGATTTCAGATTAGGGATGATTAACCTGTACTATAAAAGAAACTGTGTGGATGGCCATTCTATTCTAGTTCTAGCTTTTAATAAACACAATACTTCTATTCCATAAAAACAAAAAGTAAATTATAAACCAAATTTAGCGATTTGAAATAGTTTAAATCAATTATGATATTTTTGAGATTTTGAGACGTTTACCAGTTTAGAATCTTCATTTCACTTTTCACACTGGTTTCATATCTCATACTATAACTCAAAAGTTCACTGTATCTCCCTGAAAAATCAGATTGCTTGGGATTCCAACTCTATCAAACAAAGCCATACCTTTACAAGTTGCTCCTGTTTACGTTCCAACTCTCGAATTTCTTGGCTGAGGATGACTGCAACATGCTGAGGTTGGCTCCGACATTTGCTACAGATGCCGTGCTGAGTCAGGTCATCGCACACAGGACAGTGTAAGGTAGTGAAATATTGTGAAATAGTGCCTTTCCGCCCTTCAATTTCATTTCGAGAGGAGCTGGTGGCTTTCTGGATCTATAAAACATCAATTCAGAAATAAGTCTGAACCAGCTTCATAGAGAACTGCTTTTTCATGCTAATTACAGGTTTACTCAGGCATTCATTCATTCAACAAATGGTGAGTAGCTATTACGTGCCAGACACTGTTCTATACTGGGACCTCAGAAATGATGTAAGTTCCATGAAAGCATGGAGCTTTGATCTTAATATCATCAAATATATTGGTTTTTCTTTAATATCATCAAATATATTGGTGGGGAACGGTCTGCCATTCACATAGAAGACAATGAAAGAAATCCAGGCTGAGAGTGGATACTGTTTAAGAGTGCACAAGTTGGGCCATGGAAACAAAGCAAGTGGAAGGTTAAAACAATTTGCTAGGCAGTAGGGTGCAAAATTTAAGCAAAAGTAAACCTGGAGCATTTTACTCCTCCCGCACACGCCCATACTTCCATCAGAATGGATCATTTCAAATTTAGATATATGTCACCTAAGAATCTTTTATTTGAAGTTAATAATGGTTTCAGAGATCTGTCTTCTGGTACTCTTTTTACATTAAAATAACATGATCATGGCATGGTGGCTCACACCTATAATGCCAGCACTTTGGGAGGATGAGGTGGGAGGATTGCTTGAGCTCAGGCATTTGAGACCAGCCTGGGCAAGAATGAGACCCTGTCTCTACAAAAACTAGAAAAATTAGCTGGGTGTGGTGGTGCACGCCTATAGTCCCAGCTACTTTGGGAGGCTGAGGCAGGAGGATCTTGAGCCCAGGAGTTTGAGGTTGCAGTGGGCTATAATCATGCCACTGTACCCTAGCTGGGGTGACAGAGTGAGACTGTGTCTCAACAAAACAAAAAAAGCTACATTATTATACCCTTGCCATATTCTCCTGGTATCTTAGAAATCACTTTGCATAAAAGTTATTAGGTTAGCCTCCTAGAAGTGTCATTGGTTTAACATTCTTGCTGGTGATGAAATAAAAAATAGCAATTAAAAAGTCTGAGCTGGCCAGGCGTGGTGGCTCACGCCTGTAATCCTGGCACTCTGGGAGGCCGAGGCGGGCGATTGCTCGAGGTCAGGAGTTCAAAACCAGCCTGAGCGAGACTCCGTCTCTACTATAAATAGAAAGAAATTAATTGGCCAACTATATATTATCTATTCTATTATCTATTATCAACTATATATTATCTATATATTAATATATATAGAAAAAATTAGCCGGGCATGGTGGCGCATGCCTGTAGTCCCAGCTACTTGGGAGGCTGAGGCAGCAGGATTGCTTGAGCCCAGGAGTTTGAGGTTGCTGCAAGCTAGGCTGAAGCCACGGCACTCAATCTAGCCTGGGCAACAAAGCAAGACTCTGTCTCAAAAAAAAAAAAAACAAACAACAAAAGTCTGAGCTTCCTGGCCTAGAGCCAGGATATGTGCTCAGAACACTTATATTAGCGTATAATTGGGCAAAATAACACAAAGCCTATTTTATAATAAAATATTGAATATGTCATGTGATGCATTAAATACTATATTGAAAGTGAAAAACAGAAAGGTTGTATGGGGACTTGAAGTATGGTTTCTTTTGAATGTGTACCACTTTTGCACCATTGTAAAGCTGAAAAATTTTAAGTTAAACCACCATAAGTTGGGGATCATATGTAATGCTATTATATTTTAACATTACAACATTTCTTTAGTCCGGTTTCTTCAGTACTTTGTCTAGATACTAAATCCTATACGTTTCTTTAACATCCATTCTGAAGGAAAAAAAATTCCTATTAGCTGGTTTATTATGAATTATTTTGTGGCTAAGTATTTACCATTGAAATAATTGTGGGATTTTAACATTTCTATAATTTGGCCATCCTGATAGAAGCCAGAAAGGTGTAGAAAACTTAAAAGAAGAGTGTGGTATCTTTGCCAGTTTAGGATAGAGGATCTGTTCTGCCTTTCATAGCACATAAATAAAATCTTTAGTTCTACTGCAAATTTGAAGTGAAATCTCTCCGTAGCTAGAGCACACGTACTACTTGGCAAGCTTACCCTTGGTAATTCATGATACCAGCTGAAGACATCAATACCAATAAGTGAGAAGATTCTTGCCAGGGGTGGAAGGATTTGCTTGGTCATATAGTAAGTGGCATTCAGTCTTAGAGTCGGGTCCTGCAGGACTTCCACCGGGCGCCTTACCAGCTGGATAAGTGGTACTCCAGGGGTCCCATAAATGATGACATAGGGCACTCGCTCCCCAACTCGAGGCTCAGAGCGCCGGTCATAAGTAAGCATTTTCCTATTTAAATCCAAATAAAATGCACACTCAAAGACTATTATATAAGGCATCGTTCCAGCAAATTAAATCAGAATTAAGCAATAATAAAACCATGAAAAATATACAGGGGATATTTGTATCAAATTGGAGTTACTACTTCTTGGAGAACTATATACATTTCACTTAGCTGGCACCAAGTGGATATAAGAGTTTAAAAATTACCCTGTAAATCACTAATATCTGCCAACTCATATTATTTTCCAGGTATCAAGTAGCTTAAGAATTTTTTTTTATCCCTTAAGAGTAAGAACTATCATAAATCTAACAATGAAGGATAAGAAAAAACTTAACTAAACTGTCTGATTGCAGAATGATACCAGCTTAAGTGCTCTGATATATCAATATTAAGGACCACCTAGTGATTTTGATGTGGGAGAAACAAATGAATCAAGCTCTGTATCAGATTATAATTTCATTGCATTAAATTTCCCAAGGAAAGCCAAGGATTTCCTCTTCAGCACTTACCAAGTATGAGGGAGCATTCGTTAACCTTCAGTAAGGCTTCATGTGGGCAGGTAAACAACCAGACTGTAAACAACTACTGCCTGTAGACTAGGTGTCTTTTCATTTACTCTAAGCCTGTGCAGAATCCTAGGACTACACTGGCTAGGTATTGAGGGTATTGTTACCTTGTAAGTTCAAGGGCTGGCACACAAGCTCCAGGTTTATAAGAAAAACTTCCTCTGTATTCCTTGGCAAAGATAAAATCTTGTATGCTGGCCTTTCCTTCCAGAAGCTTCATACATTGTCGCTGAACATACTGTTTAATTAGACTTATATCTCTTGTTTCAAATAGCAGCTTTAGAGAACGCTCAAGTATCTGAAAATAAAAAAGATATGCATATAAAGATAAAATATTCCCTAGTATGTTTCATTATTGTTATACTTTCATTATATACCTACAGACCTACTGAAATAATCTGTTACTTACAACGATTAGATAATAAAAATATTAGAAATTGGAAAATATTTGAGACTTTATATAGCTTTCTATTTCTAAAAAGAAACTATCATGTCATTTGAGGAATATTAGAATGATATGCATATGAAACATTTGCTATGTGATGAGCTACATAAAACATTTAAGTTTTTCTTACATAGTCAAAGCGCTCTAGGCACAAGAAACCAGACATGATTTCATGTATTGTTTTTTTTTTTTTTCCTTTTTTTTTTTTTTTTTTTTTTTAATTTTTTTTTAGGCATACAAGCTAAAGGATGATCATGTATTGTTTTATATTTACCATTATAGAAAGAACCTGATTCAGTTACAGGAAGGACAGAGAGAAGTTTAAAGATCATCAAGCAGTCAAATCAAGATCAGCCTTTTGCCTTTCTATAGTGTTGATAAATAACTGTGACAGAATTTTCTGCGTTGGAAATATTTCTACTAGGACATGACCAACATGCAGTGAATTCATATAGAGGACTGAATTTAAATTAGTTCTAGATGAAGGTTCTGTATTTTATTCTGAATGCTGGAACCTATGAGTATTTATTCAATAAGCTTATTAATTTAGTTTAGATACAATTCTGCCTACTACACAGAAAGGATGTATTGGGTGATATCTCTTCCAGAAACGAGTACTGAAAAATATCCCCAATTCACATATTTTATATATAACATTATATACTGACATAGTATATTGATAAGTGTCAATCCATTATGCTTTTAATGCTCTCATATAAAACTCAGTGTACAGAATGCTATTTCCATTTGTCATTTATTTTTGGTTTGCTATAGAAGGAGTCTGGGCATGAATAAAGAAAAATAAAAAATATTATGGTTTAAATTACTATGGTTAAGAAATCTGGGTAATTTATATAGCACCACCATTTGGAAATCTTCCTAATTCATATTTAATAATCCAAATAAGTGAAAATTCAGTTAATCTGGGATGGATTATATTATTTATGAAATCTCTCTGTTGTTTCTTTTACTTATCCTGCTTACTAGCATTCGGGAATTCTTATATGACAACATCATATTATCATCTCCATGTGATAGCAGGAAAATTCTTATGAAGTTCATGTGTTGCTTTTTAGCAATTTTGATAAAACACAAGGTATGGGAAGAAGTCAGAAACTAAGGACTGAAATGAAATGATTTTTTTTCATTAGAAATAAAATTCTCAAAGTTCATATAGTTTCTCCTATAGCTACATTTCCACCAGATTCTTTGGCTATTTATTTTTTACAGATGAGGATAAGATAGATAAAACTTACCTTGGAAACAGCAGGACAGGAATCTCTTCTAACTGTTTCTATTCCTTTTGCATCGAATATTGGGTCCTTTTGTTCCAGTGTTTCATACATGTAACCCACATACCTCTTTTTTGTTTGCAAAACACAGGGCAAATATACCTGTGGTGAAATTAACAAAATGCCTCTTAATAATCATTTTTACCCATTATGAATATTTTAATGTCTTTCTACTCTCTTTAGTCAAATGTCAATTATAAAAAAATTCTAAATATGACTTAGGGCCCAACAAATTGATGATATGCCCTCTGAAGGTGAAAACACACAAAATGAATTATCTTTCCTTCTTTACCACTTACTCACTTTTTCTTGTACTATCAATTTTGTTCCTACCTCAACTGATAATGTTCTCTCAAAAGTCATCAATATCTTCTTAAACAATGAAAAAAATTGTTTTAAAAATTATTTTATAAGTAACACCTACATATGGTACAAAAAATTATGAGAATATATAGTTGTAAGTCCCTTAGCTTCCACTTCCTGTTCCTCAGACACATTGTATTACTGGTTTCCTGTGTATCATTCCAGAAATATTCTATGCAAATACATGTACTTAAACACTCTTCTTTTCCCCCCAATAGGAGCTTATCATATATACCACTTGGTAGTTTGCTTAATTCAGTAATTTATTTGGAGAGCATTCCATCCCAGTAGAGAAAGCTCATTTTGTTTTATAGCTACATAGTAGTCCATGTTTGGGGGACATCATAATTTATGTAACCAGTTATCCACTATGGGTCATTTGGATATTTTCAGTCTTTTGGAATTACAAGTATAGGATTCCAGCAAACAACCGTGCATGAATTAATCTGTAGATTAAATTCCTTGAAATGGAATTCCTGGATGTGTCTTTGTTTGAATGTTACCAGTTTGGTCCTTTCTCCTGCCCCCAAGCCTTTTTTCCCCCCCATTTATTTATTTATAAATGAATGAATGACAGTCTCACTCTGTTGTCCTAGGTAGAGTACAGTGGCATCATCGTAGCTCACTGCAATCTCAAATTCCTAGGCTCAAAGAATCCTCCTGCCTCAACCTTCCAAGTAGCTGAGACTACAGGTGCATGGCATGATGCCTGGCTAATTTTTCTATTTTTAGTAGAGATAGGGTTTCACTCTTGCTCAGGCTGGTCTCGAACTCCTGAGCTCAAGCAATCTTCTCACCTTAGCCTTCCAGAGCTCTAGGACTGTAGGCACGAGCACTGGCCTCTTAAAATATTTTTTATGTTATGTTGACAAAAATTGTATATATTTATCATGGACATTTTTTTTTTTTTCTGAGACAGAGTCTTGCTTTGTTGCCTAGGCTAGAGTGAGTGCCGTGGTGTCAGCCTAGCTCACAGCAACCTCAAACTCCTGGGCTCAAGCGATCCTTCTGCTTCAGCCTCCCAAGTAGCTGGGACTACAGGCATGTGCCACCATGCCCAGCTAAGGACATGTTGTTTTGAAATATGTAGATATTGTAAAGTTCCCAATCTTTATCAATAACCACATTAAATGTAAATGACCTAAACATCCCAATTAGAAGGCAGAAAGGATCAAACTGGATAAAAAAGACCAAACTATGGGCTACCTATTAGAAATTCACTTTAAACATAAGAATATAGAAAGGTTAAACATTTAAAAATGGAAAAAGATATGCAGTCATGGGCTGCATAACAATGTTTTGGTCAATGATATACCACATATATTATGGTGGTCCCATAAGATTATAAAAACATATTTTTATTGTATTTTTTCTATGTTTAGACACACAAATACCTATCCATTGTGTTACAGTTACCTATAGTATGCAGTACAGTAACATGCTTGTACAGGTGGGTAGCCTAGGAGCAATCGGCTATACGTTAGAGTCTAGATGTGTAGTGGGGTAGACCATCTAGTTTGTGTGTAAGTACACTCTATGATGTTGGCACAATAGTGAAATTGCCTAACGAGGTATTTCTCAGAATGTATCCCCATGTTAAGTGATGCATGACTGTACATGCTAACACTAATCAAAAGAAAGCTAGAGTAGCTATAGTATCAGAAAATAGATTTCAAGACAAGTACTATTATCAAAGGTAAATGTGTATGCACCTAAAATAAGTAAACTTTGAAAAACGTGAAACAAACTGACAAAACTAAAAGAAAGAAACAGGTAAATTCATGTTTATAATTGGAGACTTTAGCACCTCTCTCTTAGTATTTGACAGAAAATCAGTAAGAACATGAAAGTCTTCACTGTTAACACTATCAATTAACCTAATCTAAGTAACATTTATAGAACATTCTACCCAATAACCAGAAAACACATGGTTTTTTCAAGGTTACATGAAACATTCAGTAAGACAGACTGTATGCTGGACCAAATAACAAATTTCAATAAACTTAAAGGCACTGAAATCATAGAGTATGTTCTTTGACCATAATGCAGTTAAACTAGAAATAATAAAAAGATTACTATAATATCCCTAAATATTAACACACTTCTAAGTAACCTATGGGTCATTCTCATTAAAGCAAATGAATAATGAAAACACAGATATCAAAATTTGTAGCTAAAGCAGTGTTTAGCGGGAAATTTATTTCTTTAAATGCTTTATATTAAAAAAGATTTGTTCAAAATCAATCAAGCTTCCAAATTAGGAAGACAGGAAAAGCAAAGCAAACCAAGCCCAAAGTAAATAGAAGGAAGGAAATAATAGAGTGGGGAAAAAAGTTCAAAAGGTTCAACAAACTGATAAACCTCTAGCTAGAATGAACAAGGAAAAAATAAAAATAAATTATCCATATCATAAATGAAAGATGTCACTAAAGATTCTACAGATATTAAAATCACAATAAGGAAATATGAACAATTCATGCCAATGGACAATTTTTTGACAACAAAAAGTTATTAAAACTAACATGCTGAGAATCTGATTATTTAAAAAAAAAAAAAACTAACATGAAAGAAAACCTGAATGATGCAGTATCTAGTAAAGATGTTTAATTTTTAACTAAAAATCTTTCCCCTTCTGGGTGAGATGGCACATGCTTATAATCCCTGTTACCTGGGATGCTGAGGTGTGAGGAATGCTTCAGCCCAGAAGTTCAAGGCTGCAGTGCTATGACCATGCCTGTGAATAACCACTGCACTCCAGACTAAGGAACAAAGTGAGAACTCATCTCTTAAAAAAATAAAACAAAACCTTCCCCCCAATAAAATTTTGGGTCCAGATGGCTTTATTGGTGAATTCCATCAGTCATGTAAGGAAGAAATAATTGTACCAATCTTACACATTTTTTCTTTCAAAAAATAGAAGAGGGGGCCGGGCGCGGTGGCTCACGCCTGTAATCCTAGCTCTTGGGAGGCCGAGGCGGGCGGATTGCTCAAGGTCAGGAGTTCAAAACCAGCCTGAGCAAGAGCGAGACCCCGTCTCTACTATAGAAAGAAATTAATTGGCCAACTGATATATATATATAAAAAAAATTAGCCGGGCATGGTGGCTCATGCCTGTAGTCCCAGCTACTCGGGAGGCTGAGGCAGAAGGATCGCTCGAGCCCAGGAGTTTGAGGTTGCTGTGAGCTAGGCTGACGCCACGGCACTCAAAAAAAAAAAAAAAAAAAAAAAAAAAAAAAAAATAGAAGAGGGGTATAATATTTCCAACTATTTTATGAGGGTAGCCTTCTCTTGTCCCCAAACCAAAGATAATACAAGAAAATAAAAACTACAGATCAATATTCATCATGAACATATGCATCATAATTCTTAAATGTTTATATTTTTTTTTGAGAAGTTTTATAGTTTTGCTTTTATGTTTAAGGTTTGTGATCTGTTTTAGGTAAATTTTTGTGTGTGGTGTTATTCTCCAAGCACACCATGTTTTTTCACTTCACCAGATGGGTTGAATAGATATACTTCTACAATTGCACTCACTGTGTTTTCTAATTTTTCTCTCCTCTCTCTGCCATAATTAGAATGTTCATTCTTCAGGACAGAACCAAAACTGAGTCCTCTCTGAATTCCTCTCTGAATTTCTGGTGGCACAATTCTTACTTTAGACTAGGTATATAATAAATATTTGGGAGTCATCTTTGAATCTTTTCTCCCTCTTTTATCCTTTCCATACCTGCCCTCTTAAGTTAATCACTTCTAATTCTTGCTCATTCTTCTTTCTTAGTTTCTCTTGAAATGCCTTTTCTTTATTTACCTTATTGTCATTTCACTAGTTCACACTATATAGGTTGCAAGAAGCATTCTGTCTTGAGATCCTCCTCTCCCCAATTCATCTCATACATCACTGCAAGGTCAATCCTCCCCAAACAGCTCTAATCACGACACTTTCTTGCTTGATAATTGCTATGGTTTAAATGTATTCCCTCCAAAATTCAGGTATTGCCAATGTGATAAGTATCTTTAAAAGGTTGAGGCCTCTAAGATAATTAGGTCATGAGGGCTCCTCCCGTCAGGAATGCGATTAGGTACCCTTATAAAAGGGGTGGAAGGAGGGAGTTCATCCCTTTTTGCCTTTCTAACTTTTGCCATGTGAGGACGAAGCAAGGTCCCCATCAGACACCAGATGCTAGTGCCTTGATCTTAGACTTCCCAGCCTCCAGAACTGTGAGAAATAAATTTCTGTTCTTTATAAATTACCCAGTCTGTGGTATTGTTATAGTAGCAGAAACAGACTAAGACAATAATAACCTTTACTAAATAAAGTCTACATACTTTAGCCTGGCCTTCAAGACACTCCACAGTCTGGTCTCAACTTTATTTTTCCAGATTTATCTCTTGCTACTCTATTTCTATATTGTGCTTTTCCAATTCCGTATCCTTCTATGTGCCATTTTCTCACAGAATGATTGCAGCTCCATGGCTGCCTACTGAAACTCTACCTATTTTTGAAGACACAGTTCAATGTCACCTCCTACTTGGAGTCTCCCTGTCCAGCCCAGGAGGACACAATTCCTCTTTTTCTTTTTGCTCTTACAGTGCTTAGGGAGACTGCTCTCATGAGACTTTAAGTTTACAATAAAAGAGATCACTTATATACATTTCTTATCTTTCCTTTTAGATTACTGGCTCTTAGAGAGCAGGGCTATGTCTTATGCTTCTTTGTTTTCCACACAGCTCCTAGGTTCAGTATCTTTTATATAGAAATAAATAATTACATATTTGTTGATGAGAGACAGGAAAAAGAAAAAAAAAATAATAATTACATATTTGATACCTAAAAGTGAAAAGAGTCAAAAGTCCAGGGGTAGACTATATTTTGCAAAGAAAAAATATCTCCCACCCTACATAGTCTTCTTACCATGTGACTCTGACATTCTTCCCATTAACAGATGAGGTCTATGTTCTCTCCCCTTAAATCTAGAGAGGTTTGTGACACTGTGTGACTTTAAGACCAGGTCATAAAAAACAAAAGCATCTTTTGTCAGTTTTTCTTTGGGATGTTCACTCCTAGAACCCAGCCATCATGCTATGACAAAGAATAAGCAGCCCCAGGGAAAGGCCATGTGTAGGTATTCTAGCTGATGTCACAACCTGCAGCCAGCATCAACTGCTAGACCTGAGAGTAAGTCAGCTTCAGATGATTTCAGCCCTCAGCTGTTGACTGGGTTACTCCAGCCTTTAAGTCTTTTTAGCTCAGGACCTAGATATTGTAGAACAGAGACAAGCCATCCCTGCACCTGAATTCCTGAGCCATACAATCTGTAAGCAGAATAAAATGCTGATTATTTTACACCATTAAGTCTGGGGTGGTCTGTTACACAGTAACAGTTAACTGGAACAACTTTTTAATTTCCTTATATAAAGATATTACTAAAAAATTTGAGGAAATCATGTAGAACTAAGAAAATATTTAACACTTTTATAGAACTGTAAACTGATTCTGAAAATGTAATGAATAAGTCAGAAATCTCTAGAAGGTATGTGAATTTTATATGTGATTATTAGTACTACATTCCTCTTACCTTTTCAAACTTCAGTTTCACTGGTTTAGGATTGGTAGCTGTTACAGCTTCAGCAATTTCCTGACCAATCTTAAAAGACTGCTCCTTAGTGGCTCCTTTCAGTAGCACAAACATACTAAGGGGATTAAAAATAAAGTAGGGTAATGAAGTTGTTACTACAAAAAAATTCATGAAGAGTAACTTTCTTGGCTAAGACTCTGTCTAGTACCAAAGAAAACTCTTTTCCCACACTTATTCTTCCTTATTAAGTTGCTTCCTAAGATTTCCTGTTTTATCACATTTCCCTTAGGTACTCATGGTATATACCTTGTTACAGATCTTTTTAGACATCCAGTTTTTCTAGTTTAGCTATACACCAGAGCAGCTCAGATAATACAGCTGCCAAGAAGGTCCCAGACATTTAAGGCTTTGTATGGTACACAGTTAAATCCATCATAAAATAAGAGAATATGTGATTATAAAAAAATGGAAAATTTACTTGTGCTATGGGAGGAAGTTTCCTTCCAGAACCACCCAACTTAAAAAAGACGACATATTTTTGTAATATATGTTCACTGAAGGATAGTTAGAAAACACAAGAAGGTGCAAAGAAGAAAATAGCTATCTATAATCCTACCATTCAGAAGAAAACCAGTATAATAAACATTTTATGTATATATCTAAAAATCCTTTCTCATTTGCTATAATAGATCATATTGTTTGGTAACTTTCTCTTTGCATTCAATGGTACAATGTGAACATTTTCCCATGTCACTTTGTTCTTTTACATTATTTTTATAATTATACTGTATTTCAATGTATGGATATATCATAATTTAACCAAACCCTTGCTACTGAAAATTTAGGAGGTTTTAATTTTTTGCTACTATGTTGTATAAAATAATTATTTGGCACACCTCTAATTGTATAATTAGAACAAATTCCTAGAAATGGTGTACACTAAAAATGTATTTTGAAAGATAGTATCAAACTGATTTCCAGGAATGCATTTCTGATGTATAATCCCACCAGCAATGTATGCAGGTCAAGAAGGATGGATTTCTAATATGGATAAGAAAATACCAATATAAAAAATATTCAAAAATAACTGATAAAAGTATTGGATATTTTTCTAATATAATCCAGTTAACTTTATAATAGCACTTTACATTTCATTATATACTACAATCTGAGCACCAACAGAAATAATGGATAATAAAGATAATATTTAAGTAAGAGATATTATAAAGTTCATTTTCACTTATAATTTTAGTGGAAAGACATTAAATAGTGGAAATCGATGATATCTTGAAACTAAACTTTAAGATTCTTGTTTCTAGCCACACAAACCAATTTTTGAAATGTTCTTATATTGGACTTTAAATCCCATTTGGGTGGTTTCTTTGGACTCTTTTCCTGTTAATGCTGGAGATAGTACTTGTCTTAGAGCCTAATATGAAAAATTTAAGAAGAAAAGGAGTACTAATTTATTCAATTTTACTTAAGATTTTTAAAATAAAAATTGTCTCAATCTGAATTAATTTTAAAATTCACTAAAGTAGAATATGAAGGCCTCACATATAATAGTTATACCTTCAAGCTAGGCTATACGCTGAACCATTTGAAGCTTTTTGTGATTTCTTTTTAGGCCACCTGATGCTCTTTACACCAATACAGACTTATTTTTAATACATTATAACATTTCCTTTTGAAAGATTATTTTAAAAATCAACATTATTGAGGTATAATTAGGATATAATAAAACGAACATATTGTAAGGATATAGTTCCATGAATTTTGACAAATATATAGACTCATTGTCTGAATTATATCCCCTCAAAATTCATACGTTGAAGTTCTAACACTCTATACCTCACAATATGACTGTTATTTGGAGAAGGGGCCTTTAAAGAGGTGATTAAGTTAAAATGAGGCTGTTAGGTAGGCCCTAATCCAAACTGACCGGTGTCCTTATAAGAGGAAATTTGGATATTCAAAGAGACATCAGAGATGTGCATACACAGAGGCCAGACTACATGAGGACACAGTGAGAAAGCAGCCATCTATAAGCCAAGGAGAGCCACAGGAGAAACCAAACCTGCCAACACCTTGACTTTGGACTTTTGCCTTACAGATTGTGACAAATCTGTGATATTTTGTTATGGCAGCTCTAGCAAACTCATACACTTGTGTAACTACCACCAGAATCAAGATATATAACATTTTCATCACCTCCAAAAGGTCCCTTGTATTCCTTAATAATAATTCTTCATTCCTGACACTAGGCTCAACACATGACTTGCTTTCTGTTATAGATTAATTTTGTTTATTCAAGAATTTTATATAAATAGAACTATGTACCCTTTTGCGTCTGCCTTCTTTCACTCAGCATATTTTGAGATTCATCAGTGGTACTGGAATAACAGTACTGTTTTTTTTTATTATTGAGTAGTATTCCATTGTATGGATATACCAAATTTGCTTATCTAATCACCCACTAATGTACATTTGGATTGTTTGCAGTTTTTGGCTATTATAAATAAAGCTTCAATGAAGGTTCATGTTCTCGTATTTGTGTAGACATAGGTTCTCATTTCTCTTTGCTAAACATTAAGGAATGGAATTGCTGGGTTCTATGTTAAGGGTATACTGAGCTTCATATATAACTGCCAAACTGTTTTTATGAAAGATTATTATTCTTAAAATGTTCAGATGCAATGATGAATGCAAACATTTTAAAATTTAAAGTGTATATATACATATTTCCATAAGGTTCTAGAACAGGCAAAACTAAGCTACAGTAATATTAATCAGATAAGTGGTTGCCTGGGGTGGGGAGTGAGGGTGAGGGATTGACTGCAAGGGGAATAAGAGAACTTTTTAGAGTAATAAAAATATTCTGTTTCTTGACTGGTGTGGTGGCTGGTTACTTGGGTCTATACATTTCTAAACTGAATTATATACTGTGCACTTTTTTGTTAAAAATCCTAACTCAATAAAAGTGACAAAGCATTAAGCATATATACTTTACATCTTAAAAGTTATTATTACAGGGTCTGTATTTGAGATTTTACCCAGTAGTGTTAGTAAATTTATTTGAAAACATCTATGTTGTTTTGCCCAGTTTGATTTGAAGTTAAGCTTCAAGAGAGATGGCCAGGATTAACGGAAGTTTTTGGTCACTTAACAGAATGGAGGTGATTACCCTCCAAAGAGAAAGATGACTGTTTTAAAATGAGTTTCTATTTGTCTGTCACTGGTGCTTTCCATGTATGTAAATAACATTTATCTTTGGCTTAAGAAGTCCAAGTACACATTTAGAACAAAGATTTTCATACAAAGAGGCATTGAGCAAGGATATTAGAATCACCTAGGAGGTTTTTCTTAATTAGACCCAGGTGAATTTCCCAAGAGATTCTGACTGTAGCTCACTACCACTTCTCTGCTGCCTTGGAAGTATGTGTCTTACCAAACATCCTTTCCTAACCTGCCCTAGAATCATTATACTATTATAAAGAGCTTGGCCGGGCACGGTGGCTCACGCCTGTAATCCTAGCTCTGGGAGGCTGAGGTGGGCGGATTGCTCGAGGTCAGGAGTTTGAAACCAACCTGAGCAAGAGCGAGACCCCGTCTCTACTATAAATAGAAAGAAATTAACTGGCCAACTGATATATATAGAAAAAATTAGCCGGGCATGGTGGCGCATGTCTGTAGTCCTAACTACTCGGAGGCTGAGGCAGGAGGATCACTTGAGCCCAGGAGTTTGAGGTTGCTGTGAGCTAGGCTGATTCCATGGCACTCACTCTAGCCTGGGCAACAAAGTGAGACTCTGTCTCAAAAAAAAAAAATAAATAAAATAAATAGAGAGCTTTAATCACTGATGGGAATAGATCATATCCCATTGGGGTGGGATAAATATGAGTGAGAACCACTATTACATTAAATAATTGTTTGGACCACTATAATATAAAGAAATACAGTGTCCTTATTTATTATATTTTCTAAAAGGACAATAATAAATAACTGCTTTAGAAGAAAAACACCCTTCTGACAGAGCCATTTTGATGCTTTGGTAACTGATCTCCCTTAGGTAGACCCCAAGATTCATAAAATTACTAACGTTAAAATGGGAGAAAGGCAATGGTCATTTACCATCATCTATCACATTTCCTTCACTCTGATGGGGAGGAGACTGAGAAATTAATTAGTAAGGAATAAAATATTGTTGCGTAGGGTTGACCTCTGTTGTGCCAAAAACTAACATATTAAGATTTTTTTTTGTCCCCCAAGAACCTATTTGTACTCTGCTAGGTCAATACTGTTACAGTAGAGAATGCTTGCCCTAGGGCGAGTTGCCCTCTTACAGATTCAACAAACATTTTTTTGAATGGATCAGGTAGTGAATGGTGATCAAAAGTTCTAATGACATTGCAAATAAATTTCCTTTGATTGGAATCATAAAATATCTGTGAAGTATGATAATAGAAAGCACCAGCTAGGATTCAAAACACTGAATTTATGGCTCCATTACTGACTAGTTGGGTGGTCTTACACAAATTTCTTACCCTAGGGGAATTTGTTCTTAAGCAAATGTCTGAGGTCTAAGGTTTCTCCCAACAGCATGAAAACTGCTGGCCTAATAATATCAAAGTCCTCTTCCAGCCTGACATTTCTGTGAGTTTGTTTTGTTTGCTTGAATTCTTAAATATCTTAAAAGGTATACAACATAACTACAGTCAGAATCATGCCAACTTCTGATTCTGAGTGTTGTCAACAACTTATATGTATAGCCCCTAAATTAAAATCAATAATTTAAATGTTTAACTTTCTCCTCTTCCCTAAGTATTTTGTAAGGAATTCTGCTGACAAGGTGCAGAACTATATTTTAGTAACTTTCGTTTTGTTAGAATACTCAGAAGTAGTTTCATAGAACAGTGAAATACCCAAAGCCAAACTCAGGAGTGGCTTTTGATGAGGAACAGTATAGATATATGGATAATCAGAGCCTGGATAATTTGAAGCTATCTTCACCTGCTGGTAATGAAACAGCTGCTATATGAGGTAAGGTCTCATTCACAATTAAAATGATTATGCTGACCATATGTACATTTTAAAGAAATGGAGAAAATTAAATACTGTTCGAAGATTCCTTATAAGCTATTTTAATGATTGGAAGCATTATCTTCTATTGCTCTGTTGGAATGTAAAGTGATCAGAAGTCTTGAGGCAAATGCTCTTAGCATGATCATACTGTGGCTCTAAGCCCTCGATATGAAAAAAATTTCAGACTCTCAGAAATTAGCATAATGCCTATATTCTAGAAGATTTTCAATAAGCCCTACAAACAAGATGTTACATAAATAACTAGGACCTGAAAAATATCAGAGCAAGCAAGGAAGCAAACAGGCTGGTGTTATTAATTCAGGATTCAAATGCAGTCCCATTCTTTGCCAATCCATGAATAATAGGCTTGCGGAAGTCTGTAAACCCTCTGAAATCAAATAGAAAACTGTATTTGCTTATGTGTACTTCTCTTAGAAGAAGGTCAACAGATTTTGGGGCCTAGTGAAAAGTTAACCACTCACAGCTTTGGCAACTGTCCTTTAAAACAGTTTAATTACTTTAAGATATATATTTAAATTCAGGGAATTACAGCTATACTGGAGGAATTATTCACATTAAAAGTAGTTTCTTTAAATAGACTACACTCCTATGTATATGGTTTGAGCTACCTGGATGAATGTCATGGGAATCATTACAGTGTGTGGCTCAGGACACTTACCCTTTCTGACTCTTAAGACCATATCTGGTAAATCAGAACCTATGTTAACTCTTATCATGAGATTATAAGGACTGGAAAGGATTTAGGTAGAACTCTGTTTTTAGGAAGGATTACCCTTAAGCCATTTCAAACATTGAAATGAAGATCTGAAGAAATGCAAGCTACAAAACCAAAAATCCATTACCTGTCAGTATCGCCATATACAACCCTAGCACCCCATTTCTTGGTGTCATTCACCAGCTTAATAGCTCGTTCCAAGGTCTCTCTGGCTTTGTGAACAATGCTATCACCAACCTGTTGGTACAAACAAATTGGAAATAATTTCTTAACATAGCTCAGTATAAGTCAATAAACTTTAACATCTAATACTTAAAATTACTATTAATATTTCCAGAAATGAAACAAGAATGTAAAAAAGAAAACAAAATAGCAAACAATGTCATCATTCTTTCTACAAGTACTCAAGAAGAAAATGAGATGAAGAATTTAAAAGGAAGAACCAATCAATATTCATACTTGCCTTTAAGTGTATCAGGAAGTACAATGAATTGCACTTTTTACAAGGTACACAGCTACATTTGATTCTTACTGGAGTAGAAACTTAATTTGGGTTTTTAATTAAAATCATGAATTCTGTTGAGGCCTTGAGTGCATTAGAAAACCCTGAGAATGTGAGCTATGACTTAATGCATTTAATAAATCACATTATCTAATTGAAACTCAAGTTGAATAAAATGTTCAATCTGTCACCTGCTGCCACTTTCAAACAAGGTAAACTTTTAAATATGTGAGGACAAACAGCTGGATGGGTAAGCCATCCTAATGTCAAAGTCAAATATGCTTTTGAGATATACACTTTCAAATAAGTACATACACATACAGAATTTAAATGTCTGCCTAATGTTGCTTACTCTGACCTATTTAAGTTGCCCCTGGAAGAGCCAGAACTCTTGCAGCTGCTCCTGAAGACCATGCAGTATGAAGGATTCTAGGGGGATAGGGATGGGAGAAGGAGCAGTAATTAAATTCACTGATTCTGTGCCTTTGTGCCATGGTTCCTAATTTGAAAAGCACTACTCCATTACAGTGCTAAGAGAATTTAAAAAGAGGAAAATAAATGGTTTCATAATTTAGGCAATTTTTGGGGGATCCTGAAAAGTCATAATAAGAAAAATATTTAAGGTGAAAATTAATTCTCTGAAGAGAGAAAAAGGAAAAGGAATAAAGTACAGCCAGTTGAAAACAACTGTTATATATTTATCTTTATCATAAATATTAATCATCAAATAGTTTAGGAGAAAAATATGAACATACAAAATTTTTTTTTTTTCTTTTTTGTTTTTTTGAGACAGAGTCTCACTTTGTTGCCCAGGCTAGAGTGAGTGCCGTGGCTTCAGCCTGGCTCACAGCAACCTCAGTCTCTGGGGCTCAGCGATCCTCCTGCCTCAGACTCCCGAGTAGCTGGGACTACAGGCATGCGCCACCATGCCCGGCTAATTTTTTGTATATATATTTTTAGTTGGTCAATTAATTTATTTCTATTTTTGGTAGAGACGGGGTCTTGCTCAGGCTGGTTTCGAACTCCTGACCTCGAGCAATCTGCCCGCCTCAGCCTCCCAAAGTGCTAGTATTACAGGCGTGAGCCACCACGCCCGGCAACATACAAAATTTTATCAAATAAGCCAGTGACGATGTCCAACTGAGACAGAGACATTAACCTACAACTATTAAGCTACATTATTTATTCTCCATATTTTCCTCATAGGAATTCTTGCTTACAAAGTCTTGCCTTTCTCTGATAGCCCAGATCTAGTACTTTTTTGATTGTGTGTTCACTCAAGGAAAGCACATGACCAGTCAGTAATCTATTTGAGAGATCTCTAGTAAATATGCAATAATTGTTGTTTATTCTGACATTTGGAGAAACCAACCTAACTATAATCATATCTCTTTTTAAAAAATGTGGCTGATAGCTTCTATTTTTACAAAATTGGTACTAGCTTTTCACTTATTCATTAGAGGCACTTTCTGTGATGGTTGCTGCTTTTTCCATTGATTATTTCATGGAGAAGTTAACACAACACTGTACTGTTGTGAAGCTGGCATACAATGAGGTGCCAAATGCACACTTGTAGTCATTAACCTCAGAATATCTCAGAAAACCAGGTTCAAGGAGGCAGATGTTGCTTGGTAGTCTGATTTCACCATGATAAGTAGCAAAGTACTTCCTGGCAGAATTCTAGTCCTAAACTTCCACTGGTCAAGACCCTTCAAATTCTGGTTATTCTAAGGTTAGAATATATATATATTTAAAGAAGTATTATTTCTACATTATGTTATTACCAAAATACATCAATAAACAATTTTAACATTGAAAAGCCAGAAAGAAATTAGGGGACTATAGAAATGGCTCAGGAAAAGATATCTTGGTTCTACATTAGTAATAAAATCATTTCCATATTTTTCTACTAGATCATATAGATAAGTGTTTTTCAAATGTTGAGTAATGATATGAACCTCCAGGACTGACAAAGTATTTTTTTATATTACCTAAAAATATACAAACATAAACCTCGGTAACTTATTATTTATAGCCTTTACAATACCACTATAAAATCAAAATATTTATCCAGTATAAAAAAAAGCATATTATTGTACCAAAATATTCAAGTTAATAGTGTATTTTCATTTTAGATGGTATTTTGCTGCTCTCAATGTAAATATACCACTTACTACTACCACCTTTCACAAATTTTTGGAGTGCACTTTGCTTACTGTGAGCCATGTGGAGACCTTAGCCTTCCTCTGCTTTTGTCTTACTGAACTAATGCTGATATGGTATACCACAATGTCCTCAGGCCTTCACTTGGCATGAAAAGATCATTAACATAACAAGTCTGCTCTGTCCTTTTCTTAATCACTAGTAAATTATTATATTACTCTGTCATACTATGTTGTATTCACGTCACATAAACACTTTAGGAAATAAGAAGTTAGTTTTGTTCTATGGAAAGTGTCTTTCAATTGTTACTGATCACTGCAAAAGAAAGGTTTTGCTTTATATCTACTGGTACACTAGTAAATATGGAGTGATTATGACATTTGGAGAAACCAACCTAATTATATTCAGATCTCTATCAATACATAAAAGGAATCATTTAGTACCCAGGTTGTTGTAAACACTGCTATAAAGGTGGCAATGAAATCTCATGCTAATAGATGGTTACAATATGGTCATCTAGATTATGCAGAAATATGTGTATGCTAATTTCCAAAATAATCATTGAAATAAAGACACAGAGAGTTGTCATCAAGGAAACCAACAAATCTCTAAGAATATGTCTGTATATAGGCTTGGTTTGAGAAAAAAATCATCCTATGTCATGGAAGTAAAACCCTTTAAAGTTTCAATGCTTTAATGAACAGGCATTCATTTAATGCTGCTTTAGTTTTTTTTTTCTTAGAGATGGGGTCTTGCTATGTTGCCCAGGCTGACTCAAACTCCTGGGCTCAAGCAATCTTTCTGCCTCAGCCTCCTAAGTAGGTGGAACCACAGGCGCACATCACACCACACCAGCTATACTTTAGTCTCTTTGGAAAAAATTACAGATTTATATCACTTGCCTCAATGCATGGCATTCTCCCAGAAAAATTAGCAGATGTATAGCCAAATGTGACATTTGCTATCAGCTTAAGTCCTAGCTGACGTGCATCGAGCATTCGTGACAGGACTCTGTCTTGCTTGTAAGCCTTCATTGACTGCTTCACCATAAATCTAGTCTTCAAAATTTCTTCAAGCATTCTTGGTAGCACACCCTTTCTTACTGAAGGCTATCATAAAGAAAAAAAGAATGTTTAAAATCCCTGAAACATTTTAGATCTAGATACTTAAGAAGGAAGCACAAAGTATAATAATGGCCAACTGTCATGAATTAAAACATGCTAACAATAGACCACAGTACTAGAGGCCATCGATATGAAAATCATCACATTTTATTTCTGTGGAAGAGTATTTTCTCCTGAAAGTTTCCTATAATGTTTATAAATCTAACGGAGTACTACTATGTGAGTTCAGAGACCTCCAGGGAGGAGGATGTCAACTAGTGTATAAATGACCCATACAACAAGTTCAGAGGGAAATTTTGTTTAAAACTTTGATGGAAACCCCCATTCTTTCAAAAAGACACACGGGACTTGTATCACTCATAAACAACCTCAGTTTTTAAAGATCTCATCCTAATGACCCCACACAGTAATCTGCATGGAACTCCATTTATCTACCTTGGAAGAATGATGAGCTGGGTTGACTCTGCTGACATTCAAACCTGTAGTTCCAGGGACTCTAGGTATTTCAAATCTGATGCTTAGACCACTAAGCCATCCCCTCCGGCCTATATTTATTAGCAATCTGGAAGAGGGGATGAATAGTGAGGTGATAAAATTTGTTGATGCCAAAAAAAAAATCATTTGTATTAATCAAGACTAGGGAGAATTTATGAGAACTCCAGTAGGAATGAAAACCACAACACAGTATTAACTTTGATGATGATTCACAGACACGTGCAAGGTAATACATGTCATATCTGACAAATAAGCCTCAGGTATAGGATAATCACACACCTGAATATTAAAAAATTTTATTTTTATTAAACTTTACACATTGGGTCAAAATGTAGATGCAAGTTTTTAAAAAGCTGTTAAGGGGAGATAATATAATAAACTTCTATATATGTGACAATGAGAACATATTCTAACCTCTAATTCATTTGGTGTACATTTTGAAGCAGCCATAATGTTTTAAGACATAATATAAAAGGAACAAGGACCAAATATGTAGAATGTTTGTGATGTGAAAACTGATATTTATGTAGGGACACATTTAGTAAAAATTAAAAAAAAAATCAATTTTCATGTTTCCAAGTAGATCTCACCTACATCAGTCCCTGGAAATACTGCACCCTAAAATTTTCCAAAAAAAAAAAAAATACATCATGAACTTTTTGGCAAAAATTTTCCTCATCTAAATTGCTAATTTTAGTTTAGCATTCCCTCTTACTGGCATAGAATGATGCTACTTTTGCTAAGTACACCAGAATGAATTTGAGGACTGGTGGGGTCCACTCTACCATCTTATGATTCTAGTAGAGACTCATTGCTAAGAAAATAGCAAAGAAAGGAATAAAGATGGCCAACGAGAGGCAATATAATCTTCTCCTAGATCTCTTTTATTTTGTCTTTAATTTATGAAGTTTTCCTCAGTCTCTTTTGAGGGGGGATAAGGGAGAGAAAAAAGGGATCCTATTACTGGTTTGGGCATCCTCTTAAAAATGCTTATAAAAATGCAATCAATAAACATATTAGAGTATCATTAATTTTAAGACAATCTTCATTTAATTTAAAATAATATAGGAGGACAATCAGTAGCATTTATACATTAAAGCAATTTAAATCTTTTTGGTAATATCTTTTGATCACCAAATTATTTAAGTCTGCTAGATTCTAATAGAGGGCAGAAGATGCACTCATACATTTATTTCTTTCAATATTTCAAACTAAAGTTTAACAAATGAAAGATTTTTTAAACCAAAATCAAGCAAAACAAAATAACTGTTTTCTTCCCTAAGTGATTTCTTAGACAATTCTTTTATATCTTTGACTTGCAGAGATAAAATATTCAAGCAAACTTGAAGTTTTTGTTTTCTATTATGAACTGACAATATCTAAACTATTATTAGCTCACCAAAAATTAAGCCACAGTTGATACCTTTCATTACAAGAGAGTATTACCTTGACAAAAGCTACTCCATTGGGGGACACTGTGATATCATGCCTAATTTGGTAAAGTAAATCTGGAGGTACTCTTAGAGAGGTACAGCCAAATTTGAACTCATCATACCTGTTAAGAAAGGAAACATTAAGCAAAACGTTCTCAAATCATAGAAGAGAGATTTTAGGCAATTTTAGGAATCTTTCTAATTCCATTAAAAATTCATTTTCAAACATCTAAACATGAATTCATGTATTCAGTAAAACATCTACTTGCCTCATTACCAAAAAATAGTTCTTCAAATATTCATAATTAAACATTTCTTAAATGGCACTATCCTAAAATTTATGGGTAAAATCTATACCAAAATACCAAATTTCAAGTTAACGTAAAATTAACTTATAAGTTACTTTAAGAAAAATTTAAACCTTAAATAAAAAGATTGTAAATCTTATAAATTTTCCAAATTCCTATTCTTAATAAAAAGACACTATTAACAATATAATTTCCATAGATGCTTTCTATGAAAGAGTGTAGTATATACTAAAACCAACACTTGGTCTCAAATACAGAAAAATTATTATAAAGGAAGACTCTGTATTTCTTACAATTCAAGAAAAATATCTACTCCTTTGAGAATTTAAAATTCTATTCTTATTCAGCTTATAAAATTGAATTTACATGAACAAAACCTAACATTTAATTTAAATTTTTAAAAATCACAGACTATTTCGAAGACAAGAGGAGGTGATAGCTGGAGTTATAAGATCATTATCCTCAAACTGTTCCACTGAAAAGTGATTTACATCAACAATTAAAATAACTTTCATTTTAAAAGAGATCATAGCTACACATGGAGAATGAGATAGTTAGAAGGCTGATCTATTCACAATCCTCTTCATAAGAGTCATCTATCCATAAAGCTGAATTAATTCATGTCAATTATACAATGTCAAGAATACAATGAATGGATTAGCTGGGCTACAGCCCATTCATCTTGCTCATAAGAACAGTGTCAAGGACAAAGATATTCAAAGAAAGTTTGTCTAATTTTAGTAAGGAGTACAAAGTATAACAACATAATTGTAAGTATGAAAAAACCTTACTTTCCCAAGTTTTCCACATGGCCAAGGCAGGTAGAAAAACAGTAGTTGTATGCAATCACAATAGAAGGATAAAGTGACTGGAAATCCAAAACGAGAACAGAGTTGCTATAGAAGCGGGATTCAGGCTCCATAATTAGGGGAACACACTGTGGGGCTCTCATTTGGGATCTTTGCTGAACACTAGGTGTCACAGGAATATAGTTCATTGGTTTAGCAATACGCAACATCATTGATTCCACACGATACTGGAGGCAGGGAGAGAGAGGTGAGGAGAAGAAACACAATTTAAATATAAATATACTGGTCATCTGAATATATGATAATCATCTGGGGTTATTTTGCTTTTCAGAATAAGGCTGCATGACTTTTTCTTACAGTACAATTACATGGTATTAGCTTTTAGGTGCTGACGGGGACATATGTAAATCCTTTTCTTGTAAAAACTACAAAATATATCAAATAACTTATGAGTCCAATTTGGAAAGACAGATACAATTAGCTCTCTTTTTATTTTAAAATATAGCTATACCATAATAAGCAGATATAGGAAAGACAGCTGTATAGTTTGACAATTTCATTTAAAAAGTTGGTAAAAAATCTTTTAGAAATTTGGGAAAATTAGAGAATGGAAAAGCTGTTATAAGCCTTGAGGATAGACAAATGTTATTCAAGTTTTTTAAAGAAAGAGACAAAAGGATTCCAGAAGTAAAAAGTAATCAGCTTATTATTGGTCCCTAGCAAAACAGAATCAAGCAATTACCAACTGTTTATAATAACCACTATTAAGCAGATGGGTTGGGGTATTAGAAAAAGAAGGTACTCACAAGAACCAGCATAAGTTCACTAAAATATTCTCATGGGGTTTTAAGGTATCCTTGCCTTTTATTATAAACCAGGTCAGATAGTTTTTAAAACTTGTGGGTATTAATAAAATAAAAAGCTTATAATCAATAAAATTAAATAAACAAATAGATAATGAAAAAGTAGTTAGAACTCTATTTTGGCTATATTTACTTAGGTAATGAAAATAATTAAAATTAAGGATTTTAAGAGATTAAAGAACCTGAGTGATTTAATATAACATTCCTGATATTGGCACACTGCTTAAAAAACTATAGGCATTCAAATAAATATTTGCTGAATGACTTAATTTTCAGCAAAGCATTTGGCAAAAATCTCTCATATTCTTGGGAAATTATTTAGAAAGATATGAAGTAAATGGTTTCTAAGGTCCCGTTTTTCTTTTCTTTCTCTTTTTCTTTTTTTGAGATAGGGTGTTACTGCCACCCTGGCTAGAGTACAGTGGCGTGATCATAGCTCACTGCAACCTCACATTCCTGGGCTCAAGTGATTCTCCTGCCTCAGCCTCCCTAGTAGCTGGGACTACAAGCATGTGCCACCACCAGGCCTGGTTAATTTTTCTATTTTTTATATAGACTGGGGTCTTGCTCTTGCTAAGACCTAACTCTGGACCTCAAGTGATCTTCCTGCCTTGGCCTCCCAAAGTGCTAGGAATGCAGGCGTGAGCCACTGTGCCCAGCCCCCATTTTTCTTTTTTTTTTTTTAAATTTTTTTTTCTCTTTTGAGACAGAGTCTGGCTCTGTTGCCCAGGCTAGAGTGCTGTGGCATCAGCCTAGCTCACAGCAACCTCAAGCTCCTGGGGCTCAAGCGATCCTTCTGGCTCAGCCTCCCAAGTAGCTGGGACTACAGGCATGTGCCACTGTGCCTGGCTAATTTTTTATATATATTTTTTAGTTGTCCAGATAATTTCTTTCTATTTTTTAGTACAGATGGGGTCTCGCTCTTGCTCAGGCTGGTCTTGAACTCCTGACCTCGAGCAATCCACCCTCCTTGGCCTCCCAGACTGCTAGGATTACGGGCGTAAGCTACTGCGCCAGGCCCCCATTTTTCTTTAACATTAAAAAAAAAAAGTTATAGGCCGGGCGCGGTGGCTCACCCCTGTAATCCTAGCACTTTGGGAGGCCGAGGCGGGCGGATTGCTCAAGGTCAGGAGTTCAAAACCAGCCTGAGCGAGACCCCGTCTCTACCAAAAAAAAAAAAATAGAAATAAATTAATTGACCAACTAAAAATATATATACAAAAAATTAGCCGGGCATGGTGGCGCATGCCTGTAGTCCCAGCTACTCGAAGGCTGAGGCAGTAGGATCGCTGAGCTCCGGAGATTGAGGTTGCTGTGAGCCAGGCTGACGCCATGGCACTCACTCTAGCCTGGGCAACAAAGTGAGACTCTGTCTCAAAAAAAAAAAAAAGTTATATAGCCCACTTATAATGATTTCCAAATCCTTCATTTTTACATTAAAATTATCTATTGGAAGTTGGAAGAAGCCAAAATCAGAAATGTAAAACAAAAGAAAGGTAGACTTTCTTTGTTGCTTCTTCAACAACAAATTGGGACCCTCATACAGCTGTCTTCTGGCAGCGTTTTCTCTAATTTTCCCAAATAAATTTCTAAAAGATTATTTACCAACTTTTTAAATGAAATTGTCAAACTGTACAGCTGCCTGTCCTATATTTGCTTATTATGGTATAGCTCTATTTTAAAATAAAAAGAGAGCTAATTGTATCTGTCTTTCCAAATTTGATGTCTATGGGGCATCTCTAATCGCACTAACAATATCTAGGAATTTAATATCATCCTCAAGGGCATGGACATTTAATTTCTTAATCCCGTGAAAAACTTGGCAGTGGCCAAAAAGTTGGTATAGAAAGAAAATAATAGGTGTCAGAGTGAAATTAAAGCTTTTCCAGAAAATAAAACAACAAGATTTGATTACCAAGCTATTGATTAGTTGGTATCAGATAGAAAGTTTTAAAAATCAAAACACTTCAAACATCTCAAAAGTAAATATATCACTCATATAGAACTTTCAAGTGAGCAAGAAAATTGATTTCCCACCTGTGAACCTCTTGTCAGTACATGTAAAAACTGAATGCCAAAAAGTCTAGCCATTTCACTGGTTTTCCCAATCAGGTCCAGCTGTTCTAACATTTGGAGATTTCCACGGACACGGCTAACATAATGATCAACCATTTTCCATCTGTTAAAAAACAATCCACACTATGAACATCAGGGAAAAATTTGGACATGTGAAACTAGTACTGTTTTCTACCAAACACCTACATATTAAGAGTGAGGTTACTTAAGGAGAAAGTCATGATATAAGTCTTTAAGCAAAGTATGTTGAGGAGTTAAACATTAGAAAATTTCAGGTATTTCAAGGGCATAAAAGCCAATAAAAATACTTAAAATTTAAAATAGGTGTTTAGACTAACGACAATTATTTTCAACATTTTGCTTGATGCTGTTCTGTTCTTATTATAAGAAAATTAACATTTCCTCTTAGATGTCTAATTATTTATCATATTTACAGGTTTTTAAAGAACATGAAAGCTCCGGGTTATCACTGTAAATATAAGACTAAAATACAAAACTGTCTTATCATAAGAAAAAACCCCAGTAATTTGGTGACATTAGAAAAATCAGAAAAACAATTTTATTTTGTTTTTGCTTTTTTTTTTCAAACATGACAAAAAAGGCAAAATGATTTTTATGAGACAATACATGGGATAAACATATATCAAATCCGTATTTTTTGTGAAATACATAAAGGTTTTGTTCTTTGGTTTAAACCTTTAAAAAAATTAACCTTATTCTACCTGTTTTGTTAAGAAAACAAACAAGCAAACAACAAAACCAAAACCCTCACGAAATCCATAAAAAGAATTTTGATTTAATATTGTGTTATGAATTTATATAAGTGACATAAAGGTATATTAAAAAGAATAAAATTTATTCATTTATGGAAATATTAAGGTTCAAATATATTACAACCTTTAATTATATGGCTTTTAGAACAATATAGTCACATATTTGTTTAATAAAAAGTTTAAAAACCTTTTCCTTTGCTACATGACTAATGCATATAGAAAAATAGAAAATAAACATGAAGGAAGAAAAAAATCACCCTATAATCAAAAAGATAGATAATAACAAGTGTTAGCAAGAACGTAGACAAACTGGGACCCTCATACACTGCTAATGAGAATGTAAAATAGTGCAGTTGTTTGGAAAAGTTTGGCAGTTCCTCAAATTGTTAAACACAGAGTTACTATAAAATCCACCAAAAATTCTACCATCGGTATATATCCAAGAGGAATGAAAACAGATGTCTACACAAAAACTTGTATACGAATGTTCACTACAGCATTAATCATAATAGCCAAAAATATGGAAACAACTTAAATCTCTATCAACTGATGAAGGAATAAAATAAATGTGGTATATATCCACACAACAGAATATTCAGCAATAAAAGAAAATGAAGTACTGAGCCATGCTATAACATAGATAAACCTGTACAACATTATGCTAAAAGCAGCCAGTCACAGAAGATTACATATTGTATGATTCTGTTTATATGAAATGTCCAGAATAGGCCACTAATCTAGTGGTTGCCTAAGGCAGGGGGCTAGGATTGGAGGAGTCTGAGGGGGTGATAGGAGGGATGGAAGGCTGAAGGGTGATGGCTAAAGGATGCAGGATTTATTTTGGGGGTAATTAAAATATTCTACAAAGTAAACAAATACTGTTTCATAACTTACATTTTTAACAATATATTGTGACTATTTCCCCATATTTATTTATTTTTGTAGCTATCAAGTATACTATTATATAATTATAATTTATTCCATCAAAACCCTGTGATTGAATATCCTTTTTTTCTTTTAAGAGAGTAGGTCTCACTCTATCACCTAGGGTAGAATGCAGTGGCATAATCACAGTTCACTATAACCTGGAACCCCTGGACTCAAGTGGTTCTCCCTCCTCAGTCTCTGGAACAGCTGGGAATACAGGTATGCACCACAACTACTGGCTAATTAAAAAAATTTTTTGTAGAGATAGGGACTTGCTATGTTGCCCAGGCTGGTCTCAGAGTTTCTCCCACCTCAGCGTCCCACAGTGCTGGGATTATAGGCATGAACCACTGAGTTTGGGCTTGAATATCTTTTATTACTATAAGCAATGATGTGATAAACGTGTTTATAGCTAAGCCTTTGTACAGATGCTTAAATATTTCCTTAACATAAACTCCTAGATTTGGTTAAAGTTTTCAATATGTAACAGCACACTGCTTTCCAGAAAGGTTTTAATAATTTACATTTTTACTAGTGGTGATAAAGTGCTTGTTTTCTTGTATCTTTGTCAACAATGAGGATTATAATTTTTTAAGTTATTACTAGTGTGACTGGTAAAAAATGTCATCATATTTTAACCTGCATTTTTTGTTTGAGATCATTAACATAACCCCCTCAACACTACAAATTTGCCAAATATAAATCTGAGATAATCCATTATATGTAGATCAGATCAGTCCCCTTAAAGTACTATAGTATCTAATTCTCTATCCTAAAAAGAAGATATACTAATTAATTAATACTTGTTGAGAGCCTTCTGTGTGCCAAAGATTTTATATGCACTATCTTGTTTAATTCTTACTTCACTTCATGAGGTGGAATAATATTAACATCCTATATTAGAGATAGGGAAATTGAAGATTACTGTGAGGTTAATTTGTCCATGGTTACAAACCTACTATACCAGAACCTAAGCTTCTGGCTAAATAAATTACAACAAATAGATTAAGCTGTGACAACATGATCAAAAGAAAACAAGATTACACGTTATAAATGAGTTAACTGTCTTACTAGATTTCTAGTATTACAGCAAATTATTCATTTCTTTGCTAACAAAGAAGTAAGACCCACTGCTTATTCATTGACATATTAATGTATTCCTCCTTACTGACTGGTAACCAAGTAATATAAATAAATTAAATGCATTTTATCTTTCATAACTAAAAGTTTAACAAAGGACATTTTATAGTTTGTATAATTTATCTAGTGGACAATAACTGCTGTTTTCTGATCTAGATCTACTCACATATAGGCATGAATATAAAAAATACTCTGAGTGGCTGATGTTTTTTTAAAGTATTTACAAAGTGGCCTTTTTAAATTAAAAAAGTAATCTTTCTGAAATATGATCTCCTTTATTCCTACTTTCTAGTCCTATCTGGCTAACTATGTCTTATAAAAAGAGAATGTGTAATTGTGGTCTTTTAAAAAATAACATGACGAAACTGACTTTTGTTAGTTTTTTTTTTTTAATTGTTAAAGAATCATGCCATACTCATAACACTTTGTCAAACACAAGGGTAATAAGCAAACACAAGTTTTGACTTGGAGCACAGGAAGGGAAATATAAAGCATGAGCTATTCAGGACAGGCCTGGAGTGCTGAAACGGGAGAACTTTAGAGTATCCTGAGGCACAAGGTACTTTTAGAGATAGGTCATCTGGGGTGAAGGTGACAAAAAAAGGAGATAGCAAAATTCCAAATACAAAACTCATTTATTCTAATTTTTTGCTGTGGATTGGCAAAAAAATCCCAAATGGAGAAATATCCCAAAATGGAGAAAAAAATTTCTTGTATTATCCTCTTCAGGTATACAATCCTCTGCTTCCAGGACATAGCTCCTACCTCCGAAACTGGAATAGTATTTATTACTATTCTTTGGATGACAGATGAAATCAGGCTGGTATTATAAGTTTTCTAGATCAGTAGTGTTAGAGATTAGGAAAGGTTTTATAGGAATCTAGTCATAATACATAAAGCACTGTTTTATAGAAAAATGTGTTCTAAGCCCCAAATGATAAAATTTTGGGAATACTGCTCATTTATATAAACTAGGGGCTTCCAGGAGTCCAAAATCTGGATTTAAAAAAAAAAAAAGGAAAAAAAATTAATTAGGTTGCCCTTGTCCTTACAAACAGATTTAACACAAGAAATCCTTGACTAGCAAGTTCTTCTCATTCCGTCTATTTATAAAAAATATATATTTCCTTAAAACACTGTAGAAAAGCAAATACAAATCAAAAAGGGTCCTTAAAAAAGTAAGTCATGCTTTCTTGGTAAGAATTTGCTTAAATTTAAGTGGCAAAACCAGAATTACTTATTATCCTAGATAATACCTAATTGGATGCAGTAAAACATACATTTAGAGGATTCTAGGGCTTATAAACAAACCTCTGAATATAGTTTTCAATGTTAAGTTTATTATCAATTTGTTTTATTTATTGATATTCTCCTAAGCTTTTATTTCTGTAAAGACTTTGATCATAAGCTCAGTGCAGTCAGTGATTTCAGTTCATTTCTCTGAGAGTTCTCAAGAAGGACTGGCAGATGAGGTGACGTGCTCAGAAAGCAGTTTCCTCAAATATTATCAAATTGTTTTTAAAACTATACTTTTTCCATCCTAATTACCACACAGCTTTACAACTCAATAAGCAAAGATTCACTCATTTAAAAATCTGACATTAACTTCAGGACTTTGTTCTTTATACAGCTCTTTCCTCAGCTTATTACTATTATTTTACCTTTAACTTAAAGAAAAGTTGAGGCAAGAACTTTCACTTTTGGCTATAGTGGAGTTATTGGTAATGGACTAGGCCTCCTACCTGGATAAAAGAGGTAAGGTAATTGTTTTTGGGCTGCTCCTTGAGAGAAGGGAAACTGATGAGATGAATCCCAGGCTCAGTGTGGAGACAATTTTCTAGACATAGTACAGTACTCTACAGTCTTAGCAGAGCATAGATGTCACACTAAGTTAAAGAGGAAGAGATTACAGTTCAGATAGCTCACAGCTAGAATCTATGGGACAGGGAACCAGAGCTAATGGATCTGTGCAATTGGCAGGAGTTTGGGCATCAGAATGGGTGGGATTCCTGTGAATGCTTAGTCCAGGGCTATGTTGAAAATGAGCAGGATGAAACTACATTAAGGCTTATTAGAGAGCAGATGCTTGGGGGTTGAGTTTGGGCAGAACTGGTCAGATTGTGTTGGGATTGGAGGCTTAGCAATTCCAGAGTGAAGTGACCTCATTAACCCCTTGTTAACAATCTTGGCATCCAGCTGAGAGCCCAGAAAAACCATGCCTTACTTAAAAGGCCTCTGCCCTACAGTAAGGCCTACTGTAGACAAAACTTAAAACCAAGTGCTGATAATATGAACAGGGGAAAAAGTTTGGTGATTGAGTCCTATCAAGTTCGAGGGGCTTAGGAAACACCTTGGGCCTGGTGTACTTTCTGTACCAACCATAGGTTTTGAACTAAGAAACAAGCAACAGCCATGTATCACTGGGGAAAGGGTAGGAAACTTTGCTGTTAAAGATCCTAGGTAAAGGAACACTTCTGCTGAGGAAGTAGAAGAAAAAGCCATCTGCCCTGGGGGAAGGTCATGAAACTGCTTGGGCCCAGGACCTGGCAGTGGTATAAAGCAGAGGCCTATTGCCACTATAGGAAGACCAGGAATGCTGAACAAGCCTCATCTCTGAGCCCCAGAAGAATAGGAATATGCAAAGACAGAGGCCAGACCGGGAAAATTCTCCCTGCCTCCACTATAAATCTAGCAACAGCAAATGGTCATTAAACCTGTTAATAATTCTGAAAAACAAATGAATTGTATACACTAGAAAAATGAGAATGGCTGTTGACTTCTCATCAGAAACAACACAGGCTAGAAGAAAAGGGAACAAAATCTTTAGAGTGGCAAAAGAAAAAACAAAACAAAACCAAATCTCAACTCTAGAATGAGACAGTGAAAATATCATTCACAAAATAAGGACAAAATAAGGATATTTTCAGATAAACAAGGGCTGAGAGAATTTTTGCCAGTATACTAGAAATAGAAAAATTGCCAAAGAAAACAGATTGATAGTTTCTTAAAATGTTAGCACACACTAGCCATGTGACCCAGCAATTCCACTCCTAAGAGAAGTGAAAATGTATGCTCATACAAATCTTTATTACAGTGTTATTCATAATTGCCTCAAACTAGGAACAACCAAAATTTCCATCACCAGTGAATAGGTAAGTTGTGGTATATTCATATAACTGAATACTATTTAATAATAAAAGTGAACAAACTACTGGTTTATGCAACATGGTTAAATCTCAAAAAACATTATGCTGAGTTTCTTCAAAGAAGACAGACACAAAGGAGTAAATTATGAATATATCCGTTTATATGAAGTTCTAGAACTGGCAAAACTAATTTACAGTAATATTATAGAAATGCAATTATTATAGTACTTACCTTGATGATTAGGGCATAGGTAGGTTGACTGCAAAGCTGTACAAGGGAATTTTCTGGGTGTTAGATATGTCCTTTATTTTAGCTGAGGTAGTGGTTACAGGGTGAATGCATTTTCCAAAGTCATCGAACAGTAAACCTTATGTGTGTATATTTTATTGAATAAAAATTATACCTCAATAATGTTGATTTTTAGGAGATATTATCCTCTTCAGAATTATAAAATATTACCTGTATAGATCTGTCTTGTTATCAAACCAATCTGACAAGACCCGAAAGGTAAAGAGGGGAAAACGCTGATGAAGAATGTGAAAGCCCACATTTTCAAAGGTGTAGTTAGTTAGAGCCACCTAAAAAGAAAAAAAGAAAAGGGGGCAAGACACCATTATAATAATTATTTATGTGGCATTTTTGGTTCTAAAATATCCCAGTATCACTCTAAACTTTTCATAGTAGATTTGAAAGCTTCTTGTAAAAATGATTTGTGTTCCAAACTATGTATAGCCTACTGGACAGAAATATTCATAACAAATTAATATATAACTGGAAAAAAACAGACTTGATGAGCTTCAACTTCATCATGTAATATTTATTTTAAGAGATCCCAGATCTGATCGCTTTTTAAAATACTCTATGCTAACACAAATAGTGATAGAAGCACTGTTAAGCAAGTTAATTTTTGTTCTTTCCATACTTACTTTTTGGTTCTTGATGACATGATGATTAATGAAATTCCACAGTTTCGAGGATGAGTTATCTAGTTAAAGGCAGGCATTCATCCTCTTTCCAAGAATTACATTAGTTACTAGCACCCAATACACAGGCATTATAGAGTCCCTTAATTTGATTCCGAAAGCAAAAGATTCAAATGACAGAAATGTCTCCCCATCTTCAGAATATGTAGGTAAAAGCTATGTTAATGGAAAAATAATACTGAAAAAGGGCCCAAGTTAATAAAATGTACTTCTAGCTAGATGATCTCTCAGAAATAACTACAAGACAAAAGCAATCTAGACAATGGCAGGTATTCCAATGCAAAACAGAAATTAAGGAACCAGCAGACCCCATTCTTAGGGGACTTAGGTCACCTTGAGATTCTGAGGAATAGTTCAAAAAGCACTTCACGTTTGTATATTATAATTTTTTTCTTTTTCACTCTACAATCCAGGGAGTACAAAATGGGGATTGAATGTTAATCTTATCTCATTGCAGTGACCCAAACTGGCCTTAATTTATATACAATTTCTGTCAGTCTCTAGAATAGCACCAGAATGTAGCATACTTCATAGCATGTAAGTACTTACACACACATGCATGCAGACACGCCTTTCATAGATTGTGAAAAGGCAACAGGATGAGGTAAAAAGCCTATCTGATTAGATGAAGAAGGATTTAAAATCACTAATAACAGCAGGATGAAGACCTACATTGAAAGCAGTAAACAGCAGAACAGTTCTACTAAAAATCAAGTTAGTAATCAATTGAGAGAGTAAACCTAAATGTCTCTCTCAGAATGCAGATAAAAGAGGACAAAAAGATGAAAATGATAAGAGGGAAGATATGGGGAAAAGAGAATAGAGAATTAACACATAGATAAATTGGTAATGGAATGCCTAACACAAAAGATAGAAGCAATAATCAAAAATATAATTCACTGGACCTTAGATTTCTCCTCCGCAGTTCTAAATTCCAGAAGTGAATGCACCATACCTATTTAAAATTTTAGACTATTGTTAGCCCCATATTTTATATGTAAGTGTAATAATGATGTAGGAAGAAAACAAAGCTACTCCTTGATTTCTTTTTTCCCAATGATTTTGTCCTCTAGCCCATCTTAGCCACCCATTCCCATGATCATACCCCAGGATCTATTATTACCAATAATCATACCCTCCATAATCTCATGCATCCCATTCTCAGACCAACATCTCCTGTCCTTCTAGCTTACTTCCTTTGGTACTTTAACCTTTCTTTGCTCCTTATTGAGTTTAAATTCCATAGTCAATTACGGTAATTACTAACCTTGCACATACTCTTCATTTCTTTGTCCCTTTCCTGCTGTCTTTTTTTCTTTTCTTTTTTTTTTTTTTGAGACAGAGTCTTGCTCAGTTGCCTGGGCTAGAGTGCTGTGGCGTCAGCCTAGCTCACACAACCTCAAACTCCTGAGCTCAAGCAATCCTTCTGCTTCAGCCTCCTGAGTAGCTGGGACTACAGGTGTACACCATGCCTAGCTAATTTTTTCTATTTTTAGTTGCCTAATTTTTTCTCTATTTTTAGTAGAGATTGGGTCTCACTCTTGCTCAGGCTGGTCTTGAACTCCTGACCTTAAGTGATCTTCCCGCCTCAGCCTCCTAGAGTGCTAGGATTACAGGTGTGAGCCACTGCGCCTGGCCCTGGCCCGTGCTGCTTTTTTTAAACCAGAGCCATGACTCTTTGCTTGTGAGCTGTGGTCAAATCTAACCCACTGTTACTGTACACCTGCCTGTGTGAATTTGAACATAGTTGGCAGATATCACTTTAATTTCCTGATGCAAATCTCAAATGGGCTCTTAATGTCAGTGTTTATACTATATTTTCTTAACTATTCACTCTCAAAATCTCCTAAATAACTATTCTACATTCTTCCTTCCTCAAACCCCAAAGCGTCTCCACAATTGTCTCTCAGCTGACAGCAGTGATTCCTAGTTTACTGAGCAAACTGAAACAATCACAAGAGAATTTCCACGGATTCTCATTGCCACATATGCCCACTTATCAACACCACAGCTATATATTTTGCCTCCTACCTATTAACAACAGAGGAACCAGCTATACTCACAGCTTATCTAAACCCAGGCCCCCCCCCATTAGTAGACTAGAGATGTCACTCAATAAACATTTCCTGAAATAAGAATTAAGTCTGTTTACAGTCTACTTGGCAAACTCTTGAAAGGCCTAGATTAAGTATAATAATAAGATATATATTATATATAATAAATAATAAGATATCCAAAAGGCCTCCAAGTATAATTTTCTGGGGGAGAGTCATTTATTCTCATTTAAGTAGTCAACAAATATAAATAAGCATTACTAAAATTTAAGAGACATTGTGTTTGTCACTCAGGATTCAAAGTCCAGAGGAAACAGCAGGAATTCTATGTTCAAAGTAAAGTAGGCTAAAGAAAACTAGTACCTGTATATTAAAAAACAAATTTTTAAAAATAGGTAAATTAGGCCGGGCGCTGTGGCTCACGCCTGTAATCCTAGCTCTTGGGAGGCCGAGGCGGGCGGATTGCTCAAGGTCAGGAGTTCAAAACCAGCCTGAGCAAGAGCGAGACCCCGTCTCTACTATAAATAGAAAGAAATTAATTGGCCAACTGATATATATATAAAAAAAAAATTAGCCGGGCATGGTGGCGCATGCCTGTAGTCCCAGCTACCCGGGAGGCTGAGGCAGAAGGATCACTGGAGCCCAGGAGTTTGAGGTTGCTGTGAGCTAGGCTGACGCCACGGCACTCACTCTAGCCTGGGCAACAAAGCGAGACTCTGTCTCAAAAAAAAAAAAAAAAAAAAAAATAGGTAAATTATCCAACTCTTAACTTCCTCACATTTATAAATAAAGATAAGAGACAATACATGCTCAGCCTAGAATGAAGAGAAAATCTTTGGCCCTAAATTTTCAGTGTGGAATAGAGAAGGCCTAAACTTTGAAAAAATATTTACTCTCTAATATATCATTTCAAGCTAGTGGATTTGCTACTGCTGCCTTTTGGAAATTCAGAGATGAAAAACCCCCTGAGATCAAGATTCAGTAATTTATTTTTTGTGTTTATATTCTTAATTTATGTATTCATCTCAAGTAATATCATACTGTTATTTGAAATATATAATAAAAACAGACACACCAAATACACCACAATCTCTGTACCTTCCATATCCTATGCTGCACTGCTAGGAATTATTTTGAAGTCATTGAAGACTCTTGTGTTCTTATAATATTTTAAGAATACACAGGATAAAATTATCTTCAAATATTGTACATTTTCAAATGAGATGAAATGTGAGTATTTCAGAACTTCAGGCTCAGGGTACAGAGAAGAAATATAAAGAACATATTTCCTTATGTGATACAATTACCATGCAATAGTACCCAAAAGAATTGCACAGGCATACATGAAAAGTCAATGTTTATATAAATCCAGAAAAGCCAGAAAGTTCATAGTGAATAATGAGTATATGATATAAAGTGTATAATGAGAAAGTAGTTGCAAAGAGTAAAAACAACTGACAAATGAACTCTCTTCTAAATATAAACATTTTAGCTAAATTATCCAAAGTCCAAATCTAAGAACAGACCAATTTACAGTGGTATCTTTTCACATTTCTGTAAGAGAAATCAGGTAACTGTAAGGAAGTCAATATTATCTAGGAAAATCCCATCTTACATTTTTTTTATGTGAAATAATTTTATTTCTCTAAGTGATTACAAATTACTGGGGTAGTTTGTTGAAATTACTCTATCAAAAATCCCTATTTGGGCCCCTAAAGTCTCAACTACTTCCAAGTATTGTCTCTCCAATTTATCTGATTAATCTGACACAATATAATATTAATATCCTTGAGAAGTTTGAGAAGCTCCTTCTTATATCTAGACTAAATTTTTCTTACTTTAATAAATCAACAAGGCCAAACTGAATTTATCTGGCCTTATATCCAAAATGATTTAAGTGCAAAAAATGATGAAATTATATAATATTCAATACATATATCAGAGTATTTTATTATTGCTATAGACTATTCTAGCTATTGCTACCTTAGACACTAATAGAAAAAAATTAAAATTCATTGATAACATTTAAGTCTAATACCTCTGTAGCTTTGCATTTTTACTATTTTGTAACTCTACTTAAGTATAAGTAGTTCACAAAAAAGCATAAATTACTCAGTAAGTCATACTAATACTCTCAATTTTTTCTTTTTTTTACAGTAAACATTGTCTGACAATACAATGATTAAATCATTATATTGATCTAATCTCTTATTTCCAAACAAAATTTTAGATAAAGTACCTTACCTCATTTCTCATGATCCTCCAAAGATTCAGTGTAATTCGGCCAACAATATTTATCTCACTCATTGTATCTGATCCATACTCATCTCTTTCAGCTGCAAATCTGTTCTCAATTTTGTCATCTATAGAAATGAATAGAGATTGTATCAGGGCTCACAGACAACAAATTTTCAATCAAATTACGCCAAAGAAAATGAGAATAATAAAAATTAAAGAAGATTAAAAGTGAAATGTAATTCAGTCTATTTTATATTAGACTTAGAGAATAATCATTATTTTGACTACAAAAAATTTTTTCTTAAATTATGAAAATTTTATAAAATAAATACACCTGAAATCTCTCCTTCCCTCTGTGTGTGTGTGTGTCTATATATATTTAAGTAATAAACCCTATTTCCTATTTCTTTAAATGTGGTAATTTCTTTTTTTTTTTTTTCCCAAGAAATGGGGGTCTCATTATGTTGTCTGGGCTGGGGTACAGTGGCTATCCACAGGCATGATCATGGTGCACTGCAGCCTGGAACTCCTAGGCTGAACTGATCCTCCCACTGTGCCTTCCAGAGTAGCTGGAGCTACAGGTACATGGCATTGTGCCTGGTCCGGTGCTATTTTTATTAACACCTAATGCCATAACATTTCTTTGATATTAGGATGAAAAAGCTCCAGTGTTAAACTGGTCATTTCTTGGAAAAATTGGTAGAGTTTTTAAACTAAATAATTCCCTGAAAACTTATTGACAGCCATTAATGATGTTCACATTCAGGATGAAATTCTCTTAACTACATATAGAGAATTAGATGAAGAGTTCCTCGTGTCAAATCGACTTGTGAGTCTAATTTCTTAGGAGTTGATTTTACCTGAAATAGAAATTAAAACGTGTTTCTCAACTACATAAAACTAGGTATATGTGAATGTTTATGATTAGAAGCTCTAGAATAATAAAAATATTTACTATACACTGAATGACTATATGTTCTAGGAACTTTATTTCTTTAATACAACCATTCTTTGAAGTTTAGTATAATTTTCATTTTGTATTACAGAAAATCCTACTCAGAAATGTTATAAATTACCCCAGGTCATACAGTAAGAGAACTATTATTCTAAACCTGGATATTTTACTCCAAAGAACTTGGTGTAAACTCTCCCACCTCTCTTTCTTTTTTAAAGAGATAATGTTTAAAAGTTAATTTTTTTTCCATTTACCAAATACATATAATGTTTATGTCACAATTGCCCTATGAGATAAATTCTATTACTATCCCTGTTTTACAGATGAATAAACTGAGGCAAGGATAGGTTAAGTAACTTGCTTGACATCATATAGCTAGATAGTGGCACAGACACGATTTGAACCCAGGGAGTCTTTCTCCAGAATCTGTGCTTTTTACCGCCACTATACTGCCTCCCTAACCATATCCTTTCTATTGTACCACGGTGCCTCATAAGTTTTCATTCACTCTTCTGATCCAGAGTCATATGTCTTACCTGTTACAACTAATTAATAAATGCACCTGAACACTAGTGATGCCTCTACTGAATATTCAAAAACCTATCCCAAAAGAGATGTTGGAAAAATTGAGATACACCACTGTTCCTATCACGTGAAGGACCCTGAAGCTACAAAAACTCATGTAATGAAAAACCAAATTTGGTTAAAGTACCTGTGTCTTTTTATTCCAACTTTTTGTAAAGCTCAAAATATTTACTGTCCTTGAATCTTCCATATTCAACCCTTCCCTTTAAATTTATCAACACTTAAGACATTTTATTGAAGTTATAACTTCTCCCAGATAGTCTCTTGATTAATTTTATCAATTTTATATTTGGTCTTTCTGCCTCTAAAAGTATAAGTTACTTTGTTCTAGTTGGACTTGTGGGGAGACTTTGAAACAAGTTTATTAAAAATCCTGTGGTTATAGAGAAAACATAATTTTAAAAGTGAATTATAAACTCTAAGTAAATTTGATATGAATAGTATTACTCCTATTTTCAATTAGAATCAAATTTTGGGGAATAGCCTTCAAAATTCATGCAATTTTTTAGCTTGATGCCCAAATAAAAATCAAGGATTAGTTAACTATTAGTATTCCATAACCTATCCTGTGCTTCTTCATCAATCAAATGGATAAAAAATAGAATCAAATAGAATAAAATTATGGTACATCAAGTCAAAGAAATGTTATGTACCTTCATAATGATTATGAAGATTATCTCATAATACAGAAAAATATGTGATAAGGTGCCGGATAAAGGAAGTAAAATAGAAATGGAATATATGATATGGTTATTAAAAAGATACCTATATGAAAAAAAGATTGAAATTTTAAAACTCAATAAATATCCTAATAGTATATATAGCAGGGAGATTACTTTGCACTGTAGTTGAACCACAGAACATTCACAATACTACATACCTGGCACCCGAGAGATCATCTGACTTAAGTTAACACTTAAAGTAGCAGCCCTTTGTAAGAGATAGCCCCAGGAATGCATCTGAATCTCATATCCTAGTAGAATATCAGGATCATACCTAAAGAAGGAATAAAAAATTTAAACAAGTACCAAACATCTGAACCTTTAACCAGAGGAATTGTTTCTTCATGACACAAAGTACAAAAATAAAAATCTATATTCTATAATGGTTTTCAGATGGAGAATGGGTGATACAGTAGTACCTATATACCTATAGAATTTTTACACAGGAAGGGATAGGTGGCTAGAATACTTGATTTTTAAAAACATTTTTAAAAAATTTTTTGAGAAAGGGTCTTGCTCTGTTGCCTGGGCTTTAGTGCAGTAGCATCATCATAGCGCACTGCAGTCTCAAACTCCTGGGGTCAAGCCATCCTCTTGCCTCAGCCTCCTGAGTACTTGGGAATATAGGTGCATGCCACCATGCCTGGCCAATTTTTCCTTTTTTTATTGTAGAGACAAGTTCCCGCTGTTTCCCAGGCTGGTCTCAAACTCCCGGGCTCAAGAGATACTCCCACCTTCACCTCCCAAAGTGCTGGGATTACAAGGTGTGAGCTACTGCACCTGGCCAGAATATCTGATTTGAAACTACTTTTGTAATGTGGGTGTAGTTTTTACTTAGACTGTGTATTTGTTTGATATGACTTGAGAAAAAAATTGATGGAAATTGGGTGGGAGCCAAGCCATTACCAGAGAAATGGGTATGGGAAGATGAAGTGTGAGGGCACGTGTGGGTCTTTGAAAAAGATCTCCCAGGTCATTCTATTGCCACTTCTGTGGCAATCTGTCACAATGTCTATAATCTTCAGTATAGATTACCTTTCTAATCTATACTGTCCTTAAACAGTTTTAATACTGAGAAAGGAAATGATAATACCTTCCTTTTCTCATTTAATTTTAGTAATGGTTTGGTCCTCACATTAAATAAGGTCTAAGTAATGATAAGTTTGTCCTCTAAACTTAAAAGGAAGGTGATTTGGCTTAATGGAAGAATGAAATATTAGCAGAGGTGAGATTAATGTAGGCAGTTTAGGAGAAAAATGTGCTCATTGTGGTCAAAGAGTTGCACTGGCAAAACTGAACTGACAATCTGCATCCAACTCAGAAGGAGCCTCTTTGTGGCTCTTCTCAGAACCTCTATGTTGTAACCACCATGGAGGAATGTTTGGTTATAGTATAAAAGAAAATAAACATTAAGATTCACTTCAAAGGGAAAACTGTAAGGGGAAGAGAGGAACTGATTATAGTCATAAGTTTTGAGAGCAAAACTACAGATGCTCTATCAATTAGAAGCTCCGAATTACTCTGATTATTGCACTCTTTATAAAACCCCAAAGGCAGAATGAAATACCACAAAATTTAAAAAGTTGGGTTTTACATAAGTACTCATGAAGTCACTCTGAATTGTGGAAAATTATGCAGCCTGTCCAAATTATATCACTTAAAACCCTAAGCCTCAGCTAAGTTCTACAGTAATGGATTACACTGATTTACTGATATAACCTATCTATGGCTATTCTACAAGTCTATGGTATAACAATGGATCATGAGCAGATCATGAAATCTACTTTTAGAACTGACATACTAATATCTTATACTTCCACAGCTACTTTCTTTCTTTTTTTGAGACAGAGTCTCACTTTGTTGCCCAGGCAAGAGTGAGTGCCATGGCGTCAGCCTAGCTCATAGCAACCTCAAACTCCTGGACTCAAGCAATCCTGCTGCCTCAGTCTCCCAAGTAGCTGGGACTACAGGCATGCGCCACGATGCCTGGCTAATTTTTTCTCTATATATTAGTTGGCCAATTAATTTCTTTCTATTTATAGTAGAGACGGGGTCTTGCTCTTGCTCAGGCTGGTTTCGAACTCCTGACCTCGAGCAATCCGCCTGCTTTGGCTTCCCAGAGTGCTAGGATTACAGGCGTGAGCCACCGCACTCAGCGATAGCTACTTTCTTAAAATAAGAGTTGAAAGACTTCAGTTTTTACTTAGTCAATAAAAATTAGAATGTCACAAGAATGTTTTCTGATTTTTAATCCTGGAGTATTTAAGTGGCTGATGTCAAAAGAACTGGGTTCAAACTTCTGTGACAGCATCCTTTTTATTTTTCTTATTCTCTAAAGGCCCTATGAAAATACATTCTGTAATATAAATTTTAATACCTGGTGAATTGCTCATGACCCATTGTTTCACCACAGACCTGCAGAGTAGACTTCAAACTTGTTAGGAGAAAAAGATAACAGACATATTATCCATGTGTTTTTCTCTACATGAATAGGGTTGCAATTTCTAAGAAAATGGTTTAATTTAATAAATGCTTATTAAATTAACAGAACAGCCAAATGCATCTCTTCATTAACCTATAAAAAAGCGTCTTCTTGGGAGAGAGTGACACAGGGCTGGTAATTCTGGAACAAAGATTGGCATTGTGGCATGAGCAAGGAGAAGCAAGAGAAAGCAAGGTAATGAGCAACAATGAGGTAAAAATGCAGAAAGGAAGTTCAGAATGGTCTCAGGGCATTCAAAGGAACAGAAGTATCCCAACACCCTCTTGCTTAGCCTTCCAACATAACACTCAAAACCTTACCACATCTTTGTTGATACCAACTTCATCTTTTCCAATAAAGTTAAACTCTTAGAGTGAAGGTGGACTATCTACTTGTCTAGTACATCTCCCTTTAAAACTATCTAACAGCTAAATTGGAGAAACTGGGGCAGAATTATCAAGTGGCTCTAAGGATCTTCAGGAATCAGAGATCTGACAGATTCCCACACTCACACAAAAGAACACACACACTTGACTGCTTAGGTGCTCAGTGACTCAACAGGCATTATAATGTGGCTATCGTTGACCTTGATCTTAAAAGAATTTGGAAGATTCCTGGAGCTGCTATGACATATATTTCTAAACACAGTTACAACATGAAGAGGATTCCAGATAATTACAGAGCCCTCCTGTTACAACTTTATTCATTCATTCATTTGATGTCAGATGGGTAATATGCCAATATCATAACAAGGTTTGAGGCAGGCACATCTCACACGAGTGTGAAAACCCAATCATCATGCTTATGAACTACAAAATAATCTTTTATAATTTTTAAGAAGATAATTCTTCTAATTTCTTCATCTGAATCTTTCTCATTCAGGCAACATCTTGTTATAGCAAGAATTATTATTCTAGTCAGCTATCTGTTCTGTTGTAGCAACTGAGTTGCATAAGTATACTAATTTTTTGATAATGTTTTGAAAATAATTTGTCTCAGTAAAAATGCTGTCTATTTTTACAAACTGCTACTGCTCAGAAATGACTGCTAAAAAAAAACAACAAAAAGTTACCTTGTGCTTCTCTTAATAGATTTATTTCACAGATTTTGTTTCTTTAGAAGAATTATATAGCTGTTTCAATATTTTTCAGATATATTACATATATTTATTTTTTGACCTGGAGGCCATTTACTCTTGAGACTCTTAAGAGCACATAAAACAAACATCTGTTTCAAGTTCAAAAGCCAAAGGATTCCATGTTTCTTCTGTGAAAGTACTTCGTGACAATAACAAGGTCTTGATGACTTGTTCTCCAATTTCAAGGGAGTTTTATTCACTCTATCAGGTGTCTTACAGTTACAGAACGAACAAAGTTGGATAGAAGGGATTAGTGGTCAGGAAAAAACAAAACTGTGGATAAGATGGAAGCAGCAGAAACAGGAAAATGGTTTTATTTGCTTAGGTAGAATATTTTAAATAACCTACTAGCATCTATACAGATGAGAGATTAGGATACTCTAAGGTACTAACAATGGGCATGGAGGGGAAGGAATGATCTTGAAAAATAATTCTGAGGTTAAATGGATAGGATGTAATGTAAATGTAATAAGATGTAGGGAAGAGGAAAAGGGAAGAATCACAGCTTATATTTCAGTTAGGGCAACTGGGTAAAATGTAAAATTAATAGTCCAATGAAATATAGAAAGAGAAAAATGATTGTGACAAGAAGATGATGGATTTGGTTTTACTTGTTTAACATTACATTACTTCTTGTGTTTGCAACCTGAAGAAGTAAATATTAAGAATGGAAAAATAAAGACAATAAAACTCTTAAGTTGCATTTATATTTAGCACCAGCACTGCAGTTAACATTTAAGTCCTAGTTATATACCAGGCAGCAGGCTAAGAATTTTACTGGCATTATCTACCCATTTTACAGATGAGGAAAGCAAAGCTTAGAAACATAAACAACTTGCTCAAGACAGAAATACAGTGCTGGCTGACTCCAAAGCCTGTGTTAAGTAGGTACACAAAGAATGAAATAATCTTCTTGGAGGGCTGCTTGGACCAATATATAAAGGATGCTACAGAATTGAAATGTTGATATTTAGGCATTTATCTTTTTTTAAATAGTTTTATTTACTTTACCCCATTTTCCTTGATGTTTTATTTTATGGACATTTAAGAAAGTTACTACACTTGCAAATGATTGGCAAAATTCTCAATCAGCGGGCAATCTTATTGTTGAATACACCTAAAAAGGAGAAGATAAGCATACACAACCAAGGGACGTTATCAAATATGTGCTGGTACACAAAACAGTATTGACTGAAACTCTCACATATTCCTTATGCTAAGTTGTTTATAGAAATAAAAGTGTGGGCACTGAAAGTATCTGATATGTTGATGATGACTGCTTTGAGAAGAGTAGGTAGGACTGATAATGAAAAGGCTCAAATGGATGGGAATATATCCAGTCACAGTTCTATAAATAGTAAAAATACTTTCTTCTTTTTTCTTCCATAGAGTAGTGGGTAGTAGCATAACATTCTTGATGCTCTGTCACTTAATTTTGTTTTGTAGAAAGCACATGTTCTGGTTTTCTTATTTTCAAAATGGTTTGTGTTAACCTATCTGGGATTCAATCCAATGAGTCTGTAGAATATCATCTTGATCTTTAATACACAATATTGGTTCAGTTTTTACAGGACAGAGTTCAACTACATAGGCAGAACAGAAATGGGTGAGGGTAACAACATGCTCAAGGATAGCTTTTAACTGTACACCAGGATCCAAAGAGTATTTTCTAGACTGCTTTAAGCATTTAACAACCTAAACCTAGCAATGGGAAGAAAACTTAAGTTCCTAGAAAGTGAAGCATTTAATAAGAAAGTCCATGGCTACTAAGAGTTACACTCTTGCAAAAATGTAAATGACCCACTTATTTTATTTTTAAATTAAAATATTTTTGTTTTAAAAAAATCCTTTCCATAAATGTTGATAAGAATCTACTATCAACCTCAAGACTAATTACCAAATAGTCAAAAGAGATTTTTGAGCAACTGTGTGCACAAAATTATGTACCAGATAGTGCTAAATTTATGAACAGATTGCATCTGAAAGCTTTTTGGAAATATTGGCTTGTTTAGAATTCAGAAAGCATTAAAAAAAAAAAAGGTACTGATATGGTGGCTGGCTTCCAAGGTAGAAAACTACTTAATGAATAATATAATTTAACTTTAGTACAATTTCCCATTATTTCAGCACCATAGAAAAACCATCCTAAAATCCAACTGGGAAGCTAGCGGCTAAGCAAATATTTCTCTTTCACTGGCCCATCGATTTTGAGAATAGATTCTGCTTTTCTATCCCTTATCTGATGGAAATGGTGATGGTGGTGGGAGGTTAAGTGCAAAATCTTTCCAGGAATAACTCTCTACTTTCAAGGACCACAGGAAGGGATTCCCTTCTTCTTTCCTACCCTGACTTTTATCATCTGCAACAGCATGAAAAGATGCGCTGAACAAAAATTGGCAAAATTAGAAAATACAAAACGATACCTCTTTATTATATTTGCAATTTCTTGGAAAAGTGCCTTCTCGTCAGCAGCATAGGTAACTTCTAGTCCTGTAATTCCAGATCTAATAAGTACTGGGGTCTGATATCTGATATCTAAAAAATAAATAAAATGTTTATTGTTTACTTTATATAACAGTACATTATATAATAATATAGTACTATAATACAGAATATCCCTTTTACTTTTTTTTTATTTTTTTAATTTTTTTGAGACAGAGTCTCACTTTGTTGCCCAGGCTAGAGTGAGTGCCATGGCGTCAGCCTGGCTCACAGCAACCTCAATCTCTGGGGCTCAGCGATCCTACTGCCTCAGCCTCCCGAGTAGCTGGGACTACAGGCATGTGCCACCATGCCCGGCTAATTTTTTGTATATATATTTTTAGTTGGTCAATTAATTTATTTCTATTTTTGGTAGAGACGGGGTCTCGCTCAGGCTGGTTTCGAACTCCTGACCTTGAGCAATCCACCCGCCTCGGCCTCCCAAAGTGCTAGGATTACAGGCGTGAGCCACCACGCCCGGCCCCTTTTACTTTTAAGTGAAATTGTGCTACTGAAATATTTCTAATTAAGAAAGCATTCCCTAAAGTCAAAACATAATTAACTCAATTTCTTGAAAAATTTCTTACAAGATTTTCTAGTTTAATATACAACTGGAAATTCAAATTTTGTATTTTCAGTTATTCTCCTAAAAAGTCTGCATTCACAAAATTCTCTAGATAATAACATATCACCCATGAAGAATTATTACTTTGTTTCTGTATTTACTCTTCCTAATTGGAAGAGCTTTGCTTAGTAGAGAATTTTTAAATCAATGTTATACTAAAAAATATTTAATAATCGCTTCTCCAGGAAAAAAAAAAAGCCCTGATTTGTAGTGTTGCCTATTTCATGATATAAAGACCCTGTCCCCCAATGGATGATTTCAAACTACCAAAGTGACACTGACCAGTTAAAAAAATTCGTGAAAATTCAGTAATTGTTTTTGTGAGCTGGTCGTGTGGGCCAGCTCAACCAAGCGCAGCACTTATTAAACTGCAAATTCTTATATGGTTTTATTCTGTGCTAAGACTTCCTCCTTAGTAGACTGAATTCACTTGTAATAGCTACAAGCTGCAGACGAGATGATGTTTTATAAAATGCTTTACACAGTATACTGTATGAAGAACCTCTGAACCAAAAGTATATTTAGAAAAAGATAGAAACTAAGTGAGGATATATCTTAAAAGATTCCTATAAACCATTAACTTAGTCACAGTAGTAACTTCCTCAAGTAAAGAGAAACCCTGTATTAGTAGCAAAATACATGTATAAGCATATATAAGGAAGACTATGCATCCAATCTAAAAATAATCATTTGATTCCTTATAAACAGTAGTTTGTAAAATAATATTAGAACAAATTATATATGCTAATCAGAACTTTTATTAAGATCTTTATATTGTATTGCTTCTGACTTTTCAAAAAAAATAGACACAGGGTCTCACTATGTTGTCCAGGCTAGAGTATAATGGCTATTCACAGCCATGATCATTGTGCACCCTACCCCTGAACTCCTAGGCTCAAGTGTGATCCTTTTGCCTCAGCATCAGAGTAGCTAGGACTAAAGGTATATGCCACCACACTTGGTTGCTACTGATTTCTGACAATAGTTCAAAAAAGAATTATGAATCTAGGACACACTTTTATACAACCTGCTACCCCCACCTTTGTAAACATTTTAGAAAGGAATTCTTAAGCTTGCTTGGATTAGGTCTCCAGCACAGAAATTCTCCCTATCAAAAAGTTCATCCTGGGGTGGGCAGTTATATCATTAATAAAAATGAACAATACCTTGACTGGAAACTGTCTTGTCTTTATCAATCACTATTACACCTGTGAGTTCTGTTTTTTCTGTATCTGGTAGTGGAGTGTCAGATGAGATGCAGTAGAACAGAGCACAGATTGGGTCAAATTCAGGATCTGGTTCTAAGTCTCTTCTAGTTCGAGCATGTAACTCCACACTGATAAGGGTAAGATTTTGTATCTATAAGTGGAAATAAAAATCATGCTTTAAAAATTATTTTGAAGACACACACAAAGCAGTATGTTTCACTAAGACTCTAAGGAAATATGTCTGTAAAACTACAGAAAATATAGCCAAAAATGATAAAGTCACAATTTAACAGATTAAAACCAAAGATTTTTACTTCCAAGATTAGGTTAAATAAATTCATGTTTTTGTTTCAGAAAATCTGCTTGTGCTCAAATTTTTCAATAATAACACTTGAAACTTTTTGTCTATTTAATAAAATTTATACAGTGCCTCTCAATTCTGTCAATTCTGGTTTGAGAAACAATGACTAGGCTAAGTGGTTGTATACCGAAACCAGTCTGTCACTTTTTACTCTTTAATTTTTATTTTTTTGAGACAGAGTTTCCCTCAGTCACCCATGCTAGAGTGCAATGGTATCATAGCTCATTGCAACTCTGAACTACTGGGCTCAAGCAATCCTCTTGACTCTGCCTCCCAGGTAGCTGGGACTACAGGCACATGCCACCACACGGGGCTCATTTTTCTATTTTTTTGTAGAGACGGGGTCTTGCTTTTGCTCAGGCTGGTTCCAAACTCTTGGGTTCAAGCAATCCTTCTACCTCAGTCTCCCAAAGTGCTAGGATTACAGGCATGAGCAGCTATGCCTGGCCACTTTTTACTCTTTATGCAGTTTAATTAAACTATAGTTTTGGCCGGGCGCTGTGGCTCACGCCTGTAATCCTAGCTCTTGGGAGGCCAAGGCGGGCGGATTGCTCAAGGTCAGGAGTTCAAAACCAGCCTGAGCAAGAGCGAGACCCCGTCTCTACTATAAATAGAAAGAAATTAATTGGCCAACTGATATATATATATAAAAAAAAATTAGCCGGGCATGGTGGCGCATGCCTGTAGTCCCAGCTACCCGGGAGGCTGAGGCAGAAGGATCACTCGAGCCCAGGAGTTTGAGGTTGCTGTGAGCTAGGCTGACGCCATGGCACTCACTCTAGCCTGGGCAACAAAGCGAGACTCTGTCTCAAAAAAAAAAAAAAAAAAAAAAAAAAAACTATAGTTTTAACTAAAAAAATAGGCTTTTTTTTTTTTTTTTTTAGTTTAAAGTTTCTACTTATTAATTCACTACTACTTGAGGGCTACTTAGACTTTTGCTTACACTCGGTAGTTTTTTTTTTTTTTACTTAATTTTTTTTTATTTCAGCATATTATGGGGGTATAAATGTTTAGGTTACATGTGTTGCCTTTCCCCCCTTTCCCCGGTGGAGTCAGAGCTTCAAGTGTGTCCATCCCCCAGATGGTGTGCATTGCACTCATTATGTATGTATATATCCATACCCTCCTCCCCCTCCATCTGCCCGATAAATGTTATTCCTATATGTCCACTTAGGTGTTGATCAGTTAATACCAATCTGCTGGTGAATATATTAGGTAGTTTTTAATTATAGTTTTTCCTGGGGTGTGTGGGAGGGAACCTGTTATGGTATCAACTACACAATAGCCAGAGTTTTACTCATGTACACTTTCTCTCTGACAAATAATGCAAAAAAAATTAATATCTGCTTTTCACACTTATTTTCCTATGCTAATAAAACTCTTCCTTTACTTGGTATTTTGTGATACAGGGAAAAAATAAAAATAAAAAAAATAAAAACTCTTAACTATAATCCTTAGTTTTCTTCCTAAAATCAAGACAAAGTAGGTAGAAACTCTAAGAAAAACAAAAATATAGATTGAATTCATGATTATAACTGGAATTATACCCCATCATTTTATAGCACATACTATACTTTGTAATGGAAAATAGTAGACTACTGTTATAATATTGGTATTTATTCAGATCACATAAATTTAACAAAATTTGGATTTTGTATTTATCTTGCATGCAAACTATTGAAGAAATATAAATGCAAGGCTCTTACTAGTGATGGGAGTAAAATTTGGTAAATCTCTTTGGTGGAAGTATCTATTAAAATTAAAAATGGACATATAGTTTGGTCTAGAAATTCTACTTCTGAGAATCTTTTATCCCACAGATATACTCATCCATGTAGCCAAAATATATGCTCAAGGATGTTCATGCAAGATTACAATAGCAAAGACTGGAAAAAACCTAAATGTCTATCTGTTGGGGACTGGTTACATAAATTATGTGGTACCCATAAAGGCTACAAACAATGGAATACTCTGTAGCTTTTAAAATTTTCAAAAAAATGAGCCAGATCTATATGTCCTAATGTGGAAAGGCCATTATAATACATTGGAGTAAATGGGACCACTGAGTATATTATGCTTTTATATATGTAAAAAATGCAAGTACATGAATAAAAAATTTCTGCAAAGATACATAAAAAAGGTAGAACTACTTATTGCCTTTGCAGAAGAGAAAACTTTTAGCCTGAGGTGGCAGAGAAGCTTATTTTTCATTGTAAATCTTTTGTCCTGATTGAATTTTTCCATGAACATGCAATACTGCATGTATTCATCATTAATGTTATTAAATAATTTTTAAAATATAAAGAACATTAGTTATGTCTGTATAAGACTTAAGAAATAAAACAAATACAAATCTACCACTTTTCGCAGATATATATATTGCTGTTTCTATTCAAAAAATATTACTATTAAAAAATGTCAAACCAAATGAAATCAGGAATTAAGGGAAAGAGCTTTTACTTTTAAATGCATACTCTTTGGGACTTAATTTTTAATAATAAGCATGCACAAATTTAATAAATGCAAAAATTTTAAATGGAAAATTTCTCCCACAAACCTCAACAAAACGTAACAGTTTAATTAGAAAAGAATGAACATGTGGAAAAACCACAGAGAAGACTGTGAAGACAATTTGAGGTCAAAAGCATCTTGGGAGACTTATTTATTTATGAAGCCAAATTTTCACACTCAAATTTCACTTTTCTATTCTTTAATATAAAAGCATTACTGTGCTTAGGGGCATTTTTTAAAGCAAACTATTCCATATAAAGAGATGGTGAGAGAGATGTATTGAGTGTGACTAGGTAAGAGGGCGATAAGAAAGGGGGGGCAAAAATTACAACCTTTCTCTAGTGCATTGAGTATCGGTATGCAGAGAAAGAGAGATTATCCCAGGGTAATGGAAACAGGGAAAGAATGCTATGGGCACAATTTCCTAAAGAAACAGAGAGAATCATGCAAAGATTTTTTTTGGTTCATTCCCTGTTTTGACCACCAGGAGGCTGTTATGTGCCTTGAGATGAGGAAAGCCTGTGTCAGGAGGAAAAAACTGTCAGCAACACAAGAGGGCCCCTGATTCTGAAATGGGTTACCCAGAAAATGTAGAAATTACATTTTTCAAATAAGAGAATAATCAAATATGTCTTTTTGCTAAGGTCTATCGCATTTGCTAAGGTCAAAAATATTAATAAATATTTTTGACAACATATTTTTCTTATTTTCTGATTTGGGGTATACATTTCATAACACATGTATTCCTGAGTTTATCACTTAATTTATCTGGGCTTTGGGGGTTTGTATAGTCCTGGGTACAAAATAGGGACTAAATGAAAAAAATGAACAGATAAATAAATGAGGGAGTAAGACTATGTTCCAATCTAATTCGAAAAAAATACAATTCTCAGTTCAAATTTAGGGTAAAAATGAGATCAATATTAACATTAAAATTTTTCTTTCAGTTTAGGTTAATTCAATCCTTAGAACAGTTTATGACAGAATTGACTTGAGAACAAAAAACAAAGTAAAAAAATCAAATCACAACTTAAAGGTGGTTATTAATTCTCTGCTTTTTTTTTTTTTTTTTTTTTTTTTTTGAGACAGAGTCTCACTTTGTTGCCCAGGCTAGAGTGAATGCCATGGTGTCAGCCTAGCTCACAGCAACCTCAATCTCCTAGGCTCAAGTGATCCTCTTGCCTCAGCTCCTGAGTAGTTGGGACTACAGGCATGAGCCACCATGCCCGGCTAATTTTTTGTATATATTTTTAGTTGGTCAATTAATTTCTTTCTATTTTTAGTAGACACAGGGTCTCATTCTTGCTCAGGCTGGTTTTGAACTCCTGCCCTCAAACGATCTGCCCGTCTCGTCCTCCCAGAGTGCTAGGATTACAGGCGTGAGCCACCTCGCCCAGCCAATTCTCTGCTTTAAGGGCAAAGACATAAAACAACTATATAAACTAGCACTGTCCAATATTAATACATATTTATATTTTAATATAATGAAAGCCACATATAATTTAAAATTTTCTAGTAGCCACATAAAAAAAAGCAAAAAACAGGTTAAATGAATTTTAAAACTTTTTTTTTTTTTTTTTAAATAGATAGGGTCTTGCTTTGTCAGCCAGGCTGGAATACAGTGGTGTGATCATAGCTCACTGCAACCTTGAACTCCTGGATTCAAGTGATCCTCTTGCCTCAGCTCCTGAGTAGCCAGGACTACAAGCATATGCCACCCATACCCGGCTAACATTTAATTTTTTTTTTTTTTTTTTTTGCAGAGAAGAGGTCCTGCTATGTTGCCCAGGCTGGTCTTGAACTCCTAGCCTCAAGTGATTCTCCCACCTCAACTTCCCAAAGTGCTGGGATTACAGGTGTGAGCCACTGCGTTTGGATGAAAAACATTTTTATTTAATCCAATATATATCAATAATATTTCAACATGAAATCACATACAAATTCCTGAGATACTTTATATTCTTTTTCCCACTAAGTCTTTGAAATCAGTTATGGATCTTACATTTATAGCACATTCAATGTGTATGCTAAATTTTCTATGAAAATTTTCTATGGAAATCTCTAAACATCTATGTTTAGAGATAAAATTTACAGTTAAATACTTTTACATACCTAAAGTTCTAAACATGCTTAAAAGTTTTCCAATAAATATCAGTTTTTAAATCTACATTAATTAAAATTAGGTATAATTTAAATTTCAAGACCTGAGTTGTATAAGCCAAATTTTAAGTTCTCAGTAGCCATGTTGCTAGTAGGTCCCATAAGGACAGCATAGGTATAGACAATAAAAATATATTCTGATTTCCACCTTATTGCCAGTCAGATATGTGCTCTGAGTTCGTTTACTATATACAAATACATTTATAATGACCCATTCACATATTCTTTCCAATTCACACTGTGACTGATGTACATTTCTGCAAGACAGAGTCCTACTCGTTGGCATAGAATCTATACTGTGAAGATGACTGGATTATATAGAGATTACGTGAATGAATGAATCTATCCCTTTCTGTAACAAACTCCAATCCACTGAGTTAATCAAAGGGAAAATACAAGTAACTATCACATCTGGGATGTGATATAACATCCTAATATAACAATCCCCAAATAACAAAATACAGACTTCCTAATAGTTTAAAAATTTTTCCTAAGTTTACTTTTTATAACCTGAATTTCAGTAATAAGACTTGTGAAACCACAAAGTAATCTCAGCAACTTACAGATGTTTTAAAAGTTTTTCTATTAAATATAAATTATAAAATATTAAGAAATATAAGAACAAAATGAAGATTAATTAGGATAGAATTCAATGCATTCCTCTCTCATTAAAAAATTTCTATTATTTTTTTTATGGAATAAAACATAAGAGTCAAACACAGGTATATGATCTTACTGTTGCAGTTTTACCTCATGTAAAGCTTTTGCCTCCTGTAAGTTTTGTATGCTGACTTTGAAACCATAAGTATTGTTTAAAGATGGTCCATCAATTTGAGAAGTTTCTTTCTTTGGGCTATTTACTGCTGCAAATTGATTCTATTAAAAAGAACACACATAGCCAGAAAAAGATAAATGACCAATCTTTTGATTACTTATTCCCACTTAGAAAATATGCTTTATGTATTCAGTATAAATCATAAAACTAATATCATCTCTTTAAGTTCAAGGAGAAATAGTGTTTAATTAACATTCTTTTCATGCTAGTAATTCAAGATACCAGGACTGGACATACGTAGAAATATCTGATATCATCTATAAGCAAACCATATGTTGATCTCTGAGTTTACAAGCCCCAAATACTGAAAATAATAGTATTGGGAGAGCTGACATTTATATCACATGGACATTTATCTTGATCTTTCTTGTAAGTAAGAAAAGCAGGCAATCAATATATTTGCAACTTCTTTGGCTAAAGTTTGTAAAAGATTTGAAATTCTGAATTTATATTTTATTCTAATACAATATGTGTCTGAAAGGTGAATTAAACAATGTAAATATTATTCACGAGTTTAGAAAAAACAGAATCTTTCCATTTCTTAAAAAATATTTTTTCTGATTTCTAAATCCATAAACTGTTTTCACCAAAGTGTTGACTTACGTTCACAACACACTGGTACAGTACTTGTTTTTAATATATATAGCTTGTAATTCAATAATACTGTTTTATAAATGAAAGTTTAAAAAGTATAATCTCAAAATAGAAATACTAAAATATATTTTATATAGTTAATGATATTTATGATAAGTGGCCAATATGGAAGTGATTTCTATCATCATATATTTCCAAGGATACATGTCAAATGCATACTTTTTTCACATAATCATTTACTTCTAACTATTGTCATATTTTTAGTATTTGGATAAAGACATTTATGACTTTCCAGAGTTTCAGTAGTAAATAATGCTCTCCTTTGCTACTTAGTAAAAATTAATAAGGTTATATTTGAGAAAAAAGTAATAAACCAAGAAAAAGGATATATTTTTGGTGGGATCAAAAATCACTTACTTGAGCTCTGCTGTCATTGGATTGTTCTGATTTTGCCAGTAATCAGTTAATGTATTTGTATCCTCATAATCCACATTTTGGCTATCATATTCACTTTCTCTGTAATATTTGTATTTACACATAAGAATCTTTTAGATCCCCAAAACAAAAAAAAAAACTAAAAAAAATAGGCAATTTCTTGTTGTCTCAAAGATAAGTAAATAATGATATAAAAATATCAGTAATAAAAATTTTTACATTGAGACAGTTATCAATTATGCAACTGAAATCTAAGAATAAGACTGGATCTTCCACTGATTTTTAAAAATGTTTAGTATAGTTACCTTTGCTTGTGTTAAGAGTACTCTTCTAAGAGAGTCAGTTTTACATCCTTTCTTATTACTCAACTTCTGGGTTTTTGGTTCTGTAGAAAAAAATTTCATACTTAACATGTATTTCAAAATTACCCGTTTTTTAAAAAACTTTCATTGTTCTAAATATTTAAGTACATTTGTGAGTACTGTCCTATGAATTCCTCCAAAACTTCATAACTTAAAAATGAAACTAATTCAAGCCTCTGATTCCATCAAAGTAACCTTTAAATTTTGTATCTTAAAATAAATACTCTTAGGCTTTAATTACCAAGTTTTATACCTTAGTCATTACCCTAGGGTATTATTTAATTCATTTATTCACTTTTTATCAAGTATCTATGATGAGAAAGAAAAGACATAGTGTCTGCCTTCATGGGATCTAGAGAGAAAATCAGTCATCAACAACATAGGAAAACAAAATTATAACTGGAGTATGTACAACAAATGGGAATATAATTGGGAATATCTAGTCATGGAGATTAGGGAAGGCTTCTTTGAACTGCACTGTAAGGAATTAGAGTAAGTAATTAACTAGAAAAACAGTAAGGCTTTTCCTTGATTACTGTGCAAAAAACCTGGGAATTACTAACAGTAGGTAAGATGGCTAATGCAGGAGCCCAAGCAAAAGATGATGACAGCTTGGCTTAAGGCTGTGGTGGTAGAGGTAGAATGAAGTAGATAGATTTAGGTTGGTTAGGAGATAAACAAGTGATAGGACTTTCCTGGATTGGAAACCAGGGTGGGTAGTGAGGGAATCAGGTGTGCGTTAAAAATATATTCTATGTTTCTCACTTGTGTAACTGACTGAGAAATGGAGGCACTATTCACTGAAGTAAGAAAAACTGAAAGAAGAACAGATGGATTTCTATGTGTGGGAATGTATATATGTTTATGAATGTGTTGGGGAGGTTGTGGTCAATGTGTACAGTGAGATCATGAGCTGGCTTTAAAAACATTGGTCTTGAAGTATCACTGAGCATTCAAGTAGAATGCTCAAGTATATGCAGCATAGGCAGCTGGATATAGTGTTCTGAAGCTTAAAATAATGTTCGGAACTGGAAATTAAAATCTGTGAGTTATCTGTAATAATTCTGTGGGTAGGAATTAGATCATTTAGGGAAAAATAAAAAAAGCTTAAGCCCAAGCCTTAATAAATTCCAACATTTAGATAATAAATGAGAACAGTCAGAGGAGCCGCAAAGAAAAGCAAGTTAGAAGGAAAAAAGAGGAGGAAAGCCAAGGGAAGAAGCTCCAAGAAGGAAGGTGTGGTCAAATGGCTCCTCAGAGGGCATAGATAAGACTTTAGAATACCCAATGGCTTCAGCTACCAGAAGTTTATCCGGAATCTATACAAGAGCCATAGTGGTGGAATGGGGCAGGGGTGGGGGGGGGGAATTCAGTTTAGAGTGGGCTAAGAAATGAGTAGAAGTCAACTAAATGTAGTTGTTAAACTGGAGAAACTGTTTAAGAAATTGGTTTTGAAGGGGAGGAGAAAGAGAATTTGGCTGGACATTTGAGGTCAAGGGAGGTTTTTGTTTCTAGGTGCGAGAGGCTTGGGTATGTGTAAAAAGCTAATGGGAAAAATCAACTTGAAAAGGTAAGGCTTCTGAGAGGGCTCCTGCCTTTTCCTACAAGGCAGGAAGATAGGATGAAGCAAAATAAGTAGATTTCACAGCAGAAAGATGAAAAAGTTTCCATATGATGACTTTCCAAGACATGACAAAATAGCAACTTTTTATTTGCTGAGCCTTAACTTCACTTAAAAGCTCAGATTTTTCATTGCACAGTCTAATGTCTTCATCTTTGAAGAACAATTATATCTATACACTTACCTGTTGATAAAGGGCTAAGGTCAGTTACTTCAGGAAGCCTTTCCAGTTTTCTCTGTATGACTGGTGTACTATGAAGGCAAAGTGATTCACATTTCCCTGTTCTTGCCCTAGCGTTAATTGGAGATATCACTAGACGTTCCCGAGGCTCACTGCAGGGGCTCTTCTGTATACTATTTTTTATTGGCTTTAAGAAATTCTCAACAGCCAAAGAACGTAGGTTCTCTACTGGTGATGAGGGTCTATCATCTCTATTTAATGCTCTGGAATCTGGGGATGTTGCTTGTTGCCAAGGGGGAATTACTGGAGAACCAGGAGGACTATAACTAACATAATAGTTATCATCATCTTCATCTTTCTCAGGATCACTTGCAGAAGCAACTGGTGGTAGTATCTGATTTTCACTTGCAGTTTGACTGCATCCTGTGGTTGGTACTTGTAAAACAATCTGAGAATTATCAACATCTTCCTCGGTATGTGCTGTAGTGGGGAGTATATGTGGACTTACATCTACTTTTGGTGGCATTACAGATTTGTCATCTGGGTTAACTGAAGAGCTAAAGTTCTCAGCAGATTTTACTCCACTTGGCTCAATTTTAGGAAGTTTCTTGGAACGTTCATATTCTTCTTTGGCTTGAAGCCACACTTGAACCAGTTGTCTACTTGGGGCACATTTGCAAGGCATAATCACAATTTTTTTATCTTCAACCATTTTATGGCTATTACTTGACCCTTTATTGACAATTCCTGGGCCATTGCGAAGGGGTGACCCTGGTCTTGGATTCTGAGTCATTGCTGAGAATGCAGTTTTCCACAGATGAAGTCCTTCCAAGGAAAAGTCTCCCTCAAACTCAGCCAGATCATTTGGAAGTCGAGTTTCCACCATGAGAAGCCGTCCACCAATCTCCCTATAAACGACATATTTTAGGACAACTGTTTTGTCTCAAAGAGCAATTTCTAAAATATTTAATTCCCTATCCTAGAGATTTTTAAAGTCCACTTTGGAGTCTTAAAAATGCCCATCTCTTTCTCCCCACAGTGCCCTCCCTGCCATTTTAGGCAGGTATCCTCTATCTTTAGTCTCAATATGCTTTTCCTCACAGGTATATGACTACTACATCAACTTAAAGACTATATCCCTGGATTTTACCTACTGCTTCTTCCTATATTCTCTAGTATCTATAGCAGGCATCCTCAAACTACGGCCCGCGGGCCACACGTGGGTGTTTTTGCCCATTTGTTTTTTTACTTCAAAATAAGATATGTGCATTGTGCATAGGAATTTGTTATCGTTTTTTTTAAACTATAGTCCGGCCCTGCAATGGTCTGAGGGACAGTGAACTTGCCCCATGTTTAAAAAGTTTGAGGACCCCTGATCTATGGTAATTTAGCAAAGCCAGTCAATTTATTATTTTTTTATTTTTTATTTATTTATTTTTTGAGACAGAGTCTCACTTGTTGCCCAGGCTAGAGTGAGTGCCATGGCGTCAGCCTAGCTCACAGCAACCTCAAACTCCTGGCTCAAGCAATCCTCCTGCCTCAGCCTCCCAAGTAGCTGGGACTACAGGCATGCGCCACCATGCCCGGCTAATTTTTTTGTATATATATTAGTTGGCCAATTAATTTCTTTCTGTTTATAGTAGAGACGAGGTCTCGCTCTTGCTCAGGCTGGTTTCAAACTCCTGACCTTGAGCAATCCGCCCGTCTCGGCCTCCCAGAGAGCTAGGATTACAGGCGTGAGCCACCGCGCCCGGCCAGCCAGTCAATTTAAATGAATCTTTGTAACCCACCCCCAAGTGCTTTCAAACATTAAAAAAATCACACACAATTGAGGCAAATTACCCTAATTCTTTGTTCCCTTTACATGGCACGGTTTAACACTAACATAAGAACTTAGGAGTTGGTAGAATCCACAGGATGCATACCTTAAATGCTACTAATGTATGTATATATGGGGAATCACTAATTAAAAGATAGTCTGGTTTAATTTCCAATAGTTATAAATATTAAGTGAAACCTGTCTTTCTCTAATCCATTCATACTATTTCTACCTATTGCAGCAACATAAAATAAGTCTACTTTTTATTCCTCATGATAACTCTATTATGGAATGAAGACAGCTTTTTTAAATAACTTCTCTTAAGGCATGATTCCCCAAATGTCCTGGTCATTAAAACTCAATTAACTGGATTCATGTTTTCTGATTTGGAGCTGAAGGAGGAACATCAGGTTTACCAAAGTTCTTTGTTCTCTTTATTTGGGAAGTTTTTGGCCTCTCCTATTAACTCTGTAACCAGCATCCAGCACCTTCCCTGTACCCACTCCCTGGCTATGTGAAAAATTAAAAACAGAATTATTTCTGTTGTAGGAAATGAGTACACATACCATGTTATCACACCCAACCCTAATACCAAGGATACAGAAGCCAAGAATAATGATAATGAATTGGTGAGGTGTGTAAATTCAGCTTTCTTGCACCTTATCAGCAGCATGGTAATTGCTACAACTCACTGGGAAAAATTCATAATATATATCAAAAGGCTTACATTTTTAAGTAATCCTACTTCTAGAGCTATAAGGAAAAACTCCAAAATAAATACATTATAAAGAAGTACTAATTACATAATTTATCTAGTAATAAAAGAGGATACAGTTTTTCTTTCCAATAATATATACATGATAGAATATTCTGCAGCCATTAATATAATGCTTCAAGAATATCAAAATTTGAAAAATGTTTATAATATCATATAATGTTAAATGAGTAATCTGGATACAATACTGTGATTATAGTAAGGCCATACTTCACAGAAAAAAACAAAGTAAAAACTATACATTTTAAACATTGGAAAAAAATAAAAAACTAAGAATACAGAAAATACATCAAAATATTATAGAGGCTGTTACCAGGTAGAGAAATGGTGTGATTTTTATTTCTTCTTTTATATTTCCTGATTCTCTATATTGAATACATAGTTTCATATTTTTAAAATAGTTTTTCAAAAACAATTATTGTCCTTTTCTTTTAGCTGCAGGAGAAGTGTCAAAGTTGGACAATAACAACACAAAGTTAATGACTAGCACATAAGTTTGCTAACTAAAAATTTAAAAAATATGTAAGGCTGAGGTAGAAAAAAATAGTTTGATCAAAAAATATACCATAATAACTACTGATAAAGTCAAAGCCCCCAAATAATGGAAACTAATGTCTAAGGAACAGACTGTAAATATTCTGGCAGTGAAATAAAGAGAAAGAGTCCTATGTGGGTTCTAAGCAAAACAAAACAAACCTGTGTGCTAGGAAGCAGGAGAAAGTGTTTCTGCCCTTCACTTTAAGTCACTATAAGAGGGAATATCTATTCTACATATCTGGTCACCTTTTCTCATCTCCTTTTTTAAAAATAAATTTTATTATGTGTATTTAAGGTATATGATGTTATGAGATACATATGTATGTGTATATAGTTACATATAGTAAAATGGTTATTATAATGAAACAAATTAACATATCCATCACCTCATATTCTCACTCCTTTCTTAAAATGGACTACAGGAATTATTGCTAATCTGTTGGGTAAAGGCTTGACATTCATTGTGGGATTTTTTGATTTTAACTTTTTAAAAAAGACATGTTTTTTTAAAGCAGTTGTAGGTTCACAGGAAAACTGAAAGAAAGGTACACAGATTTCTCATATGTGTGCCCCCACGCATGCATAGCCATTATCACCATCCCTCACAAGAGTGGTACGTGTGTTACAAATGATGAACCTTCCTTGACACATCATAATCAAAGTCCACAGTTTACATTTGGGTTTACTCTTGGCTTGCTATGTTCTATAGGCATGAACAAATGATAATGACATGTATCCATATTGTATCTCCCACCCACCCACTAGAGTTAGGAACATGGTATTGCTCCAGGTCACTGTATACATGCAGTGTTGCTTCTGCTCCAGTTGGCTAGTCATACTTCTTTCCACAATTTAGGCTAAAGCAGGGATTGCTTTAGCAGTCTTAGTCATCCTCTTCTGCTTCTGACTAGACAGTTAAACTGTCTCTCTCTGCAACTGGTTAAGTATAAAAGATCACAGACACTTGGGCAGGAACAAGAACCATCATTTAAACCTCCTGGATTAAGCCATGTTTTCCAATTTAGCTCTTATCAGATATACCCTAACTTGGTGATAAAGGTGGGATAGCACAACTACTCAACTACTGATTGATAAACCAGTACTGATTCCCATTTTACTATTTACCGTGTGTGCGGGCGCACGTGTGTGTGTGTGTGTGTGTGTGTGTGTGTGTCTGTTTGTCTATCAATTCTGTGAAAAGATTCTTGAAAGGAGATAAGGGAAACCAAAGCCCATTTGCACCCCTAATAACTTTATAAACTAACAATACTAACAATATGACTCAAGATGTGAAACCACATGGAAAGAAAGAGGTTTACAGTAGAAACAACTTAAAAAAAATAATCTTCATTTAGAGACATATCATAGGAGTACTTAAATGCATATGTATACTCATTTTCAAACATGTTTTAAAAAATGAAGTTTAACATTTAAAAAACACTACTTATAAGATGATCATTGTAATACTTTTGAAGTATCATGACATCCTTCTTAATCTTGCATCTAATTAGAGTGAGCACCTCTAATCCTTAAGGGAGACATGGTACTAAATAATAGTAGATCCAAGTCCAATACTCATCAACTTAAATTTCTCCAGGAGCAACCATCCACTTAGTTTGTGAAATTTCTTAATAAAGTCTGTAATTACGAATAGTTTTCACAATGATATGCTTACAAATGCAGTATCACAGACAGAAAACTAGTAGTCAATTATCAAATATTATACACAATTATTCAGAGTGACCCAAGGGAAAAAAATTCTGATTACCTGGGCTTTTCTGGTACATCAGAAGGATTACTGCAAAATGGTTCCTGGTAAACAGTTTCAGAAAGGTCATGATCCAACAAAGTTGCCATAATTTCTTCCCTACTTGGTGGGGACATAAGTGGTTTTAGAATGTGAGCAGTTCGAGGGGTGAAACTGCCATTTTTAGATTGTGAAGGAGAGCTGGTAGACCTTGGTGAACTATCAGGAGTTGGTGTCAACATGTCATTGTTTCTTGAAACATACAGTTCTAAATCTTCAGAGGCTACATCCACAAGTTCACCATCAGGGGAGGAGAGTATTGTAGTAAAAGAGGTATTAACTGAGTCAAGAGACTGTCCCATTTCTTTTCTGGTGTGACCTTGAATCCAGTCTGAATTGCTTGGCTGTGGGAGGCTAAGAAACACTTCTTTGCTTACAGAACTCCTATTCAATCTGGATTTTTCATTTAGACAGGCCTCTGCCTGCTGAACACAGAAAGAATCCATTATTGAATTAGACCGAGTTGTAAGAGGATGAAAGCTAGTTTTCCACTGGTTGTGCCGATGATTCTCATTGCTATCCATGGATGATTTCTCAAAAAGTTCAGGACTTAAAGTACCAGATCTAATCCACGAGGTTGAGTCTGAGACATGATGCTTATCTTCATCAGACTTCTGGTTGTCGTGACTTAAAAACTCATTTTTTTCTATAGCTTGTCCTGGAAAAAGATCCTGAACAGCATCACTTAAGAACTTTTGAGGCAAATTCTGATCAGCTGGGACAAACTGACTTCCAGAATAAAAGCTACAAAATCCAGTCTGACCTATTGTGTTAATATCAAAATTATAATTATGTTCAGGAGATAAGCTATCTTCAAGTGAATAACAACTTTCAAAACCTGGGTCTGAAAAAAAGATGGGACTATCATCTGATAGAGAGTTATCCAACTGGCTAGAGTTTTGTAAATTTAGAGAGTCTACTTTTAGAAGTTTGGGAACTTTTTCTTTAGCTTTTGTACTTCTGGGAGTTCGAGGTTTTCTTGGAGATGTTACTGATCGTGTCCTTTTATTTGCTTTGTTATGTTCAAGGGAACCAGAAATATTTTTGTTTGGTTGATGTTTATTAGGTAATGGGTCTTGCATAATATTTGCATTTTGTGCTTTCTGCTGTCTTTTTTGTAACAATTCTTTTAGAACTGCCAGTCCAGACTGTCCTTCGCCAAATGCTGAATGTGTTGACACATTTCGATTTTTACACTGAGAAAGTGCTTTAGTTTGTGAAATTGCTTCTGACAATGACCTTTGTTTTACCCTTTCAGGTTTAAAATTTGACATATCTAAAATAAAGCCTCTTTGTTTTTGCTCCCATGCTATTTGTTTGATTGGACTTCTTAAGGAAGTTACAAAGCAATTATTAGGCATTTGGCTTTCCTCTGAAGCTGCATTTCCTGGAGAACAAATTTCACTGTGCTTTGACTGTTCTGCCATGCACACAATCTGCTGCTGACTATCTTTGCAATGCAAAAAATTAGGAGCATATGCCTGGTCCGGCTTTGATTCTAGGGAATTGCGATATTCATTTAACTTTCCAATAGATGACAAATGGTTTTTTTGTATGTTTGAATTATCTTCTGTCTTTGGAGACATTATACTTGAAGATATCTGTGTATTCTGTGCTACCTGAGACAAATGGTTGGAAAGGTCAAATATATTTTTTTGAATCAAGGCTGATTCTTTTAGAGTGAACATAGTACTTTGATTATGAGATCTCTGAACATTAATTTTTGAGATTCCAGGTCCTACAGAATTACAGACAATTGATGGATGCAAATCATCTCGTGAACTGGGGAACGTTTGCAAATCTATAGACTTCTTACTTTCTAAGAAAGAAGAAAAGCATCCAGATAACTTCTGTTGTGCAATAATTCCAGTGGGTAGGGGAGCAGAAAGAGGATGATCTACAGTAGAGCCTATTAGTGGTGCATCTTTCTGTTTAAAAAGTAGAGAGCCTCCAGAACTGTTTGTGAGCTCAGACACATTCTGGTGTTTTAGTACAAACTTAACTTCAGCACCAGACTGAGATTTTATTTTTTCATCCTTAAGTGTTATGTGCTTTCTTGATGTACCTTTCTCATTTGTTTTTTGTTTCTGTTTTGCTCTTGGTTTCTTTTTTCCATCATCTACTAGTTTATTTGTCTGATTTCGTTTGTTCCTTTTCTTAGTAACTACAGAGGGATTAATAAGCTTTGCTTTTGATTTCTTAACCTGCGCTCTCGCTCGACTATTTTTTCCTATACGGGAATTAACAGTCTTACTATTATATGCATTGGGACCCTTAAAAAGCATTGCTTCTTTTTCTGCAGCAGCCATAATTTCTTCAGCTCTTGGATCTGTGGGAGACCAGCAGCGAGGTGGAGAGGAATTTATGGGACTTGTGCTTCTCTCAGAAAGAAAACCTAGTTTAGACATAACATCGCAATAATTCAAGTCACAGTCTTCGGTTTCAGCATTATAAGATGGTGAAGGAGGAGAAAGAATAGCATGTGACCGTTTTTTTCTGAAAGACAAAGTTCTTTTAATATTTTCACTATTTGTCCTTTGTTGCTTACCAGTTTTTTTCTTAGCAGACTTATGTTTTGACTTTCTTCTGTGACTTTTCTTTGGTGTTAGTGGATAAATGGGATATTTGGTTGCAGGGGAGTCAGGAACTTTTGGCCAAAAATCCTTCAAAGGTGCAAGCTTTTTATATAGTTCTATTTTTTCCTCTGTTAATGTTACTTGTTTTTCTTTAGAGTCTATTTTTCCTAGCTTCACAAGCATATTTTTTCTTCCTCTAAATCTGTTAATAATAATATACTTTATAATGACAGGAGGCAGCTTTTTAGACATTTTTCTTCGTTTTCGAGATTTGAGAGTTCCATCTAAACTGTCACCAATTTCCACAGGATGAGGTAGGCTAATTTTTGAGTTGTGTGTCACAAAACTTGACTCACTATCTTCGGTCTCATAATTTACCTTGCGTTTGGCTCTAAGTGTATATTTATTTCCATACAGTCCAAAGGATTGCTCAGTTTCTAAGCTTCCATCTCCAAAGTGACAGTCTATCAAACCATCTGTAGGTGTTTTAGTTTCAAAAGCTCCACGAGTGGTTTTAATTAAATCACTGGCCAATACATTATCCTTCTCAGGATTATTATTACAAGAATTATTTTGTATACAGTTATCTTTTGTGGATCTAGTCTCATTACTTTTGGTAGAAGGCTCCTGATGACTTACAAGTTTCTTTTTACTCAGTTTTAATCGGGATGGTCTATTGCCAGGTTGTAGTTTATAAGTGACAGGAGACAGTTTCTGTGGTCTAGTGAGACAATTAGAAAGAACAACACTGGGAAAAAACATATAATGTGCTGCTTGCTGGCTGAGGCTTGGTTTTTCTGTTTTATGTTCTTGAAATTCTTCATATCTAATTTTAAGTTTATTTAGTCCACTTTCATCAGCAATGCTACTAAGAGAATGTACCATAGTTCTATTCTCTCCTGAGCATGATAGCAATTCACAATTTTCAGTAAATGGCGAAGGGAATAAACTATTCAAAGCTGTGCTGTTTCCTTTTTCATTTCCTTCAGAGGATAATTTATTTTTTGAATGACTTAAGTCAGAAAAGTTGAAAGAGTTTTTGCTCAATGTATTCTCATTAGGGTGACGGTGCATATGTATAAAAGGGGCATCCTTTTCAATCTTTCTAATGTTTGTATACTTTCTACTTGGTACTTGTCTTGTAACAGATGGAATATCTTCATCATAATCAAAAACACTAGTTTCACAGGAAGATACTGGGAGGATATCTTTCTTATTACTCTCTTTATGAGAATTTTCTGAATGAACAGTACTGCTTAAAGATCCAGGGTATTTCATAGAGTAAGTGCTTTCATTTGTAAAAGAAGTGACTGAATTATCTAGACCTTTTTCTATGTTGTTTGGCTGTGAAAGGTCTTCAATTAAATCTTCCTTGTTCAAAACATGGGAAGAAAGGGCACTTGTGTGTTTACACTGAAAGGTAATCTTAGCAGAAGATGGGGGTTCTAATGTAGCAGCATCTTTGTGAAAGATGGAGGGTTTTACTGATAGCTTGCTTGTTGCAATCACAGAAGAGTGGGTTCTAGAATTTTCATTGTTCAATGGATTGTCTGGAATAAGGGAAAAAATGCATTTATTTCATTCTACTCTTTTAATTTTTGAAATATTTTCCCATACTAAAATACTATCACTATAAAAGATATTATATAAAGCTAAGTTTGTATGTTTAAAACAGTTACCTTAACAAAAAGGTCACTCCTATCATTAAGATAATAACCTAAACGATCAAGAGTTAGTTAAAATTATTTTAAATACATATTCATTTGATCAGAAATAGATTATATAAATATTCAGTGCCTTTAGGGGAATAAAGGGAAAATATTGTCACCTTAAAATTTTTTCATGCTCCTTTACATTATCACTTCAAATTAAGATGAGCAAACTTCTTACAGTTTGTTATGCTACTTAAATGTTAACATGATAAACTGATTAAAGTTTATGAAGCTTGAAATCAGTGATTAACAAATGTTATATCCTCTTAGAAATGAGAAAGAATCATATATATCTACATTCTTTCAAAAGAAGCATCTTTATTAACTACAGGTGGCTTGGCCTCTTTTTCTTGTGTATTTATTTGTATCATAAGCACTTGGAACAACAAAGACCATAAGCACCATTTAGCAGTTGTAGCCATTTTCTAGTTAACTCATGTAAACAAGTTAAGAGTAACATAACAGTATTACTCTTTCACTCTTCTCACAGGACATGTACCTCAATATGGTACTTATTTATGTAGTCACTGTATTTCTGGGTTTTTTAATTAATAAAAAAGTTAATCTTGAAAAAAAAAATAAAGAAGTATCACTATAGCCTCACTTAACTAACTATATAGGAAGTATGGTTATAGTTTCAAAATCAAATATATTTTTAGCCCCTAAATAACCAACTGCTCACAAGTAGATCTGTTTACTTACCACTATTTTCATCTGCAGTTCCATCTAACTGAGGTATAGAAAGATTGGCTAGAAGCAAACTGTTATCACTCCATTCCATTTCTTCTTCTGAAGATGAGTCTTCATCTTCCGTTGAACTTCTGTGGGTATTTCTGCACAGTGATCTAGAGAATATTAAAATTCATTGGTGGGTATAATCATTAGGAAAGAGCATCTCAAATGCAAGTAATTTGTCTAATTTGACTCTATAATAGTAAAACGCTAAAAAGGATTTGAAAATTATAACTTTAAAAGAGATTTACTTTGCTTTATTAATATGTCTTACTATAGTACCTGCAAGAAGTTATTATAAATAGACTAGAATCCCTTTATGTGAGCTAGAAAATACCATAATTCCTGCATTTATAGCTCCATAATATTCTGGATTATCATATCTAATCATGTTCTTCCTTTTTTTTTTTTTTTTTTGAGACAGAGTCTCACTTTGTTGCCTCGGTTAGAGTGAGTGCCGTGGCATCAGCCTCACTCACAGCAACCTCCAACTCCTGGGCTCAAGCGATCCTCCTGCCTCAGCCTCCCGAGTAGCTGGGACTACAGGCATGTGTCACCATGCCCGGCTAATTTTTTCTATATATATTAGTTGGCCAATTAATTTCTTTCTATTTATAGTAGAGACGGGGTCTTGCTCTTGTTCAGGCTGGTTTCGAACTCCTGACCTTGAGCAATCCGCCCGCCTTGGCCTCCCAGAGAGCTAGGATTACAGGCGTGAGCCACCGTGCCCGGCCTATGTTCTTCCTTATATTATCCCTTTCATCCTATCCTTAGATGTACACATATAGCTTGAGTGAGAAATCAGTACTCTCTAAAAAGGTCTAGCATATTTTAATAAGTCTCCATAAATATACAACCACTACATTCTGAATTAGAAAAAGGTTGGGGCTGAAGAGAAAACATCAGGGATCAGAGAGGGGCTAGGAAGTAGGAAAGGTATTGAGTCAATATGACAGTGACTACAAAGTACGGTTATTGAGAAATTCAGATGGACAGTGAAGTCCAGACAGTTTCTTAAGATTCATCTCATATTTATACTAACTTTATACTTTCCCTTTTATCTGGACAGGCAAACTTTCTTCCTATCCATACATAATTTTTTCTTTCTCAGGTCTCTTTCAAAAATTTGAAAATAATATCCCTGTATTATACATGGAACAGTTTCTCCATTAAGCCTTTCCAAATCACAATTTGTCATAAAATCATTCCCTTAAGATCTGAAAGAGTTATCAGAGGTCATTTAGTCCAACTTGCTACCCAATGCAAAAATCCAATTTAAACAGACCTGACACAATCTCTGCTTTTATATTCTCTGTGTAAGGGGCTTGCTGCCTTCCAGGGTAATCTTTCCATTGTTAATGACTCTAATTGTTAGTACTGTCTTCCTACATTACACAAAATCTTTCTTTTCAACTTCCATACATTATTCCTGCTTTTGTTCTCTGTAGCCCTACAGAGGAGGTCTATGCCATTTTCCAAAGGATAACCTTTAAAATATATGAAGACATTTATTACCTGTCTCATAACTCCTCTAATTAAACCAAACATTCTCTATTCAAATGTTCTTCAAAAGTGCCAGTCTTCACATATCCTTCTAGTTTTCTTCCTCTCCTTTCCTTTTCCTTTACTTTCTTAGTATACTTAAAATATAGTACTTAGGGCAGGATATAGTACCCACTATACAAAGTAGAATTAATAATTCCTTTTCTAGACAATATGCTTTTACTATTCAATTTCTCTCTAATATATGTTAAGTTTTTTTAACCAAGGTTAAACTGGGCATGATTTTCACAGAATTGGTTTAGTCAATGAACACACAAGCATGAATTTAATCATGGAATAAGCTGATTATTATAGTAGAGACTATGTTAGAGAACAGAATATAACATCATATCTGAAGATTTTCATATCACAATTAAGTAGAAAAATAAAAACCTATGTTATATACAAATGAATATTGAATTCATAGATTACCCTTTCACCTTTCATTAATGGCTTTGGGGATGAAAATTTCAAACAGGGACTTTTAGGAGAAGGATACTGAGTCTTTCAGGTTCAGAGGCTTAATTTTTTTCTATACACGGAGCATACAGCTCATGGGCAGAATCAAATCAGTCAAGTTCACAGAGACTGATTTAGAAAATCACAATGCCATCTTAATCATTTATTTTTTTTTTTTAATTTATTATTTTTTTTTGAGACAGAGTCTCACTTTTGTTGCCCTGGCTAGAGTGAGTGCCGTGGCGTCAGCCTAGCTCACAGCAACCTCAAACTCCTGGGCTCAAGCGATCCTCCTGCCTCAGCCTCCCAAGTAGCTGGGACTACAGGCATGCACCACCATGCCCGGCTAATTTTTTGTATATATATTTTTAGTTGGTCAATTAATTTCTTTCTATTTTTAGTAGAGACGGGGTCTCGCTCAGGCTGGTTTCGAACTCCCAACCTCAAGCAATCCGCCCGCCTCGGCCTCCCAGAGTGCTAGGATTACAGGCGTGAGCCACCGCGCCCGGCCTTAATCATTTATTTTGAGAAACAAAACAGAATACCAGTGTTTGCTTCTGGGACTCTTTTATTTATTAATTTTTAATATCTAATTCCTTCAGTATAATCAGACCTGGAAGCAATTCCTCATCTTCAGCTGACTCTGTATCTTCTTGCTCCAATTCACAACAGTATAACTATCAGAACCACTCTTTTTTTCAAGTTCTGAGATAAGGAGGCACTTTGATTTTGCCGCATTTATCACTCTCACTGCATATATAAATAGATGACTTATAAAAGTTAGGTTAATCTTTTTAAATGTAGGACTACTTTATTTTGCTTAGAATACAAAATATATGTCATATGAAAAACAAACCACTACTTAAAAGAGATTTAAAAGAAATCAATTTAGTCTATAAGGAAATAATTTCTTATTAAAGAACAATAATGACAAAAGAAAGTTATTAAAATACCTGAAATAACTAAAAAATTACCTCTTTTTGGCACAATGTTCTTCTATATTGCTGTCCCATCTCTGGGACATCACCAAACTAAGCTCCATTTCCTCTTTTTCAATCTGTGGTTCATTTTCTTCATCATCACTATTTTGGGGATATTTATTATTTCCAAAGGAGTGACATGGTGATGGCATCCTATTTCTTTCCCCCTGATATCCATCACTTTCCAAACCAGCAAGAAGATGTACCAGAGCCTCATCAGGACTGCTGTCCACTATAAAATAAGTGAAGCAATCACTAACAAGTAACTTAAAATTTCTAAATAATCCAACAATTCAATTATTGGAGCAATTATAAAGTAACAACATCATAGATGCTGGCAGATGCTAAAAGAATACAGTTGGTGCAAAGGCTCAGGGTGTCATGTAGCTCTCTCATCAAAGAGTGATCCTTGGATCATCTGCATTAGAATAATTTAGTCCAATTATTAAAAATAAGATTCTCAGACCCCATCATACATCTAGTGAATCAGAATTTCTAGGTTAGGACTCCAAAATTTGTATTTTCTTGTATTTATTTATTTAACATATTGGGGTCTTGCTATATTGCCCAGGATGGCCTTGAACTCCTGGGCTCAAGCAATTCTCCTACCCCAGCCTCCAGCATAGCTGGGACTACAGGTCATGCCATTGCACCTGGCAGGAATTTGCATTTTAATAAGCTCAGATCTTAGTACACATTTAAGCTTGAGGAGCAGTAAACCAAACATGGTCAAAAGTATTAAAAATAAATACAAAACATATAATAAACATATGAATTAATGCTAAGGAAGTACCTTAAAAACTATACATGTAAACATCTTACCCCACACTTAAGTTTTATTTAGTTCACAGAATAGTCAAATGAAATATGTAGTTGGAAAATACAAGAGAGCTTTAAAAATGGTCAATAGTATTATACTATACATATAAAACCACTTCATACATGTTAGGATTGCTCAAATCAAAAAGATAGATAATATCAAGTGTTGGCAAGGATATAAAGAAATTGGAATTCTCATACATGGGTGGTCAGATTATAAAATGGTTGTTCCTCAAAATGTTAAACAGAGTTACCATATAACCCAGCAATGCCACTTTTACATATATATCCAAGAGAATACAAAACATATGTCCACACAAAAACCTGTGCATGAATGATAGTAGCATTATTCATAATAGCCCAGAAAGTGGAAACAACCCAAATATCCAACAACTGCTGAATAAATAAACAAAATGTATATTATCCATATGATGGAATACCATTCAGCAAGAAAAAGGAATAAAATACTGATAGATGCTACAACATGGACAAACTTTGAAAAAATGCTAAATCAAAGCAGCCAGATACAAAGGCTATATATTATATGATTCCATTTATATGAAATGTCCCAAATAGGTAAATCCAGCAAAAGAGAAAATAAATAAGTGGTTGCCAGGGGCTTAGAGGAAGACTGGGGAGTAAATGCTAATGGGTTCAGGGTCTCTTTTTGGGGTGATGAAAATGTTCTAAAATTAGATAGTGGTAATGGTTGCAAAACTCCATGAATATGCTAAAAATCACTGCATTGTATATAACAAAAGGTAAATTTTATGGTATGTGAATTATATCTCAATAAAGCAGTTATTTTAAAAAAAGATTAGGAAGATGGAGATATGTTGTAATCTACTACACAACTATTTTCTCTGTAAGTAAGGTAATACATTCCTCATTCACTAAAATATCAAGTTTTAGGTTTTCTTTGTTGACATTAAAGAAATTGGTTCAGTCATGCTACCCAATGCAACACAAAATGAAAATATTTGCTTATAAGAGCCATTTTGGCAAGGATCCATTTCTGAAACCTAGAATTAGAATTTGTTTTTTCTGCCTTATACTCTAAAACAATTAGTAGGAAATGGATTATAGACATTTTCTTCTCAGATTTTTGATAACATTGAGATTGCTTTTTTATAACCTTAAGCAAGGTGGAATTATATCTGCTAATGATATCTTTGTCTGATGCAATGAAATAGGGATATGCTTCTCTAACTCTCTTTTTAAATTCCTTAACCTTTTCTATGTCCCTCTCTTAACTGTTTACTTTTTATAACTAGAATATCATTTAAATACTTTGGTATATACATTGATTTGTTCAAATGGAGAAATAAGAACATTTTAGATTGTAAACCTAAAATTAATTTTTTAATGTGTTCTTAGTATGATTTATTTCTGCATGTGGCCACTCATTTAAAAAAGAAAACACAGATGCGGTGGCACACCCCTATAGTCCTAGCTACTTAGGAGACTGAGGTGGGGAGGTTCCCCTGAGCCTAGAAGTGTATGGACATGTTAATGACCCTGATCTGATCACCATACATTATATGAGTTGAAACATCACTATGTATCCCATAAATATGTACAATAAAAAAGAAAAAAGAAAAAGTTCCCTACCCCTGTTTAAAATGTTTTTGAAATATGAGTGTGTACAATAATTTTGGTATTATTCACAATCAGTCAATTTATGTTCCATTCAGATGAAAATGTAAATAACAGAGGACATTACATTGAGCTGGGATATTTCGTGCCATAAAAATGAAAAATAGAAAGTGAGAAAGGAAAGAAACATAAAATCACTACTTCAAGCAAAACAAGAGGCATGAAGCTTAATAATAACTCACTTTATGCAACAAAATACCAAATAAATTTCTGTAAAAGATGTCAGTAAGTTAGGTTAAATTATTGAAAAGAAACCTTGTAAATGGTTTATGATGTTAAGGAAAAAATATTTAGGGTGATGCAAAAACATTCAACAATAACTGTGATGTGCTAAGCTAGCCAAAAATTAATGGCCTGATGCTGGGCACAATGGCTCACGCCTGTAATTCTGGTGACTCAGGAGACTGAGGTGGGAGAATCACTTGAGGCCAGGAGCTTGAGATCAGCCTGGGCAACATAGCAAGACCTTGTTTCTTAAAAAAAAAAAAAAAAATAGCTGGCTGTGGTGGTACACATCTCTAGTCCCAGGTACTAGGGAAGCTGAGGCAGGAGGATCACTTGAGTCCAGGAGTTCAAGCTGTAGTGAGCTATCTCATATCACTGTATTTCAGCCTTGATGACAGAGCAAGACTCTTGTTTCTTAAAAAAAAAATGGCTGAAAGAAATTGTCCAGTGAGATTTCTGATAGTTGCCAAAAAATAACCAATTATAGTGTTTATTAGTGTACTTAACTTTGGAGAATATTAATTCAAAATAAGTGCATTTTTCCTCTAAAGCAATATGGCTTTCTCCCAAAGTAAAATTTTAAAAAATTATTTTTTCACAATTATTTTTTAGAAAAAGCTGTGTAGAAAATAAAAAAACAAAGCTACTTAATTTAATGCAATGTTTCATTTTTATATATAGTATTTATTTAACATTCAACATTAATGTCTTCAAATCAAAGAAAAAATACCCCTTCTCACAACACACACTTTCACTGATTTAAAATCCTTTAAATTTATAGTAGGACTGTTACTTACTGAAAACTGGTGACTCACTCAGTCTTTGGGTCAAAGGCTGAAAAGTCTGACTATTTTCCATGAGGTTCAAAATTGCTTCTTCATTAATAAGGGCTTCCTCCACTTTGTGTCTAATGTGACCTTAAGATGACAAAGAATACAGAAACACTGAAGCAGTGGCCTAAATCTCAAATTCATTGCTTAAAATTTGTGTAAATTAGGAAGCATTACAACATAAACCTATTTAAAATTTTGAAGTGTTAATAATATAAAAATAAATAAAAATGTAATAAAATCTAATAAAAAGCCACAGAGATATCTAAGCAGTCACATGGATCAATAAAAACAAAACAAAACAAAAAAAAAAACCCTGAATCTATGTAACACCAGACATTTACAATCTCTATAGCCTCTCCAATCCTACCTAGTATGTGAGATAGTTATATTACTCTGATAAAATTGACTGCATGTTAAAATATACAAAGGGGAAAAAAGGACAAACTATCTTATTTGAATAATAAAACTCTTTATTCTCTATGGCTCAAAACCAAATAAATTCATTTTCCTTAATTTTATATTTCTCAGAAAGCTTTCAGTTCATTATCTAAAAATATTAATCTTTCAACATGTGATTTTTATAGCAGGTCTAATACACAGAAGGATTATATAATTTTAAGAACAAAGATAAAATGAATCCCATATTATAATCCAGCCATACAGGAAAGACAGACAATAGAAAGCACATAATATTAGGAGATAAAATGACTACATACCAAACAAATGAGAAATATATCATGTTCATAGATGAGACAATTTGATACAGAAGACAAAAATGTTCTCAAACCAACCTACAGATTCAATGAATTCCCAATAAAATCCCAACAGGATTCTTCACAGAAACAAAACACTCTGGTTGTAAAATTAACTCATGGAATAGCTCCCCCCACCCCCAGCATATTGTGGAGGTACAAATGTTAAAGTTACATATATTGCCCTTGCCTCCCCCTCCCCCAGTCAGAGCTTCAAGTGTGTCCATCCCCCTGTTGGTGCACATAGCATTCATTATGTATGTATATACTCATCCCCCACCCCCCGCCGACATCCGATAAATGTTATTCCTATATGTCCATTTAGGTGTTGATAAGTTAATACCAATTTGTTGGTGAGTACATGTGGTGCTTATTTTTCCATTCTTGGGATACTTCACTTAATAGAATGGGTTCCAGCTCTATCCAGGAAAATATAAGAGGTGCTATATCACTGTTGTTTCTTATAGCTGAATAGTACTCCATGGTATACATATACCACATTTTATTGATCCACTCATGTATTGAAGGGCAGGATCAAGAGTAGACATGACAATTTTGAAGTAGAATAAGGAAAGATTTGCCCTGACTAGATCTTATAAATTAATAGTAATGAAAATAGCGTGATATTAACATAGGGGAAAATGACAGAGATGGGGGAATTCAGTGTGGAAGAAAACACTATTTAATATGTATGTCTGTACAACTAGCTAGCTCACTAGATACAATTAAATCCTCACTATTTATAAAAGTAAAATTTCAGATGAATTAAAGACCTAAATGTGAAAAAACAAATTATAAGCACACAAGTCTTACGGTGAATACTTAAGAGAAAATTTTTATTGTATCAGAGTAGGGAAGAACCCATAAGCCAGGTACAAAAACCAAACCATAAAGGAATATTGGTAAACTCAACATTAAAACTAAAGACATGCAAAACACTAAAAATAAAAATAAATTTTAAAAAAAGAAGGGAATGCTATGATATTCTGTTGACTTAAGAAAAAAAAAAAAAAAAAAAAAAAAAAAAAAAAAAAAAAAAAAAAAAAAAAAAGAAGGGAAAAGAAGCTGATATTATTCTAAAGATTTCTATAGGACAAGTCTAGATGGAGAGAAAATATCTCTATAGTAAATGTAATTGATAAAAGTTTAATACCTAGAAAATATAAAGAACTTGAAATCAGTAAGAAAAAGACTAGTGGACTAATAGAAAATGAACAAGGAACATAAATAAGCAATTCCCAAATGGAGAAATCCAAATGGCCTTTAAAGATGCTTGAACTGGGCCGGGCGCGGTGGCTCACGCCTGTCTGTAATCCTAGCTCTTTGGGAGGCCGAGACGGGTGGATTGCTCAAGGTCAGGAGTTCAAAACCAGCCTGAGCAAGAGCGAGACCCCGTCTCTACTATAAATAGAAAGAAATTAATTGGCCAACTAATATATATAGAAAAAATTAGCCGGGCATGGTGGCACATGCCTGTAGTCCCAGCTACTCAGGAGGCTGAGGCAGGAGGATCGCTTGAGCCCAGGAGTTTGAGGTTGCTGTGAGCTAGGCTGACGCCATGGCACTCACTCTAGCCTGGGCAACAAGTGAGACTCTGTCTCAAAAAAAAAAAAAAAAAAAAAGATGCTCGAACTCATACATACTCAGGAAATACAGATTTAAATACAGAGATACCAACCATTTCAAAGAATCATAGTGGCAAAATTTTTTATATCTATTTTTTGATACTATCAAATGTTGAGGCCCCCTTGCCTACAAAAATTGCATATGAAGCAGTGTGACTTCTGAGTAAAACTTTCATTCTCTTATTTACCAATCATGTATAAGATAACTGCATTACAGAAAAACTGTTAGAACAGATGCTAAGGAGAGTACAATGCACACACTCTAACATCCAGCAAATTACTTCTCTGTATGTGTTCTGTAAAGAAACTCTTGCGCATAGCCATAAGGAAACAGAGACAGCATTAACTGCAAAAGTGAAAACCATTTAATACTTGTAGAATAGAGAAACAGAAAAAACTGTTTAGTCTTAAAATGGAACACTAATCAGCAGCTAAAATGAATGAACATTTTCAAACTTAAAAGACAGACAATAACAAGTGTTAGTGAAGACATGTAGTCACAGAAAACTTCACATATTGCTGGTGGAAATGTAAAACAGTGCTGCTACTTTGGAAAATAGCTTGGAAGTTTTTAATTAAATTTAATTAATTCTACTCCATGGTATCTACTCTAGAGAAATAAAAACATATATCCATACAAAGCATACAAAGACTTGTACTCAAATGTTCACAGCAGCATTATTCTTTTTTTTTTTTTGCTCTGCAAAGGTAATTGCTGTAGTTAAGTTTATTCTCAAACTGGTTTCATTTGCTACTATTTCCATTTTTTATAGCTCTTCAGGGTATTTATACTAATATTCATGTTTTACTGCTTATAGCAGCATTATTATTAACAGGCAAAAGTGAAAACAATTCAAATACCTATCAACTGATGAATGAATTAGTGATGTGGTATATATAATGGAATACTATTCAGCAACAAAAAAGAATGAAATAATGATAGATATTACAAATGGATAAACCTTGAAAGTACTATGCTAAATGAAAGAAGCTAGACACAAAAATGTACATATTGTATGCTTTCATTTATAATATACAGTATCTGAAGGACAAGGCAAATGTAGAGAGAAAAGAAGGTAGATTAGTGGTTACTTGGGTTTAGATGTAGAAACAGGCATAATTGCAAATGAACAGAAGGGATCCTTTGGGCTGGTGGAAATGTTCTAAAGTGGGATTGTGAAGATGTCTACATAACTTTGTAAATTTACTATCAATTATTAAATGATACACTTAAAATGAGTGAATTTTGTTATATAAATTACACCAGAGTTAAGTTGCTTAAAAATGTAATGTTGAATGCAAAAAGCAAGTTGCTTAATCTATGCCAAGTAGGGTGTCATTCATGTAAAAAATTTTTTTGGGCGGGGGGGATTTTTTTGAGACAGAGTCTCACTCTGTTGTCAAGGCTAGAGCGCAGTAGCATCATCATAGCTCATTACAACCTCCAACTCCTAGGCTCCAGCAATCCTCCTGCCTCAGCCTCCCAAGTAGCTGGGACTACAGGTGTGCCCCATCATGCCCAGCTAATTTTTCTATTTTTTGTAGAGATGGGATTTCGCTCTTGTTCAGGCTAGTCTTGAACTCCTGACCTCAAGTGATCCTTCTTCTTCAGCCCCCCAAAGTGCTAGGATTACAGGTTTGAGCCACTGTGCCTCACCCATTTATGTAAAATTTAAAACTTCAAATAATAGTCTCATGGTAGACATACAAATATAAGAAAATACAAAATAAAAAATAAATAAATAAAAACCCTAGTAAACTCAACCAAGTATTAATACTACAGTGCTAAATACACAGATGTCTGTTATAGTATTTTCTGTATACTTGAAAAGAAAATCTCACCTTTGCTCAACTCTGTGTCTTTGTGGACTTCTATCATATTGGCTGGTGTACACTGAAGCATTTCAGGAGACAGAACCTCAGAGTGCAATGTTAATTCAGCTGAGAAATCCTGGGATCCATCACTGTAGTCCACAGATCCTGATAATGTTCTGCTTAATTAAAACATATCCTTTATAACAAACTAGATAACAAAGCAATAAAATTAGTTTTGGGGATCTATAATAAATAACCACTTACACAGAGAAATCATTCTGTTTGAGAATTTCCTGAAGTCTCTTCTGAAATTTTTTTTCACTTTCTGTTGCGGGCACAAACCTGCGATCTTTGAATTTTAAAAGTGCATTAAAAAATGTAGACAGCAAATGAATAAAATATTTTTCTTTCTCCTAAAGTAGCTTTTAAAATGGTAGCAATTTCCTATCTTTCTTTGCTTTTTTATTTTTTAATGTTTTTTGTTTTTGAGACAGAGTCTCACTCTGTTGCCTCGGCTAGAGTGCCATGGCGTTAGCCTAGCTCACAGTAATCTCAAACTCCTGGGCTCAAGCGATCCTCCTGCCTCAGCCTCCCGAGTAGCTGGGACTACAGGCATGCACCACCATGCCCAGCTCATTTTTTCTATATATTTTTAGTTGGCCAATTAATTTGTTTCTATTTTTAGTAGAGACAGGGTCTCGCTCTTGCTCAGGCTGGTTTCGAACTCCTGACCTTAAGTGATCCACCAGCCTCGGCCTCCCAGAGTGCTAGGATTACAGGTGTGAGCCACGGCGCCCAGTCCCTATCTTTCTTTAGACACATATAACACCACCCAAATGTAGTCATATTACAGAATCAAACAAAAGAGAAATGGTTGTTACTAAAGTTATAAATTAGACACTTAAAGTCAGTTCAAGATTAAGTTCTATAATAACCTAAGTTTAAAACAGAAAATCATTGTTCTCTACCTATAAATATTTTGTACACCCTGAACTAGAAATTTTCCCCATATAAAATATTTCAATTTTAAAAGGCAATCAAAATTTATCAAAACATGTCTAGTATCCAAGACATTATAAGAAAAATTTTAAATTTTAATTGGATTTCAATACAGACTTACTGTTGTATTTCAAATATATTTGCCTTCTGAATTATGTCTTTTATTCTTTTACTTTTATTTTTAAAATTTTGTTGTATCCTTGGTATTATTTAAGCTCCCTCAAATTCTTTTTGAATGCAGCGGCATTTAATAATAAATGAGTATATTTTTCAGAGCTGTATATAATAAACAAAGTGAGAGTATATGATATAGCCAGAAAAAAATTTAGGGGCAGCATTTCATGGGCTACATTTTCAAAGCATAATGAACTAAACGGTGTTTCTAAGCTGGGATTCATGATCTTCTGTGAGTTTTCTATAGCTCATATGGAAATACAGAAGACTAGAACATATTAGGGGATGAGAAAGGAAGAAATGGGGCAAGAGGACAAGGTGCACTGAAAACCAAGGACAGTGAAGATGTCAATTTCTCATGGAAGAGAGAGAGACAATAGGTTATACTCTGGAGATAGTGGTAAAGGTAAATAATTAGGGGTTGTACAGCAATGACAACAGAAAAAAAATTATTAAAAATTTTAAGGTAATTTGAAAAGTAAACTCTAATGTCATAGGAAAAACTCAATGGCTTACACTTTTCCAGTAAAATATTTAGTTCAAAAAAATCATCAGAGTACTACTCGGTTTATACCTTGTGATTCAGGTTGACTAATTTGAGAGGTTTCATTTCTGTTTCTTCGCCGTTGTTTTTCATCTTCCCAGATGGCCTGTAGACCAGGGTTTGCACCAATTTGAGCTGTAATCACAACAATACCTCAATACTATAAGGGTCAAAGTGAAAAATACTTGTTTAAACATATTGCCTTTAAAAAACAATTAATTTCTTTGTGTAATAAAATGGACAAACTATCCCAACCTAAATTTCTTATGTTACTCCTTTTTTAGTTTTCTTCCTACTGGTTCCCAAACCCCGGCAAGTGAATATCAAACATTTGAGGATAGACAGCAGACATGAGTCCCTTCCCTGGTATATAATCTGAAAATTAAAAGGCAGAGTATATTACATTACTTTATATTGGCTAATTCTATTTAGTGTCACACTTACTTTAGTTTCCTATCTATGCAAACTTACTCATATGAATGAAAATGTAAATGAAAAAATGACTGTGTCATCAGAAGTATTGAAACAATCTTCATTATATTTTGCATTGACCTTTTATAATATCTTAGTTTTCTAATAATGGTTTTCTTCCCTACTTTTTCCACTCTAATTTGGTCATTAATTTTTAAAAAATAAAAACATATATTATGAATAATTGTGTATGTACCTTCAATGTCCAGCCGATTTAAGATGTCAGCAGCTACAGCATCCACTTCTAATTCACATGTACTCTGTGGTTCAACACCTTCCAGTATTAAAGAGCTGTAATAAAAAGATATCAAAAATCACAATAATTATGTTAGAACAAATTTTGTAAGACTTTTTCTTATACAATTTTTTGTTTAGCTGAAACATAACCAGAACACCTGATGATAGTAACTTAATTCACAATTATTCGACATAATCGATTCTGTGTATGTATATCTAAATGAAAAATAGGATAAAAATACAAAACCTATTATTCTGACAACTCTATTGAGATCCTTTTGCAGTATATACATATTTTGGTTCCTTGGAGGCCATGGTGGGAGGATCACTTGAAACCAGGAGTTTGAGACTAGCCTGGGCAATGAAGTGAGACCCTGTCTCTACAAAAAAATAAGTAAAATTAGCTGGGCATGGTGGTATGCACCTGTAGTTCTAGCTGCTCGGGAGGCTATGGCAGGAGGATTGCTTGAGCCCAGGAGCTGCAGACTATAGTGAACTATGATCATGCTACTACACTCCAGTCTGGGCAGCAGAGCGAGACACTGTCTGTAAAATATAAAAAAGTAACAATTGGTTCTAATAGATAGAAAAAGTGTGAGTAAAAAATTTGTGTCATGAGATACATGTAGATACATCATTCAGTTTAGTTATGAAAGATAACAATACAGTGGTAAATAGACAATTGTGCCTCTCTGAACATTTCTGTTCATAGCTTAACGTAAGAAATCTACTAATCAGAATCATTAAGGGTACAGCTCAGATGGCTATAATTTAAAAATCCTCTCCAGTTCATTTTTATGGGTAGCCAGGGTTGAGATTACTGCTGTAGACTCTCGACTTTCATGGATTTAACACTCAGGCAAATGACCCTGAATGTCCCTGACACACAGTAATTTACACTGAGCTAGCAAGTAAGGTTAGTAGAGCTGCTAACTCAGCAACCTCATCTCATTATGGCTTTTTTGCTATTTGCTATGGCCCTTAAAATGTTTGTGAAGAAACACAAAACATTTCTTTGTTTAAAAAAAAAAAAGGCACCCAGGAGAAGGTGCAGGCATTGGGGATAGAAATGAAACCAACAAAGTTTTGGAGAGTACTGATTTATGATAAACCTTTTTTAACATTATCTGTTATTTATGTGTTGAAATTATAGATTTTAATATAAACATGACAAAAATACAAGATAATCTGAGATAAAATATACATACACAGCTATCCTACATTTATTATACATTATAATTCTAAATAATCTAATTTCATGTTTGCCTATTCATATCTTTCCTTATAATATGTACAACTCTTAAACGTAATAAAATGGGGTTAAGGAGGATTCTAAACTTTCTAAAATTCAAACATTTCATTCTAATATATAAAGTTTTCCTAAATTCACTCCTAATTAGTGAAGCTTTACTACACTCATATAACCTAACCAGAAAGAGGCTTGTTACAAAATGGCTTTAAATGACAAATACACTTTGATTTAATTGATAATGCAAAAAAAAAAAAAAAGGCTATTAAATGTAGAACTTTGCAAACTAGGGAATCTAGTAAGGAAGTAAAAATTCTTGGGTCAAATTGATTTGTTCCAACTTTAGAGAGTTAAGATAAAGGGACTATGTAACAGGCTTAAAAAAATGAAAGAAAAAACAAAGAGCTTGTTTGTCATTCTGCCCTAGATTGATTAGAACTTGAAATTGATGTGGTAAATTATGTTCTTTCTAACCTTAATACCATTTCAACATGATTATAAAAACAATTTACACTGTATCTATGAAAGAACTAAGAAATACACGTGTATGTTTATTAAAAATGTCCTGATGCCTGCTAACAGGCAGAATAAAGAGGTAAGGTAAGTCACTGTCTATGTTACTTTGAAGTCTTCAAAGACTTATTCTGATATATTCTAGTCATAAAAATATTTATATCATGATTTAATGAGATTCTTTCTTAATTTTAGGTACTAAAAGTCCCAAGTAATTTTATAATTACTTGGGAAATTCTGTCAAATACATATTAGGGACTGGGATCTGAAACTACATAGATTAAGGTCTAAACAAATATTTTAATGATAATTTAGCTTCAATTGATTAATAAATTAACATTACTTATTATAAAATAAAAAATAATATCATTTAACTAAATACTTTTTCCAACTTGCACTCTTCATAAAAATTATCTGCTTCAAAAGCATTAGGTGATATGGATAGTAAAAAGAGGAAAATCATAACCACCCTGTGAATGTTCAACTGATCATAAAAGGATCAAGAAAGTCTGAGCAATGCTGTGTGGTGTAAGACAGAAATTTCTGAGTTCTATGTAGATAAAGCTATTGATTAACAATTTATTTATTTATTTAATTAATTTATTTTTTGAGATAGGGTCTCACTCTGTTGCCAGGGGTTGAGTGCAGTGGCATCATCATAGCTCATTGCAACCTCAATCACCTTGGCTCAAGTGATCCTCCTGCCTCAGCCTTCTGAGTAGCTGAGACTACTGGCATGTAGTACCACCACCCTTGCCTTGATTGATATTTTGGTTGGGCTGATAACATATATGCTTTACGATAGGGAAACCTTAGCACTTGGAATATATTACTTCCAAAAAAAGTATGATCAATAATAAAACAAAAGAAATTACAAATTATTCATAAACACAGAATGTCAATATACATTTTTACATAAATATTTAACATTTAGAAATTTGAGGGGTTACTTTTATTAAAAATATTTGCATTTCAGTTTGAATTGCTATTTTATTAAAAATGTGACTTTTTTACTTGACAGGTAATAGGATATCAATTTAGAATGCATGATGAAGATGAATGTTAAAGAGAAATATAAAGTCTACCCGAGATTCCTTTTATTAATTAGGTAATAACTAGGTATATTTTCATGCTGTTTTTTAAATCTTTTATTCCATGTAATATACTAATGTTGAGATTTGCTTTTCTGATAAACCTATAGATTAAAAAGATTCAATATAATAAAAGGCTAAAATTTAATTATGGTAATCACCAATTTCTGATCACAATTAGGATATATATAAAATCTTCATTTCCTTTGTAGCATTAACTAACCTTGGTATTTCATCTTTTTCCCACCGAAATAAAGTACCACCAAGAGAATTTCCTGATAACCGATTCTTACATGATCCAGTTGCATGCAATGTGTCACCTGGGAATAAAAAAAGAAAATAAATACTACTTTAAATTTGCACATAATTACCTTTGCAAAGAAGGTAAACATTCTCTTAAATTTTATTACTCATAAATTTTAGATCCCCTTTAATCAATATATATATTTATTCATATCTATGGGGTATATACAGTATTTTGATACACACAGATAATGTGTAATGATCAAATAAGGGTATTTAGAATATCCATCACTGCAACCATTTATCATTTCCTTGTGTTGGGAACATTTCAAATCTTCTCTTCCAGTTATTTTGAAATATACAATATATTGTTATTAACTATAGCTACCCTACTATGCTATCAAACACTATAACTTATTTCTTCTATCTAACTATATGTTTGTACCCATTAACCAACCTCTCTTCTACCCTCCCCCATTCTCACAGCCTTCCCAGCCTCTGGTGACTGTCATTCTACTGTCTACCTCTACAAGATCAACTTACTTATGTATTTATTTATAGAGCTAGGGTCTCACATTGGTGTCCAGGCTGGAATGTACTTGCATGATCATAGCCCACTATAACTGGAATTCCTGGGCTCAAGCAATCCTCCTGCCTCAGATTCCTGAGTAACTGGGACTACAAGTACATGCCACTACGCCCAGCTATTTTAAAATTCTTTGCAGAAAGGTGTGGGTGGGGTCTCACTTACATTGTCCAGGCTCAAACTCTTGGCCTCAAGCAATCCTCCCAAAGTGCTAGGATCACAGATGTGAGCCACCATGCCCAGCCCAACTTTTTTTAGATGGGGTCTATGTTGCCCAGGCTGGACTTGAACTCCTTGACTCAATCCTCCTATGTCAGCCTCTCAAGTACCGTGTTTCCCCGAAAATAAGACTTACCCATAAAATAAGCCCTAGCAGGATTTCTAAGCATTTGTGCAATATAAACCCTACCCCGAAAATAAGACCTAGTTATGGGCATGGCTACGTAGCATATCTGCACAACCCATGCATTTTGTCATGGAGTGGTTAACGAGCAGCCCTTCTCATCTGCCCCATGAGAGCTCTATTGCTTGACATGAGAGACTGGGGCCAATGGTTCTAAAGGAAATAGAGTCACAAGAAATTCAGGATGGAATTCAGGGTTTGGAGAGTTATGATAATGTTCCAGAAGACAACGAATTAACTATATTTGAATAAATGTAGATTGTTATACCATACTTAAAAAAAATAACACATCCCCTAAAAATAAGCCCTAGGGTGTCTTCTTGAGGAAAAATAAATATAAGACCCTGTCTTATTTTCGGGGAAACATGGTAGTTGGATGTGGTGGCTCACTTTCTTGCTGAGTTGGGCTGTTTATTTTGTATATTAGTCCTTTGCCATATGAATTTGCAAATATTTTTTCCCATTCAATAGGTTGTCTTTTCACTCTTTGGATTATGTCCTTTGCTGTGCAGAAGCTTTGTAGTGTAATACAGTCCTATTTGTTTACTTTTCCTTTTGTTTCCTGTGTTTTTGAGGTCTTTTCCTTTTGTTTCCTGTGTTTTTGAGGTCTTAGCCATAAAATCTTTGCCTAGACCAATATCTTTAGAGGGTTTCCCTTATGTTTATTTTCTAGTAGTTTTATAGTTTCAGTTCTTACATTTAAGTCTCTAATCAATCTTGGCTTGATTTTTGTATACAGTGAGAGATAGGGGTCTAGTTTCATTCTTCTGTATATGGATATCCAGTTTTCCTGGCCTCATTTATTGAAGAGGGTATCCTTCCCCCCATGTACATTCTTGGAATCTTTGTTAAAAATCAGTTGGCTGAAAATACATGTTTTTATTTCTGGGTTATCTATTCTGTTTCATCATTGATGTGCCTGTGTTTATACCAATATCATGCTGTTTTAATTACTACAGCTTTGTAGCATATTTTGAAGTCAGGTAGTATGCCTCCAGCTTTGTTCTTTTTTGCTCAGGATTACCTTGGCTATTTGGGTTCTTTTGTGGTTCCACGTGAATTTTAGGATTTTATTTTTGTGAAGAACATCATTGGTATTTTGTTAAGGACTGCATTGAATCTGTAAATTGCTTTGGGTAGTATGGTCATTTTAGCAGTATTAATTCTTCCAATCCATAAACATTCTTCCATCCATAATCCAGTTGTTTGTGTCCTCTTCAATTTCTTTCCTCAGTGTTTTATAGTTTTTGCTTGTGTAGACCTTTCACTTCCTTGGTTAAATTGATTCCTAGGAATTTTAAAATTTCATAGCTATTATAAGTGAGATTGCTTTCTTGGTTTCTTTTCAGCTAGTTCCTTTTTGGTGTATAGAAATACCACTGATTTTTTTAATGTTGATTTTGTATTTTGCAGCTTTACTGAATTCATTTATCAGTTTTAAAAGTTTTTTTGTGGAGTCTTTAGGTTTTTCTATCTACAAGATCATATCATCTGCAGAGAGACAATTTGACTTCCTCTTTTCCAATGTGAATGCTTTTTATTGCTCTTGCTATGACTTCAGTACTATGTTTAATAGAAGTGGTGATACAGGGCATCCTTGTCTTATTCCAGTTCTTACACAAAAGGTTTTCAGCTTTTCCCCATTCAATGTGATGTTAGCTGTGGGTTTGTCATATATGCCCTTTATTATGTTGAAGTGTGTTCCTTCTATACCTAATTTGTTGAGAGTTTTTATCATGAAGTAATGTTGAACTTTATCAAATGCTTTTTCTGCACTGACTGAGATGATCATATGGTTTTTGTACTTAATTCTGTTGATATGACATATCACATTTATTGACTTGCATATGTTGAATCATCCTTTCATCCCTGGGATAAATTCCACTTGTTCATAGTGCATTTTTTTTATGTGTTGTTGGATTCGGCTTGCTAGTGTTTTGTTGAGGATTTTTGCAATCTATGTTTACCAGATCACTTTTAAATAAATAACACATTTATTTAAATTTTACCAGTTTTCCACTAATATCCTCTTTCTGTTTCAGAATCCAATCTAGGGTGCCGTGTTGCATTCAGTTGCCATGTCTTCCCAATCTCCTCTCAGTCTTTCCTTGTTTTTCTTGACCTTGACAGTCATGAGTATTGAGAGGTAACTCACAGAACCACTCCCAATCTGGGTTCGTCTGATGTTTTTCTTCATGATTAGACAGGATTTATGGGGTTTTTTTGGAAAGAATATAACAGAGATGAAGTGCTTTTGTAATCATATGAGGGGTCCATGATTATCTACATGACATCACTGGTGACATTATGCTTCATCACTTGGTTAAAGTTAGTGAAGTACAGTTGTATGGGTTTGATGAACACATAATCATGTATCTACCAACCCAGAACCATACAGAATTCCTTCACTCTAAAGACCCTGCAGTCAGAATTCCTTCACTCTAAAGACCTTTGCAGTCAACAATCCCCTCTCCTAATCCTTGGCAACCAATAATCCATTTTCCATTTCTGTAGCTTTGCCTTTTCCAGAATGTCATAAGAATGAAATCATCCAGTTTGTAGCCTTTTGAGTCTGGTTTCTTTCACTTAGTAAAATACTAAAGATTCATCCATGTTTTGTGAATCCATAGCTTATCCTTTTCATCACTGAATAGTAAGAACAATTTATCCATTCTCCTGTTGAGTGGAAATCTCAATTGCTTTAGATTTTTAGCAATTATGAATAAAGTTGCTATAAACATTTGTGTACAGATTTGGGTGGACTTAGGTTTTAAATCACTTAGGTAAACACACCTAGGAAAAGAATTGCTGGGTTATCCTCTAAGTCTATGCTTAACATTGTAAGAAACTATCTGTTTTCCAAAGTGACTATTAGAGTTTACATTCCTACCAGCAATGAAAGGGAATTGCTATTGTTCCACATCCTTCCAGCATTTGTTATTGTTAGTCTTTTTTAATATTAGCCAAACTAACACATGTATAGTCGTAGCTCTTTGTGTGGTTTTAATCTGCATTTCTGTAAGGACACATAATGCTAAACGTCATCTTTTCACATGTTTGCTGTCCTTATATCTTCTTCTTTGGTGAAGTGTCTGTTCAGGTCTTCTGATAATTTTTAATCAGGTTGTTTGCTTTCTTATTGTTGATTTTTATAAATTCCTTTTTATAAATTCCTATATATTTTACATATAAGTCCTTTACCAGGTATGTAATTTGCAAATATTTTCTCCTGGTCTGTAACTTGTTTTTTCATTCTTTTAACAGTGTTTTCACAGAGCAAAAGTTTTAAATTTTGACATAATCCAACTTACCAATTTTTCTTTTCAAGGATCATGTTTTTGGTGTTTTATCTAAAATCTCATTGCCATGCCCAAGGTTGGGCAGATTTCCCCTTTATTTTCTGCTAGAAGTCTGATAGTTTTACATTTAAGTCTGTGAAGTATTTTAATTTTTACTTAAGGTTTGAGGCATATGTCTGGGTTCTTATTTTTTTTTTCTAGCATATGAACATCCAATGATTCAAGCAATATTGGTGAAAAGACTGTCTCTCTCTCCACTGAATTACCTTTGTACCTTGTCAAAGTTAAGCTGACTATACGGACCAATTAGGGGCTATTTCAAATATAGGTCTATTTCTGGACTCTATTCCATTGGTCTATGTGTGTCCATTCTTTCTCTACTCTATTCCATTGGTCTACGTGTGTCCATTCTTTCACCAGTGCCATGATGTCTTGATTACTATGGTTTACACTAAGTCTTAAAACTGGGTAATGGGACTCCTTAATCCTTTACTCTTGAATATATCTACACTGTAAAAAAGGAGTAAATCCTAGATATGAAATAATATGGCTATAATCCCTAGGGAAGGAAGTTAGGCACTTGTCTCTCTCCAACTTTTATTTTATCTTCCCTCTTTCTTTCCTTTTCAGTCTCTATGGAGAAAAAGGCCAAGCCTTACCTCATCCTTCATTAGATAACTTCCCTGTTGGGGATCTTAAGGACCAAGGGAGAGCTATTCATTCCCATAATTTGTTTTACTGTGGAGATTTAAACTATTCTAAGAGATTGAGGAGATAACAAAAATTAGTATTTAGTAAATTATAAATTGTCATCTAAACCTAAGGTTATTACCTAGAAGAATTAGCTATGAACGAATGAATTATTTTGGTCCACTTAAAAGGGAGGAACATGCTCGTCTCAATGCTCCAATCTTTGTGTATTTAAAATAAAAATCTAATATTTAATATAAATTGTCATCACAAAACATTCTCTTTTTAAAAAAGTTTTATTGCATCTAAATTGTTCCACATAAGGATATTAATGGCATGTTAGAGAGACCAAACAAAACTATTAGTGAATATAACAATGTACAATAGAGCATTGCAAATAGCAAGGCTATTTGATAAAGATTTAAATATAGTTTTTAATCTGCATTTAATTCCATTATCTGTAATATTTTGTAGATCTGGGGTATATATGTGTGTTTGCTAGGTTTTACTCACAGAGGTTAGTGTTCTTGTGTGTCTGGTATATTCCAAATTGTGTGAACATATTATACTTGAAATTTTACTTTTAGGTATAATTTGAGATCATTTGCTTTTTCTGCCAGACCTGACTATGTATTTTCAAATCAGTTATCACCTCAGATCAAGTTCTTTTTTTTTTTTTTTTTTTTTTTTGAGACAGAGTCTCACCGTGTTGCCTGGGCTAAAGTGCCGTGGCATCAATCAGTCTAGCTCACAGCAACCTCAAACTCCTGGGCTCAAGCGATCCGTCTGCCTTAGCCTCTCGAGTAGCTGGGAATACAGGCATGCGCCACCATGCCTGGCTAATTTATTCTATACATATATTTTTAGTTGGCCAATTAATTTCTTTCTATTTTTAGTAGAGACAGGGTCTCGCTCAGGCTGGTTTTAAACTCCTGACCTTGAGCAATCCTCCCACCTTACCCTCCCAGAGTGCTAGGATTACAGGCGTGAGCCACCACGCCTAGCCCAGATCAAGTTCTATACTTTGGGAATCTCTTTTAGTTTCAGGGGATTCAACTGGACTGAAGAAATATCTCAAAGGTGCTCCACTTCCCAGTTTGTGCTCAGCTGAAGGGAATACCTATCTGAGGACCTACCCTATCCTGTAGAGGGTTCTGACCTGCCAGGCAGGACCTAGGTTTTGCTTTCTGTCTCTCTCGCTTGGTAGGGCTATCTCAAAGAAGATTCTAAATTTTCCAGGATTTACAAATGTCCTCAGGGGAGGTTGCTTTCAGCACTCTATTCTCTTTTGGCCTGCACTTCTTTACTGTTTGTTAACTTTCTGATACATTTAAGACTTTTTTCTTTCAATTTTACCTGGATTTTAAATAGTCTTTAACAGTAAGGTTGATCCCAACAACCTAGCCCATTTTTCAGGGAAACAAAAAATCCTTCCTCATGACTTTTCAGAGTACAGTTTGGGTACAGTAGAAGAAACAGAAGGAATTAAATCAAAAGAGAATAGCTGGTAAACTAAGAGACCAAAACACAAAAACAAAACAAAAAAAAAAAAACAAAGAGAGAGAGAGAAAGAAAAAAGAAAAAGCTAACCTCTGGTTCAAGAAGTTTGGCAGTGAAGAAAAGAAAAAATAATGGCAGTTAGAAAAGATATTAGGGTTGGAAGAAAAATATTAGTTTTATTTTGTTTTAAGAGAAGTAGAAGGAATCCAATGAAAATAAAAAGCAAAAGATACTAGAACATTTGACTCAGAAATTCTGAGTGATCAAGAGAGATGAAAATATATGTCTACACAAAGACTTGTACATAAATGTTGATAGCAGCATTGTTTATAACAGCCAAAAACAACCCAAAATGTCCATCCACTAATGAAGGTATAAACAAAATGTAGTATATTCACCACACAATGGCATGTTATTTGGCCATAAAAAGGTATGTATTTGTTAAAGGGATTGCCACATTCTGGAGAGAAATCTACTTACAAATGTGGATACATGAGGGTAAAAGATGAGCTGTTCAATCTAATTTTCAGTTGCCAATCTCTTTTTTCTTCTAATTAAAAAAAATTTTTTTCTTACCTAAATCCCTTTTTTTCCTTACCATCCATTATACCTTCTCTGATTCCTTTACTCCTTCAATTTTTTTTACTTCTTTAAAGTGAATAAGGTTGCATTATATCTAGCTACTGAATTAAAATTTGCACAATATTTGACTCTGTTCTTCCTAGCCTTTCACTATTCTGTGGTTGGGTTAAGAGATAAGACCATGCATGACCTCAGACTAATTTCAGGGATTCCTATAAAAAGGAACGAAATACTGATACATGCTACAACACTGATGAGCCTTAAAAATATGCTAAGAAGAAGAAAACCCCACATATTATACGATTCCACTTAAATAAAATGTGCAGGATTGGGCAAATATACAGCGACAGAAAGTAGATTAGTGGTTGCTTAGGGGTAGGAGTTACAGGAAGCTTGGGGATGATTGCTAATGGGTACAGGGTTTCTTTCAGAGGTGATGGAATGTTCTATATTTGTGGTGATGGCTGGAGTGCTAAGGGGCCAACATCTCCACTAACCTGTAGCTATTCACATCACCTGGAAAGTGACTAAAAGCAACGTGGCTGTAACAACCATAGAGATTTTGAAAGTGTATTAATGTATCTCTATACTATACCTAAAATATGGAAAGTAACAGAGTTTGAGGTTAAAAAAATCATAATACGTATCAATTTCTGAGCAATGTAAAGGTGATCTGATCTGAAACTAAACCTGCAATACCTCCAACGTATGCCTGTTTACTAAAAGACATCAAATTTTCCTATTTAAATGAGTAAATAATATATGTGAAATTATATCTTCAGAAAGCTGCTCTCTCCCAAATTTTTCCTGAATGCTTTTCCTGATAATCTCTAATCCCACTATGCATATGTTCTTCTTTACTTTTTATTCACATAACTTATTTTCTAAATACATATTTAATATTATTTTATAAATCATTGCTCATATAACACTGGTTTCAAAGCTTAATTTGAACTTGAAAATTAACCTTACTTTTCCTTCTTGCTTTTCGGAACTTGACAGCAGCCAGATTTATTAAATTCATTCCATAAAGATTGTAGTCAATGAAGAGCTGTAGGAGGTAGGGAATATGCGCTTCATGAGGCTGGTAAAATTTATTCATTATGGCTCCACTTTGCAAAAGTTCACATATCCTAAATTAGAAAAAAAAAAGTTATATCATAAAATTATGTTTCCTAAAATGTTAAATGAAACAATGATTACACAAATATAGAGAAGAAAACACATGAGCGTACAAAATTTGTATTTCAATTTTAGTGAAAATTTGTATTTTGTTAGTAATTAAAAGCTTAAATCAAGTTTTAAAGTAAGCAGCATGTTCTGAATGACAAAAAACTTCATGGATAAAGAATATTTGTCTTAAATGAATTTAATAATTATATTTTAAAAAATCAAAATTTTAAGAAAAGTTTTTAAAATATGAGATTTTTCTTTAAAAATGAAAGAAAAATTGTGAAAAGATTAAATAAAAATTCAAAAAAGGAGAAGGAAATATGACTCATAATCCCCCCAGAGTAACCGTTACCATTTTATTATTTTTCTTTCCTGAGGTCTTTTTGTTTTTCACCATGATGAGGAATATAAACAATAGACAATTATACATAGCATAGTAAGTACTATGCATAAGTATATTAAACATTTAGAATCATATATAGGTGCAGAGGTAGTTTCTGCACAGCCTTTTTGGAGGAAGTCTCTAAACAGGGGACTAAATGATGAAGTAGAGGTATTAACTACTTTTCTCTGAAGTGAGGGAAGAGTACTTTATGTAAACAAAATTGCACATGTAAAGAGTCATGAGAAAACACACCTTATTTAGGAACTGAAACCACTAAGACTGTGACCTAGTATCAGAGGCTGTGGTGAGATGTGGGACTAGAGAAGTAATGAGAAGTAAGATTATTCAGAGCCTATTAAGACATCTGAAGGGTAGTGGAATTTGCCTGAGAAGTGAATACCAGGAAAGTCATACAACTAGATTAGTAGAGAATGCAAAAGACTATAGGTTGGGAGTGAATAGGCTATTGTGGAAAAACTAAGATGACAGTAGCTGTAACAAAGATCATGGAAATGTATTGATTCGGGAGAAATTAAAGGGATAAAATGGGCAGGCCTTGATGACTGACTAGATATGGAGAGTGAGGTAGAACAGGAGTTGAGAATTGATGTCTAGATTTCCTGCTTAACCAGCTGGTTCGTTGAAATAGAAAGGGTTATAAGAAAAACAGGTTTGTTTGGAGTTGTTTTGGAGGGGAAATAAGGATAAACTCAGCTTTATCCTTACATATACGTATAGTGGAGTTTACATATAGTGGGGTATCCAGGCAGATTTCTATGATAATATTAGAAATGAATGATAATAAAGATGGGGGTAGCATAATCTTATTAACACAGCAGAGGTAGCTAACATATTTTTGAACACTATATACTGGATACTGTGTTTAATCTCAAGTAATCCTCATTACAAACCTGTGTTCTTATTATCCCCATTTTACAAATAAAGAAATTGAGTCTTAGATTTAAAAAGTCATCAAGACTCACACAAATAAAAAGTGGAAGATTCAAAACAAATTTTCTCTGACTTGTGAGCTGTAACTCTTAAGCATGGTGTGCTATTCTATTTATACAGTAAATGGTTTGAAATACTGATTAAGAGCTCTAGAGTGAAATTTAGGCTATTGATAAACATTTGGGAATCAAATGCATAAAGATGAACAAAAACAACAAAACCAAGCCAAACCATGGCAGTAGATAAGGCTATATAGAGAGGAGAAAGTATAGAGGGAAAAGATGAAAGTATAACACAACCTTAAGAAACAACCACAGATGTTAAAAGAGGAAGCAACAAAATGGCAGGAACATGAATGATCAGATAGGTAGGAAGAAGACTAAAGGAGGTTTATATCACAGAAGCCAACACTTGAGATTGCTTTAAGGCATCATAAGGATTACCATCATGTGAAAAGGTATGGACAAAATATCAGAGTTAGCAACACGGAGGTTATTAGTGAAAGTAATTTCAGTGGAATGGTTGGGGTAGAAGCCATATTGGAGTAAGTTAAAGAGTGAATGAGAAGTAAGAAATTGGGTACACGAAGTATAAATTCTTCAAGGAGAATGGCGAGATGAAGAGAATGGTATGTCTGTGAACATGAATGTGTGTGAGTCTTATTAATATTTAAATGGTGTAGGAGAGGAAGATGGGGAAAACTGAGAGATGGAAGAGGTTCTTGAAAAGGTCAAAGAAGATGGATCTTGAGCCCTGGAGGTGAGGGAAGGAAATCTCTTTCACTAAAGAGGCAGGGAGGAGGACAGGATGGATGTGAATAGAGTCTAAGAGCCTTTGATAGGAAATTAACAGAGCTTTATTTCAGTGGTTCTCAAAATTTTTGGTCCCAGGACCCTTCTTCATTCTTTAAAAATTATTAAGAACACTAATGAGCTTTTGTTTATGCAGTTTGTATCTACTGATATTTACCATATTAGAAAAGTAAAACAAAATCTTTTAAAGTAATTTAAAAACAATAAACTTATTATATGTTAACATAAATAATATTTTTATGGGGGAAAACCCTATATTTTCCAAAATAAAAACAACTTAGTGAGAAAAATGCATTGTTTTATATGTTTGCAAATTTCTGTTTTAACAGAAGACAGTGGGATTATCACATTTGCTTCTGCAATCTGTTGCAATATATTGCTTGGTTTGAAACATATGCAGAAAATCCAGCCTCACATAAATATGTAGTTGGAAAAAGGAAGAATAATTTAAAAGCCTTTTCAGATAATTACCAATATTCTGTGCAATTTATTCAAGAAAGTATACTTTTTTAGCTACAATGTACAATCTAAAACCAAATCAATGAACTTCTTATACTCTATCACATAAAATCTATTGGTCTATCTTGCACTTTGAATATTTTTTACCCATGAATGATGATTTAGGTCTTGTGCTGATCATTTAGAAAATATGATTCTACTAAGTTATATAGATCTTTTAAATGTTCATTAAACAATATGAAAATCATCTTTGTTGATATCATCTATCTCATCAGAAAAATCTTTAGGTACTAGAAAGCTTTTAAGTTCACAGTAGCAAATAAAGTTTTCCAAAATTCTAATGTTTGCTTGAAAGCTCAAATTTTATAACTGGCAACAAAATACTATAAGTTGTTTTCCTTGAACTGACAGTCTCACTTTGTTCATTTTCAAGAATGTATTTGCCAAATATACAGATCACTATAACTTGGTTTATCAGTTATTCTTTCAAGTAAAGATGGTGTCCCATTAAAAAAAAAAAGGTAGCTAGTTCAGCTTATACCTAAAAGCAATCATATAAGAGCTTCTTTCCTTAGGACAATCACAGTACTTCAGCACACAGATGTGTTTCATTCTTATTTTCATTTTGTCACATAAATATCACAAAGATGTATACCCAAGGGTCAAGATTCAATAAACTTAAGTTTTGTTTTTTGTTTTTGTTTTTTTTTACCATGTCTTCAGGCATACTCTTAAGTAAAACTGGCTTTTTTGTTTTTTTTAGTGGTGAGTGCTAATTGGTGGAAAATACATGATTAGTAGTTTGGTGCCATTACTTTGATTTCACACAAAGTGCTAGCAGTTTAACTTACTATCAGTGAACACAGTGAAAAAGGCAAATCATATCTTGGTACATGGATAATTTTGACCATAGAGATTCCCTGAAAGGGTTTCAGAAATCCCCAGTTCATATTATGAAAACCACTATTCTGGAATGATGGGTTCTATTTTCTGTATAAATTAAGAAGGCAAGAGCTCAGTAGGAACTTAACGTTTGAGTAGATGCTAGAGATGGTAAGGAGATAATTAACTAGACAAAAGGAGAAGTAAAGGAAGGCAGGGAAGTGTCCAGAAGTTGAAGATCATAAATTTATGGTGGCACCAATCTGTGACTGTTTTTTATCTTGCAGTAATCAGAAATTTGGGCTTAGTAGACAGAAATAAATAAATGGATTAATTCAAAATTGATTGTTTTACCTGGCAGACCGAAGGGCAGATAAAGAATGGAATAAAAGATGGAATGGAGAGAGAAGTCTACAAAATGGGGCAGTAATACTGGGGCCAAGGGGTTTGAAGCCTAAAAACAGGTAGCGTAGGATAACTCAGGGACAGAGTTAAAAAGATTAAAAAGAAACAAAAACCACACATAAAGGATCTTATTGAAGCCATGAAAAGGTTTTAAAACTAAATTATAGTGATAGGTACACAACTCAGTAAATTTACTAAAAATCCTTGAACACTTATACACACTAAATCCTTATACACACTTAATATGTTAATTCTGTGTCATGTAAATTACACCTCAAAAATTATTTAAAGAAAGATAGAAGATTGTAGTCAAAACCCAAGATACTTGCATTTAAAATCTCAGAGGTAGGACAAGGTCCAGGGTATAGTCAAGAGAATAGGTAGTTTAAGAATGGAAGTAAAGATCACAGGAAATAAGTAAGTAAGTAGAGGAATCAAGAGGCTAGTCCCCAAATGATATGTATTGTGTTCATTCATTCATTCAACAAATAGTTATTGATTACTATGTGCTAGGCACTATTGCAAACTCTGGGAATACAACAGTGAACACAGTAGACAAAAATCTTTGCTATTATGGAGATTACATCCTAGTGTAATACCAACATTATATGGAAATTTTTAAAAAAGAGTATGTATATATGAAGCTATGTATGTATAAAAAATAGAAGGACATATACCAAACCCTGAAAGTGATTGTCTCTAGGGAAGAGAGTTAAGAGTAAGGGTGAGGTCTTTAACTTTAACGTTTTACATGTATACGTTTTACATGTATACTGGACTTTAACGTTACACTTTAATGTTTTACATGTATACTGCAGCCAATACTTACACTGCAATTAAAATGTGCCACGCACTGTGCTAAGTGATTTACAGATACCAATACATTTAATCATCAGAACAACGTGTATCAACAGCAACCGTATTTAAAGATGAGGAAGCTAAACAGAGAGATTAAATATCTTGCCTAAAGTCAACCTGGCTAGTAAGTAGTAGAGCCACATCTTGAATGTAGGCAATTTGGTTTCAGAGTCAAGATCTTAACCACTATACTAAGTATTAGCTAAATATTATAATGCAAATGATGAACGTGTAACAGTATAATAAAAAATAAAAAAGAAGAAAGTATTTCATTCAACTCCTATTCTTTTCTTTCATAGCATGTATGACAATTTTTGTTTATATGTTTGGGTTTCTTCTTTACTGTCTGTCTCCCCTACTAGCTATAAGTTATCTGAGGGCAGGAACCATGCAAACTTTGCTCACTGTATCTACTCAGCAACTTCACAGAGCATCAAATAATGTAGGTACTTTATAAATATTTATTAAAAAAATGAATAAATGAATGAACCCATTAATAAAGCAGGGATTTTAGATGGACACTATCATAAGTTGACTATATAAACGTATTGAAAATAGTTTCATAAGCATCCAATTGCTACAGTTACAAGGAAAAAATGGATTATATCTATACTTAAGTAGAATTATAATTTATAGGTTATTTATATTAATAAAAGACTTAACACAACTTTTAATCAGGGCTCCTATTTCAGTACAACTTGAGAAAGGAAAAAATGACTGACGTTTACTCTCTTACCAATTTGTACATGTGAGAGAGGGTAAGAGTCCACAGGGATTGCTCTTTTGTACTCCATGAATATGAAAAGGTATGAGTAGAAGGGAACTGCTATAAGAAACATTGCTGTCTGTAAATGCTTATTCTGGAAAGTTATTTTGTTCCTATATAACAGAAGTTATTTTGGCTATGGCCAGAGGCCAGCCATAGGAAAACTAGTTTTCACTGGTTACTCACAGAAGGGACTAACCAATGGGATTAGGGCTGAGAGTCAGTGAAGTGCTAACTGGTTTAATCCAGAGTGAACCTCATGGCTTGATAGTTATACTTTAATTCATATGGAGAACATTCAATTTGTGTTTTACCAAAAAGTTACTTTTTGGAACCCAGTACCTCCTGGCAGAGAGGCCCTCCCCCAAAAACAATACTCAGAGCACTCCTCCAAGGCCACTTTTATCCTAGTCACTACATACAGTGAAAAATTGTTGTTTTGAATTTTAAAGTTTGATTAAAATCTTCTGTATATGTGCCCTTCCTGTCCTCAATAACCTGGGCTCCAGGATGATTCAGAGAATACACTAGAGTCATAGAGACTGACTGAAAGAAGGAAAAATTAACCAAAAACAAATAAAAAATCCCATGATATAAAATTTCGATTAACATCTAGTAGAGTCAAAAGGATTCTGAGATCTCAGAAGCCCTCTCATTCTGGGCCCACACTCATACATTTCTCCTTGTTTTGCAACTAAAGAGCATGTTTTTCTTAGCACTGAACATCTTGTCTGGCCAGCAGGGCACTAACATCATGCACAGCAGCTATCATCTCTCCATACCTATTTCTACAAACTCTCTAAATCTAAGACTGAAAAGAAGCAGTTGGGGGCCTCCACCTCTAAAAATACCTTCCTAGAATCCAAGCATGGGTTTCTCTCTATACACATTCATCTATATTTTATGGTCTCTTTCTTTAATAATGCTACAAACTATATAGGCCTTTCTTCTAGATTTTTCTTAAGTATTTATTACTAAAATACTTAAGTGATAGTTATTCACATTGGTTTCATTTATCTTTGTACCTTTTCACCATTGCAGGATTGTAAAGATAGATCTTCATAAAATGTCTTTCCTTCTCATGATAACCATAAAAAGGCCTGAAATATAAGAAAAACATATTTCAAATTATTTTCATCAATTAGGGATGAAATTATGCAACTTATTACCCAGCTCAGCAGGCTGAATTCAATTTTATTTATATTTTATATTATCCAAAACCCAAACAATTAAAACAAACCAAGATCCTTTCAATTAAACCTACCACAGGTTAACACTGAAACTTTTAAAAAATGTTAAAATAATACCACTTTGAAAAAACTACAGACAAAAAGGAGCAGCAAACCACTTATACCTTAATCTCAATCATCATGACTTTTAAAGTGCCTCTTTTCTCTTTACTCTAATGGACGTTTTTTCCGTCAAAAACTGAAGTTTTTCACCAACACTTATATTACTTTCCTTATGCAGCTCTGTTTATTATTAGTTTCACAAGTTAAGTAGGCAGAGACGGTTTATATATTATATATGTAGAGACACATAGCACACATTTCAGCAGTTGATATGGATAACCCTTTAACACATACTCATATCAATGTAGCCTGTGAAAACTGTGTAGACAGAAACTATAGAGACTGAAAAAGACCATGGACTTTCTTATGGACCCTAATTATGCTGTGGCTGGGTCTTTTCTCAGGGCACCATCTGGAATGAAGAAAGGGAAAAGCAAAAGACCACATGACAGGGAAAGAAATCCTCAATGCAAGATGAAATAAGCTGGACTCTCATTTTCAGGAGGATCTGAAACCATCCTACTATCTCTGATATACAGACCACCATTTTCAAAGATGATGTAATTAGAAACAATATATAAAAATAGATAATATATGACATCTAACATATAAATGTATGAATCTGTAGGTGAAATACAAGGCTTTGTATCTGCCTACAGTTAGTCTGTAAATAAATGGTCAAGCCTGGGTGACAGAGTGAGACCTTGTCTCAAAAAAATAAACAAACAAATAAAAAATAAGGGGTTATTTATGTCCCACTTTACATGAAAATGAATTAATAAATGGTTAAATAAACCCAATCATTCTTCATTTTAAAAATACTGTCCCCTTTTGACTGGCGCTAGATAGAATTTACTCCCAATCGGACACCATCTCTCTCTGTAATGTCTGAATGGAAGATATCAAATAAAGGACTAATCTGGTAGTAGAGTCATTATTTGGGGTATATTTAAACAACTTTTTAAAAAGTTGTTTCAAGCCATTGGTATGATTGCTAGAAAGAAATTTCTGCTAAAAAATCCAACTATTTACCAAGGTCTAAAAGTTTCATCATCTTATGCTTGCCTCTCACTCCAATCTTAAGTCAGACCACTATTCTTTTATCTTCTGGCCATTCTAAACCTTCAGCCCTTCTAACTTGATCATTTGTAGCTTTCCATCCCTCTGCCTGGAAAGCTCTGCTGTGAACTTTTTCATGGCTTGCTTTTAATAATCTTCATTCAAATCTCTGCTTAATTTACTTACCTACTCAGAAAAGCCATCACTCTTACCCTTCACTTTTTTACTTTTTTATAACACTTACCACTTCCTATCTAGTTTGCTGCTATTTGCCCCATTTTGTTGCCATGAAGGAAGGGGTGAAAGAAAGACACATTATATAAATGATCTCATTATCTCTCATCGGCAAAATTCAACTCTATACTCTCCTTCGTGGTGTGGTATTTTTCATATATATATAAATGTAGCTCTCTGTCTGGAGACATGGGTTCTCTTTAGCCAGATAAATAAATTTTTTAAAAAGTATTAAATCAGCATTTGTGGATCTATGTTATCTTTGCTTTGGTTTTGTTAACAATCTTTAGGAGTGTTAAAAAAACAATCTTTTACAATTAGAATCTCATGGTTTTAGAACATGATTATAAGTCTTAACTATTAAACCTCTGAAATTCTTTTTTTTTTTTTTTTGAGACAGAGTCTTACTCTGTTGCCCAGGCTAGAGTGCCATGGTGTCAGTCTAGCTGACAGCAACCTCAAACTCCTGGGCAAGTGATCCTACTGCCTCAGCCACCCAAATAGCTGGGACTACAGACATGAGCCACCATGCCCAGCTAATTTTTTAAAATATATTTTTAGTTGTCCAGCTAATTTCTTTCTGTTTTTAGTAGAGAAGGGGTCTTGCCCTTGCTCAGGCTGGTCTCGAACTCCTGAGCTCAAATGATCTGCCTACCTCGGCCTCCCAGAGTGCTAGGATTACAGGTGTGAGCCACTGTGCCTGGCCTTAAATTCTTTATAAATCTGGGATTCTGTTTTCATATCTATTGCCCTAAAATATAGCAAAGAAATTCTATACATTCAGTTTTCTGCTTTTGGCCAAGAAAGACTCCATGTAATTTTACCTGCAACCCCCTTACCTCCTAGTATTGGCTTTAGTTGATTTTGCCAACAAAATTCCTCATCAGAGAGACTCTTTAGGAGGAAAAAAGTAGAATAGAGTTTGAAAGTAGACGTTTTATGCTTAAAATATATCTCATATTTAGAGTTAGTTTTTAAATATATCAATGGGGAGAAAAATAAGCATGGATGGCAAAAAAAAAAAATCTAAGCTAATTAATTCTGATGAACTGAGACTCTCTTTATAGGACACTGTCTAGAATCATGGTAGCTGAGTGGCAAGGAATCCCTGAAATCAGTCTGAGGTCATGGTCTTATCTCTTAACCCAACCACAGAATAGTGAAAGGCTAGGAAGAACAGAGTTAAATCTTGTACAAATTTTAATTCAGTAACTAGATATAATACAACCTTATTCACTTTAAAGTAAAAAAAATCGAAGGAGTAAAGGAATCAGAGAAGGTATAATGGATGGTAAGGAAAAAAGGGATTTAGGTAAGAAAAAAAATTTTTTTTTAATTAGAAAAAAAAAAAGATTGGCAACCGAAAATTAGATTGAACAGCTCATCTTTTACCTTCATGTATCCGGATCTGTAAGTAAATTTCTCTCCAGAATGTGGCAATCCCTTTAACAAATACATACCAAAAAATATAGAAAGATTGGTGACTATTTCACTGGGCTGTTTGGAGATCCAACTTTAAAATGAGAGTATGTTTAGGAAAGTTCTTGGAAACTATCAAGAATAAAAAATTGGAAGATAAAGTTCATGATTACCTCTAACATAATTACTGCTGTCATAGGATGAGTGTGAACTTTTACCTCATTCATTTATTCAACCAAATAGTTATTGAGCTGTACCTACTAAGTGCCCAACACACCATAGAAAAGTGCTAGGGATATAATGATAAATAAGACAAACGTGTTTTTCTCATGGAGCATATGTACATACTAGTAGGAGAAAAACATAAAAATTTAGTAAATAGGCCAGTTGTGGTGGCTCATGCCTGTAATCCTAGCACTCTAGGAGGCTGAGGCGGGAGGATTGCTCAAGGTCAGGAGTTCAAAACCTGAGCCTGAGCAAGAGTGAGACCCTGTCTCTACTAAAAATAGAAAGAAATTGATTGGCCAACTAAAAATATATAGAAATAATTAGCTGGGTATGGTGGCGCACGCTTGTAGTCCCAGCTACTTGGGAGGCCGAGACAGAAGAATTGCTTGAGCCCAGGAGTTTGAGGTTGCTGTGAGCTAGGCTGATGCCACAGCACTCTAGCCTGGGCAACAGAGTGAGTCTCTGTCTCAACAACAAAAAAAAAACTTAGTAAATAAACAAAATTAAAATAATTGTAAACTATATTAAGTGCTAAAGGAAACAAAGACTGGCTGATACAGAATAATAATAACAATACCCTACTTAAAATAGCTTATTTTAAGTGAGACAGTCAAAGCAAACTCTGAAGAGGTCAATGATTTGAAGGATTGGAAAAGGGTATAAATACTCAGGAAAAGGCAATTGCATATATAAAGAATTTAGGTGGGAAGTGGACATATAGTAATAACATTTATTAGGTGTAGGCAGGTGGGGGGAGGGGATGTGTTTATACATAATGAATGCGATGCGCACCAACTGGGAGACAGACACGCTTGAAGCTCTGACTCGAGGGGGGAGGGGGGGAAAGGGCAATATACGTAACCTTAACATTTGTACCCCCACAATATGCTGGAAAAAAATTAAAAATATTTTTAAAAATAAAAAAAAAGAATTTAGGTGGGAAAGAGTTTGGCATATCAGAGCAACTCAAAGACCACTGTTTCTGGATGGAACATAGTAAACAAAGTTACAGATGTAGACAGGTATCAGATCGCATAAACTGAGGTTAGAAGTATAAATTTTATTCTATGAACACTATGAAGCCACTCAAGGATTTTAAATTATTTTAAAATTTACAGTAGGAAAGAGTACTTTTGCTGCTCTGGAGTGAGACAAGAATAGAAAAAGGGAATTCAATCAAAAGGGTACTGCAGTGGGGTCCAGAAGAAAGCCTAGATTAAGGTAGAAGAAAGCAGACAAATTTAAGTTCTCTATCTGGATTTCATGCGGACATAAAAAACCCTCGAATGTTCCAGTATGATCTCCAAATCTTTCCTGCCAGTCTGCTCCATGTGCATCTTCCATCCTATTAGAAGCACAGACTCATCCTTGACTCTCTGACAACTCTCATCCAATCTGATGGCAAATCTTGTTGACTCAACCTTCAGAATAGACCCAGAAGCTGAGTACTTCACACCATTACTTCCCTGCTACTCCCCTAGTTCAAGCCACCATATTTTCTTATACAAATTAAGGAAAGAGTCCTAATGCTCTTCCTACTTCTACCATTGTCTCCCTCCAATCTATTCTTTTTGTTCTTAAAGAGACAGAGTCTCGCTCTGTCACCCCAGCCAGCATGAAGTAGCATCATATCTCACTGTAATGTCAAACTCCTGAGCTCAAGCAATCTTCCTGTCTCAGCCTCCCAAGTAGCTGGGAATGACTATAGGTGCATGCCACCACACCTGGCTAATTTTTCTATTTTTTGTAGAGATGAGGTCTTTTGCTCTTGCTCAGGCTGGTCTCGAATTCCTGAGCTCAAGCAATACTCCCACTTTGTCCTTCCAGAGTGCTAGGATTACAGGTGTGAGATACCGCACCAGGTCTCTAATCTACTCTTAACACAGTCACTAAAGTAATCCTTTCAAGTTCAAGCCAGACATTGGCTGCTCAAAATCATACAATAGCTTAGAGTAAAAGTCAAAGTCCTTAGAATAGACTATTGCAATGATTTCTAAACTTTAGCATGCACCAGAATCATCAGAAAGCCTTATTAAAACACAAATTGCTGGGCCCTATTACCAATGCTTCTGATTCAGTAGGTCTGAGGTAGGACCCAAAAATGTATTTAAGGCCTCTGAGAAGTAAATGCCAAATGTACAAAAAATTTATTAGGGGAAACACCTGTGAGAGAAAATGAGGAGGGAGCCAGAAGAGGCTGGAACAGCCACCAGACCTGATCCTAAGCAAAGTAGAGAGGAATGAGGGATTCTGAAGTATCTTCTATTATAGTACAATTTTAAGTAAAGTATACCAATGTTGTTGGGAGAGTTTTCAAGAGTCTCTCAGGAGCAGACCTGCCTTAGGGTCCTTGTCACGCTCAGTTATTGGATAAGAGGAACCCATGGAAAGCAGCTTCAGCTGCTTTGGAGTGATGGATTAGATTGCAGCATGCAGTAGCTGGGGCCATTCAATCATACTCCCTGTATTTGGAGATTTGAGAGGTACATTCTCACAGCTGTCAAACCAGGTAAAGTTAATGTTGGTGATAATGGATACCAAAGTATGGAAATCATAGTTTGAGAACCATGGGCCTTCATGATTTCCATTCTCTCGTATCTAACCTCATTTCATCCTACTCTCCTTTACTTCCCTCCATTCCAGCTACCTGGCCTCCATTCTGTTCCTACTCTGTTACCTCCTTCAGGTCTTTGCTCAAATGTCATTAACCAGGAGACCTTTCCTGATTACCCCACGCTATTGATCCTTCTTATCATGCTCTATACCTTCTTCTCTTCTATAGCACTAGTTATCATATAGTAAATAAGTAAATATATTTCATGTTATATGTATGGGCTATTATCTGTTTCCCACCACTAGAATGTAAACTCATGGGGACAGGGATCTTTGTTTTGTTCAGTAGTATATCCCAAGCACCTAGAACAATGCTTAGCACAGCAAAGGTACCTAATAAATATTTGCTGAATGAATTACATGAATTTCTACTGTTCTAGGAAGCAAAGAAATGGAAGATATTAAAACAAAAATCACTGTTGCCCATCTGTTTTTCATTGTAATCAAAATTTACCTTAGAAAATTAACAGTAAGAAATTCACTGTTCCATTAGACTATAAGAAAAAGATAAACTTCTTTAAATTATTAAAAAAAAAAAGAAAAAGAAATATGAACAGAGTATATTTCAATCAGATACGTTTTCCTCTAAATAAAATAGCAGTAGAAATACAAAAAGAAAATTTAAAATATATTATCATATACTTACATTCCTGATACTAATGACACTTTGAACACATGCTGAGCAGTGGAAGATGGATTGCCTAAAGCCACATTAAGTGCTCTGTCGATACTGAATGCCATCTGAGAAAGATAGCTTTCTGGCTGCTGTCCATAACCATCGTATGGTACATAGAGGTAAGGAAAGATGCCATGTAGATGAAGACATGTCTTCTGACCTAAAATGTAACACATTACAAAGTTTAGTCTTGAGACACATTTTAACAATACAAAGCTCAGAATGAAAGTCATTTAAATGTTCTAATGGCAACACATCTTATCTAAGGTAAGAGTTGAAAAAAATTAACCCATAGTTAAAGTTACCTGTGTTAACTACATTTTACAACAGAACACGTAGAAGCATTTATAAACATAAGCATTGTAATATGATTTAAATAGTAATTTCAATGAAAATATTTTTGGCTGTTTTATGCTCACAATCCAACTAGTTTTACGTACTTCACTGAAACACCCTATAATACCACTTAGCAGTGTTAGGAAGCTTACAAAAATTCATTGAAAGTTTACTAAATAAAATGAATGCCTTACTTAGCATTAAGGTTTTCAAACAAGAGACTTCCCTAAGACAGAGGCAGCTCTGGGAGACAGCAGAAGGCAAAAGCAGTTCCTATCCAGTGTGTGGAATCTTGTTATTGGGGGTGGGAAGGAGGTTAAAATGAAATTTTGCTATTGGAAAAAACCAAAACAAAACAAAACACAAAACCCAGACAAAATCGAATCAAAACAAAACCCCTATAGATCAGTTGTAATACACTTCTGGGTATCTCAATTTTATATTTGGCGGAGTGGGACAGGGGGAGATACAATGAGAGGGAAAAAAATAAACATGCAAACTTCTCAGGAAGCCAATTTATCAGTCAGGTACAGAAGGGGTAAATGGTGCTGACTTGCCAACAGACAATTCAGCTCAGTCATGATAAAGAAAGTAATATAAGCGAGAACCCACAAAAGAAGTGTTGCAGGAACAGTAATGTATCCATGACAAGGTAAAGTAATAACAATAGCAACAAAAAGCAGATGCACCACTACTCTCTGAATCTGGCAGGGCTGTATGGAAGTGGTTCCTGTCTTCAGCGCACTGTCCCTAGTTCCCCTTGGGTATGTGCCATATGTCTAATTCAAACAGAGAGAACAGCAGTGATGGAAGAACACATGCATTTTTCTCATGCTGTCACTCACTACCACTGTGCTGTTCCTGCCAGTGCAATCCTCAGGCTTCTTCCCACCCCTTTTCCCTCCTCATTCTAATTCAGTGGGCCTTTCCTTTGGTAGGAAAGTATTAGTTTATTATTTCCCATTTATGATTTAGAATGATGTATATAAAATATATAGAAAATATTTCTATATTTAGTTGATATCTTGTGTTTATACTTTTTATAAGGAATAACATTAGCTTGTGTCTTATTTTTAAGGTACAGTTGTAACAGAATTAACAAATAAATCTGGAACAGTTATTACATAAAGTATAGCAAAATTAGAAAGATCAGTCACATAATGTAATAAAATTTGTGTCCACCAGACTAATAGTCTTCTTTGAATTACCAACTCTACCTACTGTCACACTTCTGAAGAATTACAAATTGTGTTGCTGTTATACCAATTTCAGTTTCTATTTTTAGAAGCAGTTATACTATTTAATTCAAAGGAATGAAAAAATTATTTTCAGTTAAAAGAAAATTCTTTGGCTATTTCATTTTCAAATACATTTTGGTATTTCCCAAATAGTGCAGTTTTTAAATTCTTCAAATAGAGAAAATGCAAACTGTATCAATGAGTGAATCTTAAGAAAATATATTTAACCAATTTACTGGTGATTTACTGAAATACTTTTTAAACTTATGAATAAAGGTTACAACCATTATTACCCTCTGGACATAAAATAAATTACAATTTGATTAAGAGCAGCTGATATGCCTGTAATCCTAGCACTCTAAGAGGCCGAGGCAGGAGGATCGCTCAAGGTCAGGAGTTCGAGACCAGCCTGAGCAAGAGTGAGACCCCCATCTCTAATAAAAATAGAAAGAGATTAATTGGCCAAATAAAAATATATAGAAAAAATTAGCCGGGCATGGTGGCCCACGCCTGTAGTCCCAGCTACTCGGGAGGCTGAGGCAGGAGGATCGCTTGAGCCCAGGAGTTGGAGGTTGCTGTGAGCTAGGCTGATGCCTTGGCACTCTAGCTGGGGCAACAAGAGAGAGACTCTGTCTCCAAAAAAAAAAGCAGCTGATGTGCTTAAACTCCAGGATGAAGGAGGTAGGAACACAGAGCAGTATTTCCTCTTAAATTGGCAAATAGATTCAAGACCAGTCATTACAGAATTACTAGTGCAACAACATATTTTCAAGCAATATTGTAAGTTCTTAAAATATTAGTTTTATAGTCAATATATCTTTAATAATGGAATTTTGGGTAAATTTTACAAGAAATTATAAAATGTGATTTCTACTAATATGGGCAGAGTGTTCACAAAGTATTTTAAAAATAAATTTTTTTGTTTTAGGTTTTTGTTTTATTTTATTTATTTATTTTTTTGAGACAGAGTCTCACTTTGTTGCCCAGGCTAGAGTGAGTGCCATGGCGTCAGCCTAGCTCACAGCAACCTCAAACTCCTGGCTCAAGCAATCCCCCTGCCTCAGCCTCCCAAGTAGCTGGGACTACAGGCATGCACCACCATGCCCGGCTAATTTTTTGTATATATATTAGTTGGCCAATTAATTTCTTTCTATTTATAGTAGAGACGGGGTCTCGCTCTTGCTCAGGCTGGTTTTGAACTCCTGACCTCGAGCAATCCGCCCGCCTCGGCCTCCCAGAGAGCTAGGATTACAGGCGTGAGCCACCGCGCCCGGCCTGTTTTATTTTTTTAAAAATAATTTTATATCCACTTTTCACATCTCCTGTGAAGTATGGGGCAGAGAAATTATCTTGCTTTTTATAGGCTTCAGAATTATAAATTTGGGATATATGATTAAGCAAAAAAGAAGAAATGATTTATTTAGCAGGTACTAGGCTAAGTGCTTTACGTAGTTATTTCTAAAACTTAGAAGAACTTCGCAAGTGTTATAGGTTAATTTTCCCAGTTACATGGCTATTAAGCAACTGAATCAGAATTTGAAAACAGATAAACAAAAATAAAAACCAGTGCTCTTTCTGCTTAAACATGTTGATTCGATTTAAAAAAAAACCAAAAAGTTCATGTTGTCTTCCTTGATCCTTAGTTCTTATCTTGGGATTGCCTGTTGCCTTATCTGGCTCTCCCATTTGATGGCAAATTCTTTGGGAGCCGATACTGTGTTTAAATGGACATAATATATCCAGCACTCGCACAGAACACACAGTATGTGTTTTATAAATATTAAATGAACGAAAGAACCCTCAGCAAAACAGAATAATTGCTTAAGGAAAAGGAATGGTATGAAAGCCTTTGAATATCCAAAGAAACAAATCCATGAAAACAGAGAGGACTTTGATACAACTAATGGAACTTCAGTCAGAGTTACAGAAGGACACAGGTGTATAGGGTTTAGAAGAGTCCCCAGTTTATTGCACTTTCCTACACTGAATACCCTGAAGTCCTATCTAAATTTGTAATCACACATCAACACAGACATACCTCTCTCTGGTTCTCCTGCAGGTAGGGATGGATCAGTGACTTATTTACCACCCTTCCTCAAGACAACCTTCTGAAGAGCAACCACAACACAAAGAATTCTTGCCATGGCACTAACAGATCTAATATAGGATAAGTGTCATGAAAAAGAAAATAATAAGAAACCCAAAAGTTAAATATGAAAAGAAAAATGTGTAAAAATGAATACAAGAGTCAATTTCTTTTTGACAACAGTATGTCTTTTATTACTGTAAAATTTGTAGTTCTGTAATAGCATTGCTTTAATTTGACAAGATACAGACCATTGCTATTTATTTCCCTCTGCCAGCTCTACCCCACATAGCTGTAAAGTCTGTAGAGATAAACCAATCTACTCTGACCCCCATCAGTTTTTACGATTTGGTTCAACCTTGAGAAAATACCCTAAAATTAGTGGCTTTAGCATTAAAATTAGTGGCTTCTCTCTCATAAAAAAAGTCCAGAAGTAGGTAGCTGGTACTAGAGACTCAGCTTTTATTCAACATCTAGTTAGTGGACTAGTTAAGAAAAACCTCTCACTTTAGTACAAAGACTTTTATTCTATATTCCATGGAGTTCCACATAAAAGATACTTTTAGGAATGTTTTTTATAAAATTAGTGAAAGTTCTGGAATTTTGAAACCTACTACTAAATGATTTTGGATCCTTAAAGGATTTAGGATATTAGCTATTACTAGGTAACGTGGATCTAAAGGAAAAAAATCTCTATTCCCCTTCTACTTTATTAAGATATAATTGACAAAATAAAAACTGTATATATTTATGGTATACAACATGATGCTTTGATATACATACAGTGTGAAATGACTAAATCAAGCTAATTAATATAATCACCACCTTGCATACTCATTATTTTATGATGAGAACGTTTAAGATCTAATCTTTTAACAGATTTTCAAGTATACATTATTATTAACTATAATCACCATGCAATATACTAAATCTCCAGAATTTATTAATCTGGACACTTTGTACTCTTTAACCAACATCTTCCCCTCCCTTTCCCCCAAATGTCCCCTCTCATTATCATGTGAAACTGAAGTTAGGAAACAAGTCCGATAGGAATAAAGATGGTCTTTGGAAGAATAAGCCTATGTACAAAGATTTCAAAAATTTAAGAGTTTGAATTTTCCAATTTGACTGATGTTCCCTAATTCAGAAGCTGCAACAAAGTTACTTCAGGAAAGCTCCACCAAAACTTGACACACTGTGTAACTGCTGGTTCTTAAAAGACACCACGCAAAACTTTGCAGAGTTGGCTAGTTCCCAACTATGTGTAATAGATCTTGTATAACTAAGTCAGGTGCCTCTTTAATAGTGAGTATACAGGTACTCTGAATCTTATCTTTCACAGAACCCAGAATTACACTAAACATTGAGTCCTCTGTATCCCAGCATTTCTTATGTTGTTTTCCAACATTTTGTTCTGTATTTTAAGTGTGCATACCTAAAATCTTGTTAGCCTATTTATACAAAATTGCTTGTATTTCTGTAGATCCATTTTCTATAAAC